TTCAGCACCGGATGCGGATAGAAGCATTGAGTGGACAGTAAAAAGAGAGAGGTAAAGACACATCTCATCCGTAACCCCATTCGCAAATGACATCGGGGGTCTTTGTTCCGATGCCACTGTAGTCCTTGTGAGGTTACCCCGCCGCCCAAGCGTTTGTTTTAGATACATTTCATATTTCCATGCACCCCACAACCTGTATAAATCAGTTTCACTCCAGCACAGCCTCTGAACCCAAGGGTAAACAGAGCACAACATCGTCTGCCCAGTCTGCCACCAGGTCCGCCGGATCGGCGACGCAAGGTGGCCACACAACCTGGCGTCTGAAAGCAATCTAAGGCCAAGTCCTTGAGTTTAAAGGTTCGCTAGATCATATCTATATGCCCCAAGTGGGAGAATATGAGAACACTATTAAGCTGAATTCAATATTTCCGCTGATCACCTTTTAAACCATGGCAAGATGGTGAGATGGCCGAGGATGTCGGGGCGCAGAAACAGTCCAGCAAAATACAGGACCAGGAGGACGTTATGCTTAATGATGTAATAATATAGTGAAGTCGGGATAGGATAGATGTGTATATCCTTAACAGTACACGTATCTCTCTCCCGGTACTGTCACCCCTGGTGTGATGCTATTGATAGGACACGTACACGACGCGATTGCGCGACTCCCACCGCTTCCCCGACTCCGACGACAACGTGGCTAGAGAAGTGCACCGAAACCGAACAGCGGTGGCAGTACTAGTAGCACCAACAGCTCCAGAGTGGCAACTGTCTTGCAAGCCCTATAATTCTTGTGTGCTAAGGAATCATTTCGAATCTAAGAGGGTATGAATGACTTGAGAGGCAAATAAGCTCCTAGTCTACACGAGAAATGGCTGCCACTCCAACGGCATCCCTTGAAAATCCTGTTATTCCGCACTTCTAATTCTTCATCAAGTCCGCAGCTTCTTTTTACCTCACGGCAATCAATATCTGAAGGAAAGCCTAGGTATTTAGGCATCAATTCCCTCCTCCCCCGGAGAGATGGTAAATTGAATCCCATCGCCCCCGACATCCCCGAAGTTACATTTGAACATCTCAATCGATATTCAATAACATTTACCTCGCGGTGGAGAGAACATACTGATGGATACCTCCGGAAAATAATATACTCTATCACCCTGTGTGCATGGAATGAAGGCGTAGGAAGTTCGCTACAATCGCTCGCACAGTCTGTGATCTCAAAATTGAAACCCACAGTGCCTGGAAAGCGATAAAACCCGTTAAATTGACGTATATATAATCCCGTTTTGCGAATGCGACGGGAGAGAGGGTTCCGGCTGTTTTCCTCTCCGCATCCAGGGAGGTCGGCGCGGCGAAAGTCCTGAAGAGAGCGCGGGTTTATAGGTTGTGGGAACTTCGGACGCGGTTGGGCTTTGATTGTAAAAATATAGCCAAACCACAAAATTAGATGATGATCGGTCGCAGGGCCCCACTGGAGATGATTGGAAGTATGAAGTATGCTATTGTGGTCCCTTGTGCATTTGGGAGGGGTAGTTAAGAGATGCGTCCTCCAGATCATGGAGGCACTTGGGGTATTCAGGAATAAAGATGTTTGTTCGCATTACTGCTGTGCGGTGACAAAAATAGTAAAGTGTGTTTCTTCTGTAGATCAGGGTCCTTACAGGCTGTGCAGGCACCTGCAACGGTGGACCTTAATCATCTTGGAAGTAAATTCCGTAAGTGCCTGTTATATTTCGTGTATTTTCTCAGGTGGCAAGCTGCGCCTCCCTTGAGAGATCGGGAGTCTCTGTCCCTCCTGTGCTCTCTCTGCGGGAGGGAGAGGGAGAGGGGGAGGGTGGTGGTGAACGCTTTGCGTAAGTATGCCTGTGTGAGTTGTACCCCACAATATACCGAACATTTCTTTCTGAGTCCGGATTAAGGACGCGTATCCTAACTTAGTAACTCTTCTTCTGCAGGGCGTGGTATCCAAAACTGTCATAAACCCCGGTCTCCCATTCTATTGTGAAACCTTCCTCTCCAATTATACTCTCGTTTTCCATATACAACCTCGGTTTATATCATAAAGGCCCAACCTCGGGGAACGAACAAACTTTTAACGCTTCTATTAGTGTTTGATAATAGAGTATATTGCTGTAAGGTATCAGGGTATCCCACCCTCTTATCTTGGTCGTAGCAAGGTATTGTATACTTCCGCGTTTCAACGGCCCAAAATAGTTACCACAACTACTTCGCAGGTAGTCACTTCTACTCCCTGTTTACCCTTTTAGCCAAGTAAGCTCCTGAAAGTAATTGAAAATATAAAGGTGGCCGGAACCCTAACCCTGCCGAAATTCCAGTTCGTACCTACCAGATACTCGTAAAACCCGAGCCCAGCAAGATTCTAGGTTCGAAGGTCCCTATTTTTTATAGACACTTTGATTCCCTTTTGTTTGAATCCGTCTTATCTCCACCTTCTGATGCCTATCCGCACGGAGGTAAGGAAAAAAAGGGGGGGGGGGGGGGGCATCAAAAGGTATTTTAATGCGGAATCGCAATCTGATAGTAGGATAGGATTAGATGAGATTATCAAACATTTCTCGAGATCATATTATGGTTTTAGGCATACTTCTCTTCCAATATATCATGTTACGATCCATCCCCCATCACATCACCATCCAAGTCCCCGGAAACATGAATTAGACGGGGAATACCCGGGCATGGGAAATAACTGAACAGGATGTCATGACCAATACACTTAGAAGAGAGAAAACTAAACTTTTGAGTTAGGTTACTCTATCAAACCATTGGAGAGCAAAAAAGGACACTCACGGCGGGTTGGATACATCTCTCCCGAGGCCTCCTAGCCTATACTGAGATGAAACAAAACTTCTATACCCGCTTAGCTTAGCCATAACCAAAACAACCTCTCCGCAAACGACAATATGGATCGTTGACCGTGGCTCATTTCTTCCCGTAAAGATTGAACTCAGGTATCCCAAGTCTTAGAGGATCAGATTGCCTGAGCGGCCCACCCACTGCAGCCAAGTTTATTCAGACCTATATCCTACATGGTGTCGACGTTCGTAAGTCAGTATATGCTTTGTGGGATATTAAGATACCCATGAGGGGGGGGGGGAGGAGTACCTCGAGCGAGTAAGTGATCTATTCCTGAAAACAGCAAATAAGAGCATTACTACCCAATAGTTAAATAAGGGAAAGTCGGAAGCTCATCCTTATCTAGAGGAAGATAGTAATAGGTGATCAAGATCTCCATCTTCTGATTGGGTGTTGTAGAGAAACTCTTGTCCGCTCTTTTTATGCAGTGAACTTGTCATGGTTGATGTTTGATAGGACATTTCCTTTATCTCCTTTGTCCACACTTCCTATTGAGTCTTATGACTTCGTCCTGTTCAGCTTAGGTACGAGGAACGCGCCTTTGATCCGCCACCGTCTCCTCTACGGCCCTCAACATCGCTCCCAGTAGCACCTCATCGTTGGCCTAAACATCAGTCCTCCGAATCCGCAACGCACCACGCCGAATATCTCTTTGGGTGCCTGAGTTGAAGGAATGGGGTAATCGCGGAGACCCCACGGAGCCTGCTACTATCTGAGGCAATCGGGAGGAGAAGGTGGGTTTCACCTCTGGCACGCGCTGGGGCCACAAAGCTGAGGAGTGTATGAGCCCTGGGATCCGCGTCCTGTCCGTAATAGCTAAGGTTCTGAACGTTCCTTCAATGAGATTATGCTTCTATGAGGGCTGATCACCATTTCAAGACAACCAATACTGAGATAGCTGGACATTTCTCGGGAATGCCTGTTAGATGAGAGGTCCTAGAACGAGGTTCTTCCGGAGGGATGATCAGGACGTGAAGATCGACAGAGCCAGATGTCCTTACCACGAGAATAGGAATCGGTGTTTATAACTCGCCAGTTTCAGCGCTTGCTGGAGTCTACTGATTGACTATGGCTGTTCTAGACTGCTCATTCCACTCTAGCGAAGCAGGTGAGGCGTAGACCGGCAATCTTAAAAGATACCGCGGATGGATTCCCGCGGCTCGTCACAACTGAGTCAATTTTATCACCTCTGATCCAGTTGATATTGCTAAGACTCGATGGATTACACCCGGGCTAGTGTTGTCTGGGCGGGTACGTCCTTTCTATACCGACACATTCGGCGATTAACGTATCATCGCACCATCGGTAGAAAAACAAGCATATTGATGGGGAGCAACTCAATGATTGAGTGATTTAGGTTTATTGGAGATAATCACAGTAAAGCTTGTCCTGCCAGCTTCACTGGCTGACGTGACGTCGCCAAAAGCCAGAAGATTCAATAAGATACGATATGATAAGCTAGATAAGATAAGATAAGATAAGATAAAATAGGATAAGCCGGACTTACATCACGACCGGCACCTCACAACTCAACGCAGCCCATAGCTGTCCTTAAATATGTTCCGGAAGTCGTACCTCCCGTTGGGATCTTCAGTGGGAATAATATTTTACGCTTTATTCTCTATACCACCATGATGACTCCGGTGTGCCTGGAGCTAAATTTACGGTACTGGTATCTGACCACCATGGATAAATTTATGTCATTCAGAGAATGATTATAACTGGTCGAGCAGCACACTTATTGCTTGATTAGAACTGTACCCCGCAGCGACACGGGCACCAACCCGATGTAAGAGAGTGGGGTGGGGTATAGGTAACTGGGACAGAGGCTAGTGGTGTTTTACTGGTATATATTAAACGGTTGGCGGAGAAAGAGGTATGACAGATGTTTGAGGTGCTGACTGAAACATGGGAGACCCTAGTTCTGAATATAAGCTAGATCACTACTACCTCTAGGGGATGCTCTTCCGTATTACAGCAATGTATTTGAATTTAAAATCACTTTTAACTAGCTAATAAGTCCCAGATCCGAGAGCATGTGTTCCACCCATTCCGTTTTAAAAACAAAAACCCCATAGTCAGCCATTGAAAAACGAAAAGAATTCCCATCTAGGGCGGGGTATTTAGATAGCCCTCAGATAATACTCGCGCTGCCACCCAACCCATTGGTCTTGACCCTCCTCGTTCAAAAGGTCCTCTTGGGCCGCGCGGACGGCATCCCGAGCAATGTTCAAAGTCTCCTCTTGTTGGGCCCAGATAGCCTCTCTCGCCCTTGCTTCAGTACTATTCTCCCCCTCCAATTCTCCCAACTCGACGTATCCTGCTCGAGTACAAGCAATCTCAGCACTCACCTGTGAGCACCAGTTATGCTCGACGACCAACTCAAGAATAAGTACGCCGACCATCTGGGGAAGGCCTTCAAGGCTTCCCATCAGCTCCGCGTCAGTATCTATAATGGAGTTCACCGGGGTACTTGGGCGAGATCCAGAAGGAATTGACGAAGAGGAACCGCTTGATGAATCTGAAGGCGGTGGGGACGGGGGTGGGGAAAGGTTCGACAAGGAGTTTGCTGGGGTCGGAGGAACAATATGGAAGCGCCCAACAGACAGAGACAACACGGCTACCATCGCTACGCGAAGCCGCTCGAGTTCAGTGAGCTGTGTGTCCGAGAGACCCATAATCTCTGGTTCGCTGGTTGTAGTAAGGCCTGAGCGGGTTGCGGAGATAGCGGAAGCCGACCCATCAGCAAGGCCCATCGCGGCGACAGGCTGGATAACGTTCAGGGGGTGGGCTGGAATAACACGAACGACACCACCTGACCGAACGACCGTATGATAAGCATGCTAGTGAACATTAGTATATGCTGAAAATACCGAGAAAAAAATGACAACTTATAAATAAAAAGGGCAGATATAAACAGACATGATATATGGAATAAGGGTTTAGAGAGATGCAGAAGCAGCACATGTGCAGAGGAGAGATTGAACGGTGGAGAAAAACAGTGGGATGTGTGAGACGTGGGGTTGACATGACTGCGGGGAACATTGAAAAGTAAATTGGAAACATACAGATTCTGGTTCGTGAAACACACCGATCTCAGTGGCCATTGACGCAATTGCGTCCAGGAATGCCGCAGCGGTTACACCATTGTTAATCTGGGTAGGAGTGGGCATCTTTAACATATATATCAGCAGAGCTCCATGTCTAACATCAAACGCCATAGTACTCACGGACTCCGTAGCACCGGTCATTCTCATGGCCAGTAGTGCCGAGTTAAGTGCCTCGATATCTGCAGTAGCACGCATAATCTCGCCAACCTTCATGATATGCCCTGTTAGCAACTTACTGAACAAAGAATGGAATCGATTGTTATTACCATAGTAGCGGTATCAAAGTGATTCCATCTTTGCACGCTTTCATGGAGCCCTGATAACACGTCGGAGGTACCGCGATGTTGAAGCTGAGGTGCCGTGTTAACGAACGTCTAGACAGTTAGCAATTATTTTCTTGCAGTGAAAAGGAGATATATACCCGTGCCGCGTGTTGGATCCTACGCAGGGTGGCCATGCGACGCTGCAAAGTGTGGACATCACTGCTCGGAGTGTCGATGGCGGTGTTTGATTGTTGGATAGGTTGCCGAGGATCAGCCAACGGAATGAGCAGGTCACCAAATGCTCCGAGACCAAGATGACTGCCGATAAGCATAGGCCCAATACTGTTAGTAGGAGCAACCCTACGGATCCTATGACGGCCATCATTCCCGGACCCGGAGAATTGAAGTGCATCATTTCCAGATTGGGGGGCATCAATAGAAGTAGTTTGAATCTACCAGGTTAGCATTTCTCGTCTGAGCATATGCTGAAGAGATAGACTTACAGTATTGATAGATCCAGATGAATTCACAATAGATGTTCCTGCTGCCATCTGCTCAGTAAGGGCAACATCAGCGGTATCTTGACCAGTATTGGTAGAATCCGACATCTCGAGAATCAGATACTGGCTATTTTAAATTAACAGGAATTAATTTGATAAAGCCTTCTGATGGAAATAGAATCAAAGCTTTTGGTCGATGGATGAAAGAGGATAGTGGTGGGGGAAAGAAAAGGAAGGAAACGAAGAAAGAAAGGAGGGGTAGATATGGACAGAAAACAACGGCCATCTATGATTGAAATTTCCCATTACACACATATATATCAGTATGGCCATACGTGTCGTCATGTATAAACACTTCGGACACATATGTGTATCTAGGCAACAGAATTTGAAAATGTACCCTATATGACGGTATCTTTGGGCATAGAAGGTAACCTGGTTGAATTCCTGGATTATCGTATTTGTTCTCCTCAAGAAGCGCAGTCTTTAATCCTTCATAATGAATACCATGTGTATCCATCATGCACTGTCATTCAAAGCCTCAAATTCAGATGTTTGAATCATCCGGAAAGAACGTGTGACTTCCATCAGTTCCACTGTTACACGTCCAGCGCACCACTTCAGCATCACAGAGCACCACCACCGCAAGAGGGTGGCCTATGGAAGCCTATCTCTCCCATTACAGTCATTATTTCTCACAGATCAGAACCACCGCGCGGGGGTACCCCTGTGATATTTTTCTCTAGCCAGACTGACAACAACCAGCGTCCTTTGCATGCATGGCAATTCTACCTCCCCCGACCTCTCCCCTAAATAATTTTAGTGATTGAACTACTTGAAAGATTCGAGGGCGCGGATATATGAGCTTGAGTTATGTGATATTTTATTCCCGGTATTTCTTAACCAAATCCCTAAAGACTAGTACCCTAGCTCCCTTCCTATTACTGGAATAAATGCATATCGAGAGTATATATACTCCAGGCCATTCCTGACCCCCGAGCCCTTACCACATACCTATACACACCTATTTTTATAGGTATTTTAGAATTTATGTACATTACATGCTCCTCCTGTTACTCGACATCTGGCTCATCGTTAGAACACAACACCAATAACAGAATTAAAAATCGATATATAGCTTTCTTTTTCCTATGAAGAAAGACTTGGAGATTGTAGGCTTGATGATTAAATCTTCTAAACCTCTCATGAAAGTTGCGGAGGTAAATAGGCCGCTGGTATGTGATGAAATCGGACGTTTAATATGCTTGTTCATAAATTTAACCCCCGGAAAGTCTCAAGATGACCACATATCTGGACAATGCAATCTCATGAGCAAGTGACCTGGAACCACGATCAAATAGGTTTACCTGTTAGTGCTGAGATCGTGCAGATTGCAAGTCTGGAATTGGAGAAGAGCGGTAGCAGTTAAGTTAGAAATATGGAAAGGTGTTCGGAAATTACGCAGAAGAGACCCAAAGCAAAGGACGGTGAAGATCTCCGGTCACCGGCGGTGCCCGCATCTTTATTTCAACAATCAAGTATAATAAGAAACTTCTTTCCGTTCATTCTTTCAAGGGACGAGATCTGCTGTTTGATGATATATCTTGTAATTTGATCAATCGATCAATTGACTGACACAGCATCCAAGAAGAACATGTGTAAGTAGGGTGTAGAACCACCACCACCACCACCACCACTACAACAACCCCTGCTCAACTTATTCTAATTGATGTTACCTAACCTATCTTCTAGTAGTACCTGATAATACACCCGTCCATAGTAGAATACTTCTATGTTTACTTTTACAGGGATACACACAGTGCAAAGTCTCAAGTGGCCGCCACTCCACCGCCAGAGTATTTAAATGCTCTTACCTTTCCTGTTCCACATCTGTTTCTCTCCCCCACACACTCCCACCCAGTAAACACACAAGCAATAACAACTATCTCACTACCCAGCATGAGTAGGACTTCCCGAGGTATTTCCATCAACAACATTAACTAATACCTTGAAGTAAGTAACTAACCATACTCAAGCCAACGTGCGTCCCTCACCAAACATCTCCCCAAGCAGGTGCGAATTCCACTCCGAGACCCTCGTGACTCCTCCGACCTCCTCCCCTCCAGTCAGCCCGCTCGCCCGTCACCATCGAATCAACAACCCCCGCCTATTCGCGCAAGGCGATCTTGGGGTCGAACTCGGCGACTTGATCCCCACCCTCAACCATTATGCCAACGATCACGCCAGAGCTGTTGCGGATCTTGCAGCCTACGTCGACGGCTGCCACGAGGATCGCAAGGTGGTGGATTGGGACTATTTCGCCTGCTTGTCGAGCGCGGTGGACGAACTCGAGGACATCATCTGGAGGATTCAGAGATGGGTTAGGACCCGCCCTCTTTTCACCAGATGGATTCATCCCGACGCGGCAAGGTTGATGCAGCCTTTTGGATGCCCGAAGTTGATTCCTGATCCCGAGGAGGAGGGGAGGTTTTATGTGATCACTCCGAACTATAATCATTATCAGCGTCACTATTAGTAAAAATCTAGTATAAGTTAGGGGCTAGAAGCCCGCTCACAGAAGTAAGGAGATTTAACGGTTATAGCCATGCTTCCCTTCTTTTACCTACCATGTCATGGAACAACCCGAGCCGCAATTCATTAGCGTCTCCACAGGCTGCCAGGTTCCTGTAGTTTCTGTAGATGAGAGCAAGAAATATGTGATAACCACTTTCCAATTTAAATAACTAGTAAAAAACAATTCCTCGTTTTTTTTTCATTCTAGCGCGCTTGTAGTTCACCCTTTTGCATCACATACACCACCGTAGGCGTGTTCATGTTTCTAGAATATTGCGTAACTAAGCACATATACAGCTTGTTCAGTCGACGAGGATAGCGGTCCAAGCGCTGCGCCGAGGCTCCGGACCGAGTGATCGTTCATGAAGAAGGTGGTCAACCTTAGTGAGTCTTGGCAGAAATCTTCCCACCACTCTCACTGAGAAGTCCGTTACTTTATTCACCTTGTCAATATTTCTTTGACCCTTGCTAAGAGCGAAGGCGATCCACACTTCGGTTCTCTCCCTCTCAACACAGCACGGGAGTCATGTATTCTCACTCGCAGCTAAGTGTAGATTGTGAAGAACCTTTTAATATAATAACCTCTCATATATAGGTACACAGATGCAATTGTAAGCTTCTAGAAGTGACTGACGGGTGAAACCCTTCGGGGACCACGCCGACCGGCAAGATGGTATCCGGGGTGTTGGCAACATGATTCGAACCTGAATACGAACCTATTTTTACATGGAGCATCGTGTTAGCCCCGAATTTGTTTCCACAGATAAAGCTCAAGGGTCTAGATAAAACAAAATTTCGCTTTTGGCTTGGGACTAGCTAGCACTTGTTCCGGAGAATCAGAATATTACTCCAAATTACATCCACCAACGTTCTCTAAGTGAGCACAGCATCGTAGCAAAGAATGTGAACCACAAAAGAAGGAAACAAAGTTAATGAAAGGTTGTATTTATCATCCCGATAACACCACTTATTCGGAAATACTTTTCTTTATATACGAAGGCCGAAGTTTCGGGTATGACGTAGGCGCATGCATGTGGGACGAAAAATGTTTCTTGTCCTTTAGCCGGCGGGTTCCGAGGAGGGGACACGATTAAGACTCAACCTCCCTATCCAGCCTTAGAGCCATGCATCAATGCCGCCAAAGAAAACCAAATAGATCGAAAACCAACACCAATGGACTTACTTGTCACTTTACAACTGTCAACAGAAACTTCTTCCGGCCGGGAATTCTCATGTCAATCATCCGACGAAAGCCAAGCCTAATAGTATCCACCTGCATCTGAAACATGCAAACCTATGACACCACCACTACCTGTAACCTCAAATTTCCCGGCGGGCGTGAAAGCCAGAGAATGGACAAACTCAAACAGGGCACCATGATATACATATGAGAATTCCTTCCATTCCCGCTCTGTCTCGATCTCATCCTAAATCCCGTGTACAGCACAGGAAGACAACGAAAGGGCTACCCTGCAGCCTTTCTCCACATTCGTTCAACCACGCTTCAGTGTTGATTGCTTCGAATTCATAATCCACGGTCTTTACATCTAAACCAAAAAATATTTTTATTTCTTTCCTTTTAAAGTGTCTTCCTCCACGCCCGCGGGCACTGAGGCAGCGGCCGGATCCGCTGCCAACACTGTGACCGAAAAGGCTTTGAGCAGCAGCCCTACTGTACAATTCCCTAACACTAGACTGTCAGAATTCTGTGCTAAAAGGCTGCCCAGGAAAACACTGCCCAGGAAGCCAACATCGGCACCTCCGACGAGATGGAGGTCGCACGCCTAATCCAAGAGTACGACAAACAGGAAGGTACCTGCGACATCAGCAGTTACGAGCACGATATTGACGACGAATACCTTCCCGACCTTGCTCTCATACACCCGGACGAGGAGGATTCTTGCCACCTTCAAAACGCGTTCAGTTCTGGGAACTCCTTGGATGCCTGTGCGACCCTTGACCAGCATCGTCGCCACCTCCGTAGGCAGGAACTGTACATCGGAGGTGGGGGCCTCCCGACTATCGTTGAGGAGGAAAAAGAAGAATTGGATGAGGGGGAGGCCAGGGGTAGGAGGTGTTGATGGTTTCAATGCTGTCGTTGTGCAGTTAGGTGATTAGGCTCGAAATCTCTAACAAAACGTTTTTATAATTCTTTCTGCTGACGTTGATTTTAAGGGTTGGGGTAATGTGGTCCGGTCTTGTTGGTGATAACGCTAGGTTTTGAAGTGGCACTTGTGTCCGTTATTTCAGCTTCCTGCATATTACCTCTGTCACTCCTTCGAGCTGCGAGACACATATAACTCTTCGAGACAAAAAATGAATAAACACTGTATTCGGCGGGTTTTAGCGTGGAGAATTTTAATAAATGTTTAATAGTAATGATAAGAAACGAAAGGTCAATAGTTAAATGAATCTCTAAGATCATGACTTACAACTCAAGCTTCGGCCGACATTAAGGGTTCCTAGAGGCTAGAGCCTGGTAAAATAGAGTTCTAATTTCAGTTGCATCTGCGAATCAACAAGATAATGAAAGCAAGACATCGAGAGGAGAATAACCAGGCAGCTCCCTTTCTTTATTCACGGATAGTATCAGACATTGTACGATGGTTGGTCCGAAAATTATATAAAATAGCTAAAAGGAAATATGTGTAATCCTGCAGCGATGGCGAGGCGGAGAGAGGAAGACCGCTCAATACCTCACAGTAATTATTAGGAAGATTATGACCACAGAATTATTATTGCGAAAAGAGCTTTTGATTACTACCTAACCAGCAGCTCCTCTGAACACCTCATCCGTACTTATTCCCGAGGTATATTCCAGAAAGTATGATTCCCCATAATAACATGCAACCATTGCTACCCATCTAGCCATTCCCCTTTTTATACTCTGATTTTATGAACCTTTCAATATAGAAAAAAAAGAAAGTAAAAAGAAAAAAAAAAATCGCTTTCTAACACCCCCAGAGCCTCTTCGCTGGCTTGCTCAGGAGCTCTCTCAACTGCTGACGGGCATCTCTAAGATCCTCCAAGAGGTCCAACCTCGCCTGGCTGATCTTCTTCTTCTCGGCATAGATGTCGATTTCCTCCAGGACACGCTCTTCTTCCTCGTCCCAGCGGAACACCTCATCACCGAAGTTGAAGTAGCCCGAGTCCAAGACTTTGCAAATATCCTCGTACTTCTTGTCAAGACGGTCTCCTTCCTTGATCATGAGCGGGATTCGACGTCTCAAGCCAGCAATGACGATAAGACGAAGCTCGGGGTACATCATTTTGGTGGATGGATAGACGGACGGGTTATCGATTATTGATGGAAAGGATGAATAGGCTGTGGCTTAATGGCTGTTAGCAGATAGAAATCTATGGTGAAAAAAATAGGATGAATACGGATAATAGAAGTTGTTCTTAGGATACACCTTCAGCGGAAGCTTGCTTTTTTCAGTGGTGATCAGGAACGTTGGACCTTTTAATGTAACGAGGGCTATTTATATGAGTCACCCATTTCCGATGCGTTCTTCATAGAAAGGAGAATAATCATAGAATGGAAAAAATGAGCAGACACCTGGATGGTAGATGATAACTTACTTTCTTGATTGTTTGTTGTTTGAATTCGGTGAAGAAACTTTGGCAGTTGGCTGTTGGCTGTTGCCCTCACGGTTGAATGTAAGGTAGAGATCCACAGTGGGAATAAATGCTGGCTAGATATTTATAGGCCAGTGGCAATTTAAAGTTTCTCGCATGCCAAGCTGAAATCCATGTACCCTTGAGTTCTCAATCGATTTCTTGGTTGACTGAGGTTTCCTTCTGGGTCTGATGTTAGTTGAGATATCATACCTGGATCGATAGGCTGGTGGTACGTCATCGTTCTAGACGGACGGGTGCTATGCTTCACATTCTCGCATGCGCTGCGGTCTTAGTATCTATGAGTTCATGTTTTTCAGAGGCCATGATGCATTATCCTGCAGCCAGATGTACTCTGCTCCTGATGCTAGGAATTGCTGTTATCTTGTGGAAAACACAGATTCATAAAGCTGGCATCTTTCCTAAACGTCGCTCAAACAATGGAAGACCAGACGTGAAGAATCTATATTTACAATCGACTCTAACTTCTTAATAAGCCTTCATCTCACTGTTCCAGCTAAAAGAAGTTCTCCGATGCATCGAAGCCATCCATCATCATCTTCGGCCCGTCCGCTTCCCTGACGAACACCTCAGCGTTCCATCTTCTCCCGGCGGTGAAGAATCGATCCCATCCGCTCTTGGTTTTCAGTATATCGAGCTCTTCTTTCAACCTTTTTTCCTCCTTCTGTAGCACGCTAACCTTCTCCATCATCCACTTGTAGTTGTCATGTAACATCTGAACGAGGTCTTTAAGAGCCATCTCATTCGTGGTGAGGGTGCCGAGACTTGATGCGGGGCGATCTGCCGTGGAGCTGGGGTCTTCTTGGTTTTCGCGTGAGGCGATGAACCTGTTCAAGCGGGCCCTGTGGTAGTTCTTGAGATGCTCTTCGTAGGTTGACCACTGGGTTGATATATCCTCTTGGTGGATGCCCATCAATTTTCGAACCTCCATGAGACGTCCGGTGATATACGGGATGCGGGAAGCAGTTGAGGAGGGACCTGAATACTGGGTCTCGGGGGTGGGGACGAGAAATGAGCTGGTCTGGGAATTCATTTTGAGGGGTATGTTATGTCTTTGGTACAGTCTGCTGGTGGATATTGATGTGGGTGATCCGAAGGATTTTCCCACTGCCCGATATTGATGGTTACTTATTTCTAGCTGTTGTGGCCTGGATGGATATATGGGCTGGGCACGAGCAGGGATTTGCAATTTCCAAGGTATGTTTACACTCCCATTATATTATACCTAGTGAAATAGAGTTGAGATTTAATTTATTGATAAAAACCTAGGTAATATAAGACCATTTCTCCAAATTATCTTCCCCTTAAGCACAGAGATACTCTTCACAAGATCCCCTCCATCTCGGCAGCGCCGGCAGCCAGAACAAGTTCCTCCGACCTTCTCTTTAACAGCTCAGCTCTCAGCTTTATCACCATGTTTGGCTTTCTCAACTCTTCCTTCTTTTTGTTGATCGCCTCCAACTCTTTGGTCAACCTGTGCTCTTCTTTCTTAAGAACGCCAATCTTTTCAGCCATCCATTGGTAGTTTTCGGAGACCATTACGACCAGTTCCCTCAGGGTCAACTCCTTCTCCGCCAGGGCCTTAACCTTTAAGGATAATTGGAATGGTGTGAGGCTACTGTGTTCGGTAGATGTGTTGGCCGCTCTGCAAAGCTCGAACCGCACTTCCCGATAGCGCTCCAGTTGCTTCTTGTAGGTTTTCTTCCGTGTCGGCTGGTCATCTTGGTGGATGTCGATCATCAGTCGAAGCTCGTGAAGGCGTGCGGTAATTTGTTGACTCCGGGGGACAGACAAAGTAGTGACCATGGGGATGCTATTCTGTGGAAGGTTGAAGACACGACCGGAGTTGGAATCCATTTTGGAAATGGTTGTTGATGGAGAATTTTGGTTGTTACAGGGGGTTATTGTTTTCAGTGGTTTCTGAACTGATGCTGGGTCGGTTAATGGTTTACTTTATAGTCCTACGGCTGCTTGAGTGATGGGAGACATCACCGGGTTTTGCACCCTAACCTCTCCCTTAGGTCACTGGTACCTGTGTATTCTGGGTGAAAATGCGCCAAGGTTTACAATCCTCTGCCTCTAGTTTGTGCTTAATTTTCTCTTTCTAGGAGCTGACTATACAATAGCCGCACCTGGGGATGATTATCGGGAAACTTTCTGTATATATCATGATCCCTTATGGTGCTTCATCCCCTCCAAAGCCACATCAATAGTTCAAAGAGCGCAATAGTCTGTATCCGTAACCCTTACCCACATCACTCAAATATCATATGGCGGTGTGACGAATCGATGGCAAACACATTAGAAAACATTCACATCTTACAAGATTTATTCTATGGGTACCTCCCTCCCCCTGTAGTCTCCTGAATCAATGCTCATATACCAGAATTGATCAATAAACAAGTTAAAGGCGGCTGTGAAAACCTTCCCCTCGTGGGACGAGGTTAATTGACAAACAGCAAACACCGACCGAAGACAAAATTCTATCAGAAAAATAGAAAAAGAAGAGAGTATCCATGTTCATTTTTCAATGAGGAGATTGCGGGCACATCCACCCCACGCCCCACGCACCAACACGTACACGCCGATGGAAAATTGAAGAGCCGGCAAAGACACGCAGAAGCAGCGCATTTCGTACGAGGTATCGATCAGTCAATTAATTCATCGATATTCCTCTTGTTTTTCTCGGACCCAGCTGGCCTACCTGTTAGCAATCATTATCCATTCCCTACTTTGTGAAGATACGCACTCAACATCGTTGCTAACCCTGCAGTTTTGGTTCCTCACATCTTCATTGCCGCCCATTTTATGCCTGGATACACGTCTCACATCGCTTGCACAACCGGTCACTACATTTATTTAGAGTCCGTCCCATCGGCTATGAAAGTCAGCTCAGGCCAGCAGCCAAACCGCTTTCTCTGGGATGAGATAGAGCAGATATAGAAGATACTTAACTGAAAACGTGGGAGTTTCTGTATTCTGGTAACTCTATATGGGTGACAATCTGAAAAGCTTGACTTGCAAGGCAACAGGTGCAATTTTCGCTACCAAAACGCCGATGCCGACAATGAGAATCTCGAGGTGATAGCCACGAGACAGACATTTGGCTATTAGGGCTTTGGGAGAGCATCTTCTCGGGTCGCAAAACAATCGAACGATTGGCTGAGGGATGATTAAGAGTGAAAATACTCGAACCTCTAAGCCAAGGACTCCCAGATCGGCATCCGTATATTAACACACGAGGCCCATTCAAGGTGAGATTTGTTCCCGGGGGCTGGTGTGCCTGTCTCCCGGATGTTCCGGGGGAGAAACATCCTTCCTGCAATGAAACGGGAATGGGGAGATGCGGTGAACTGTAAGAGGCAGTAGAGCAGACACACAGGCTCTGGGATTGGGACATTCATGAGCAGCCAAAATGTAAAGCCATTGTAATACCTATTTCATGGAGTGGGGGTCCTTGCTCTCTCAATCACAACTCTGAAATAATTCTATCTCTTTAGGATTTTACTCAATTCAGATATATAATTTAAATCAAACATCATTGGTTCCGTGTTAGGAATCATTTTATTTCGGAGAGTTCTTACAATCTTTGGGAGATTCTGGTGCAAGTACTTAGTCGGTTTTGAATATTAAACACCAGAAACTATCGATCTCCGGGCACTTTGGTCGACATCTTTAAACTGAGGTAGCCGGGCTTGGCCTTTTGGAATAAAAGGACATCTACAACAATTCTGCCGAGAGCATTACCGCCAGCGCTGGAAAATCTCGAACAGCTCAAACCCAACAAATCTTCCAAAACAGCAAATAAGGTACAGTATATCCATGAATACCCCTCCATCTCATATCTCAACCACCAAGCCCGACTATCATACAGTAACTCACAAATCTCCACAGTTCCTAAATGACAACTCCCGCGGCCCCGAAAAGGCCATGCACCGCCCCGCCAGGGTCCAGCCTCGAAGCCGCTCTCAAGAAGTACCTCTTCCTGCACAAAGAATACAGCGACCTCCATGCCCACTGGACGGACCTCCGCCTCATCCACCTGCGTCTCCACAAAGAATACGATTTCCGTCTGGACCCGAGCCTGGCCGTCTCCATCGATGATCCGTCGGCGAACCTCAACCCGCAAAATCTCCCCTTTCTGTTGGAGGATTACGCGTCCAAGGCGGAGAACCTCCTCGATAGGGTTGTCGCGACCGCGGAGGCAGCGAACGACGTCAACGACCGCTGCTTGGAGATCCTAGCGGCGTCGGATAAGGCGAAAGCCGAGTGGGTGGCGCTGGGGGGGAGGTTTGAGGGTGAATAGTGGACGGGGAAGGCTGGCAGCGACTGAGGTTAACAGCGGTGGTGCAGGGGTGAAATGTTCGAGTAGGATACCAACTTACTCGAGTGGTTTGCGCAACTGCGGGTTCGATGGTTTAAATAGAGCTATTAGCGTTGGGGTTACTAGTTATTCTTACTCTAGGCTTTTCCCTTTGTGTGACTATACAAATCAAGAGATAAAATATAAACAAACCTTCAATCGCTGTGGACCGATTATTAACCCTAGCAGAGTATGTAGTGAAGGAGTCATCGAAAGAGGAGCCCAATTCAGCGAAAGGTAATCAGACCATTCCCAACCATTGCAGTGTCGCGTTAGGAATAAATAAATTGGTTATGACGGCGATTCCCTTGGGCTGCTATCTCGTTCAGCACGCACACCCCCCTACGATAGCGATAATTGATTTTGCGGAGGGGTCTGAGGTGACACTGTTTTCGGTATACGTGCTCTACAGCACGCATGATGCAAGATGACACTGTTCTGTATGATTCAACATGCATACATACAAGTATATGGATGGCTGAGCAATCATAACTGGGTTAAACAAAAAAACAAAAAAACAAAGAGCAATAACATCGAAGGGTCAAAGGGAGGGTTAGGGTTCTGCTGCATCTTGGCACGCTGCCAAGCTCATTATCAGTTCTAGCACTATAGGCGGGTGGTCTAGTGGATAGACTGCTCGTCAACACCGAGCGTACCCAGGATACAACCACACACACATAACGTCCTGGGTGCAAACTAGGGGTGGGGGTAGCATTCGCAAATGTCTTGATAAGTCGGGGCAGTACCTTTTGTAGTTTTGTACCTTTTGTAGTTTTACAGAACGCTTTGTTCTTTTGTTCTTTTCCCGCACGCATTTAATTTGCGCCCTCTGCGTGTCATCTTGCGCCATGTATTATTACGGATTTTATGAAAGTCCGCCTGGCGGGAGAGCATCATAGACTATCACTCGTTTTCGCGACGCGAGGCACGCTAATCAAACACCCAAATTCCTGTATGGAAATTACGCAACGTGTCTTTACACGAGTGACAAAAATATTTGCTTGAAGGAGTGGTCTTCGACGTTCTCTTAATGCTCTCGAGGTCTCACCGTCTCCAGAAATTAACCCCTTCACAGGAGAAAGATCAGCACTCGATCGCTACAAGACACCATCCCGTATAATAAAACACCCCATAACCTCATATTACCGATCCTACCTTCACTAACACAGATCATGATCACAGCCGTCTCGAGGGGCATTATTCCATGATCAGAAACCCCTCACTCCAGCTGCATGATGGTCCATGCTCAGATTGTGGCAGTGAAGCAGGTAGGGTCAAGGCTGCGACATGTGGGTCTACTGGAAATCTCAATGAAATTTTGGCAGGTCTCTCTTGATCATTTGCGCTCAGATGATATGATTACAACTTAAGTTTCTTCCTCTATTGTCATCATTCTCTCTACGACCCCAATGCTGGCTTATTATGATGCCGCAAATTTCATTTAGCTATAACAGGTAAATAAGTGCAACTTCTCCACCCTCTTACTCATGAGGTCAGTTGGAAAATCGTTATCTGTCACTCTTTACCCTCCTCTTCGCCTCTTAACATTTCTGCGGAGCCTGGAATGACCGCCGGGCGGGCCACCGACTACCTCACGTTTACAACTATGTGTAGTGAGTGAGATTGCATGGAGTATATAGTATAATGTCTATTGAAAGACAATGATTCTGGGATTCCGTGGTTTCAATTCCCGGCAGCTAGTGCTATATCAATCTGCTTTCAATGGAGATTGCCTCGATAGGGTTAGGGGTCCCGCTGGTTCCTTTGAAGCCTGCGCCAGTGAATTATTGTTATCCTCAAAAGATGCTTGCCTCGTTTCAGATACCTGGAAACTGATGTAGGTGTTATCTAAGAGCTATACCCTTGAGCTTCCTCGATATGACTGACACCAGGTATCGACGGAAGAACCACGGGGCCCGAGTTGAATCCTCATCCTCATGGTTTCTCCCTTCAGAGCTCTAATCTCCAGTGCCCCCGTAGACTTATGCCTTTAAAAACCATCGTCGATAGGGTATTTCCTTTGTACATGAGCGTCCAACCCCCACTGGATATGTCTTGCTAGCGTTGCGAAATGCAAAGGTGAGGAGGCAATTCTATGTGGAGATCTATCAACCTAGGCTCCACTCATACCGATTTTCCCATTAGCCATTTCCAGTAACATGTTTGCCGCAACAGTATGCCTCGTCTAATCCCACACAATTCCTCCTTCCCTTCACCCACCACATACAACCCATACGACAACGGCTGTCAAAAAACAATACTGTAAGCCTTCCCCCCCTCCCCCTCGACCTCCCTCTAACCCACCTCCGTAGAAACTTCCCCCACGGCAATGCCACCAACCTACAGCGCAATGACCGCCCATCTCCTCGATGCCCTCAAGGCGTGCGACCCCCTCCTCATTCTCTGGACCGCCCTCGACAAGCTCCAAACTAAGCTCACCGCCGACCTGGCGAACCTCGAGGACGAAACTAGGCGTGCATTATTGTCTACGATGCTCGCGGGAGTGGCAAAGGCGAAGGAAGCGCAGTGGTTGAAGGTTGAGACGGCGTGGGACAAGGTTGTGAAGGCGAGGGCGGCGTTGGGGGATATGGAGAGCGGATGGGGGAAGAGGAGGGCGCTGCGTCAGCGGAGAGCTGTGGAAGGCGGTGTGGAGGGAGGAAAGGTCGAGGGGAGGTATCGCATCGCGAAGGGGTGTTGGGTTGGGGAAGAGAGGAAAAATGATCTGTAGCCTGTTGTGTGGTCAATAAAGAAACAATGGAGTAGTGGTTGGGGAGTACATGTAGTTGTCTTGAGTTATAGTCTCCATGTAACTCTAGCGTTGTTTTCATGCACGGGCCATCTTGATCTAACTGAATGTATTATCGCTCGGTGCCACCAGCGGGATTTACCGATACGTAGACAGAAGCCAGGGGACGAAAGCTTGTTTGAACGTCATGTCTTAAATGCTTTCATCCTTCATTTCCCGTCTGTGTCAAAATCACCTCCACAAATTGAGAATTCATCAGCGACCAAACAGCAAGATATCTCAATACCATGTCTCCCCTCCTTATAACTAATGATAGATTCATACTCGGGAGACCATCGTGGACAGGGCTAGATGTCGCGGACAGGGCTAGACGGTGGATTTACTCGTTTACCAACTAAAAAAACCAGGAAATTCAGCTACTCAGTGCAGGGGTCATTTATATGGAGTGGTGGTGGCCCCTAACACAAATTCTCCCTATCTCAGGCGTTTACATATTCTAGCCTTCCAAGGAGCTAGCACCCATTACACGACATTCTAGGATATATGCTTCGAGGATCTCAATGACCTCGTGCACACAGAATTGAAAATATGGATCCATCAATATTAGACACTGATATCAAGGCCTCCAGTGCTAGGGTTTACCTTTGATGTAATCCTGGAGGAATACACATCTTACTTTCGAAGGGAATATATTCGGAAAAGCAAATTTCATCCAAGCCTGTCGTACTGACCTTTGAAATGAAGCGCGGGATGAGGGTGCCTCGTTCTTGAAAGGGTTTGTTCCGATCCGTTGACCAAGACGTCGATTTGGTCAAGTGCGCGCACAATTCCTCAGGATTGATGGATAGGGTGATCCCTTCAAAATGCCCATGTTATGATGAATAGGGCGCCCCATTAAACAAGCTTGCGTAATATCTCTACCCCAAGGATCAAGTACACCCATATTCGAAAAGTACGTATTGGCACCCAGGGCGTAGGGACGAGAGCACTGCCTCGAGGAGCCCAAGGCATGGGGGTCAACGAGGTAAGCATGCTCGAGGTTTAGTTAATCATTTATTCCAAGAAAATATTGTTTTGGCGAATCCAAATATGGGCACTATCAGCCCGGAGCCATGAGCTGAAGCACCTCGAGGCATCACCTAGAATATCTTTTTACGAGCAAGCAAAGGCATGGATCACACGAGGGAGAGGCACTTCGAGGTATCTGAACTAATTGACAAACTCGCTGGAGGGAAATATTATCTAGCGTAAAGTATACGCCGGAAATTGCCACTTGATCATTGGGTCAATAATCCATCAAGACGCCCATTTGGCCAAGGGGTCGCCCCGTCCATCATCTTGCTCGATAGGGCGCACACTTGACCAAATATACGTCTTGGTCAACGGATCAGAACAGGTTCGTCTCATATAACCCGGTGGGGAGCAGGAAGTAAACAGGACAGAGGGAAGCATATGTACAGTCTTCGCCAGGATTTATAAAAGAGGAGAGAATATAAATTACATAACAGCATATCTCTCTACGTTTCAGAGTTAGAGCTCCATACTACATGTATTATTGCACAAGTACATAACAGAGGAGGGACAACCTGGGCTTAAGGGTGAGCCGAACCGAATCCTTCAGTAATCAAAAGACAAAAGACGTATCTCAAAATCGACATCACATATCATTTGATATTCGAGCCTCTTATCACTAGCTCTCAGGAGAATGTACTTGTCACATCAGCCCACGCGCTGCGAGCCTGATCGGTTTGGGATTACGTCTTCAGGTCTCAATGAATCACAATTGATTGGAAAAAAAGGAGGAATACGGCCAACAATAATATATGGCTAGTCAAGGGAACGTTGCCTGCATACCCCAGGCCATCAACATCCCTGCTCATCCATTCTATGGGAGAATATACATGTAGCCATGCCCCCCATACGACAGCCTTTGCAATCACCATTGAGCACACATCCGCAAATCTTCGCGGCCGAAATGCTCACAAGCAAAGGGGGCTTTCTCTCGCAGGCTCTCCATGTCTTCCATCAGCAGCTCCACTCTCCCGCCATCATCCATCACAGAGTTCTGCTTTCATCTCAGTATGGAGGACCCAGATGCGCGCAAAAAGCTCTTTGAGAAGATCTCCATTCTTTCCCGTATTCTTGTCGACCTTGACAATCTGGATATTCAAAATGAAGCCGCCAAAGAAGGAATTCGTGCAGCCCGTGATGGTGGGTATCCAGCATTCTTTCCTTCGTTTTCCAGGCTACTAATCAACCCGTTTATTGTAGCACTGCTTTCTATGATGGTCTCTCCGGGTGCTCTGATAGATATGAGGTCTGCGGTGGAGACAGCCGCATCTCCGCCAGCCATTATCCCTGGTGGGAGTGCTGCAGATAGTCAGGAGCACCAGGCTACAGTATTCGATGGTTAGTTTCAGCATCCCGCATCTCGGTTTTATCTTACTTTCTTAACCCCATCAAGACACTCTGCCAGCCGGTTCCACTGAAGATGAGCCGGTGCACCCAGCCCTAGTAGGTTTGAGCTGGTCATTCCTCGATCTAATCCAAGGTGAGCACGCACCCACCTCCGAACCCGACGAAGGGCTTGAGATTCTACTGGGTTATCTTGATGAACAACATCCTGGTGCAGACGGTGAGCCTCCCCCGCGCCGTATCTGTATTAGCATTATCTCATCTAACACAGGCTACCCCCAGATTCGGACAGTGTGTCCTTATTCTCTATTGGAGACCGATCACACTGCACACTGGGAATGGGGCCCTCTGGAGCTCGACATGAATGCCCTACCGCAATAGTTAACCATGTCTCTAACACAGTTTCAGCCATCGAGCCTGCTTATCCTGTTGCTCCTCCGCCCTCGGCTGAACAAGAAAATGATCAATTTCTAGGAGGTGATTCCAGTGCCGAGGGATTTGGTAGGGTCTTCCGCCCCGATTCCAGATAGATAAAAATCTAAACTGGTGCTGTGAGGAACCAGCCAATCTTTCTTTCGATTTTGTTGACAATCCCGGCGGGAATGCCACTGAAGATCTCGGCGGCCTTGATAACGGCTGGAACAACGACGGTATGCATCTAGTAGTATATACATAGCGTGATCCGATAACACAAGGACTAAAAAATAATATAGCACTAAATCTTGCTTTCGATCCTGATAATACCGAGGATGTGGGCCTGTATGGTATATGCTTCGTCCCATGATGAACTATCTCCGGAACTAATCCGACGAATGCATAGGAAGTGTCAATCTTGACCTTACGAAGGGTGAGATTGAAGCCATGCTGGACGAGGCTATCGCATTTTCCAATCAGGTGCTTGGCCCCCTTGCTGGCAGTGGTGAGTTTCCGTTCACCGTAGTTTCTTTTCATGTGCTCCGAGGGTGTCGCTGACACGCAGAATTTATAGGTTCCGTACCTGCTAGTGACCCTTTCGCTCCCGGATCGGTCCAGACCCATTGTATGCTCCTCTCGATTGTGAATATTTTCACCCACACTTACTTCCCATGCTACAGCACCCAAAGGTTACACACAGCACAATAGGTTGGATGACGGCAAAATAATTACCAAGAACAGCCCTTTTATGAACACTGGGTTCAATCGTAGTACCCTTGGTTTTTCTGGTAATGCCGTCCAGAAGAGTAAGTGGCCGTCCATCAAAAACGTGATTCAGGTGGCTGAAATACATCAGCAGCTCCGGAACCGATTCCCAATCTTCAGGCTCCCGGAAATACGGCTCGTGACCCTATCGTTCTTGATCTCGATGACCACCAACCAGGTAAGCCCTTTTATCCCTCTCTTCTGCAATGCACCTCCCCATTCTCTGGGTCTTTCGAAATTCCAGCAAATATTAACGGGTAGAGCGTAGCGAACAACCGTCTTCAAGCTTCTCCCGCTACCCGTCGTGGCGGACCATACACACAACAAATGAGTATCAACGGCCGCTGTAAGTCACCCTTCCTTCATCCCCAGCCGCCAACTACATTCACACCCCCCCCCCCTTCTTCCCTCCCCTCCTCCTTCTCAATAATCCATCCATACTAATATCCCTCAGCTGTGACAGTCCCACGCGGCCGCGCTACTAGCCTTCCCCACTCCTGGACCGCCCAGCGCTCACCCTACGGAGGTCCTCCTCGGATTCCGTCTGATACCCTGCCGCAGTATGTCGCCACCACTACGAGGGATTATTCATTGGAGGGGCGGCTCGCGGCCAGAACGCGCAGGAGGCAGATGGAGATGCACATCGAGAGGATCGCTGAGGAGAATAGGAACCAGGGTAGGTCTGGTTAGCCCTGCAGCTAGCTTTTGGTGTTATGTGTACTTGATGGCGGGGAAGTTGAATGTAGATGGGGTGTGACCTTTGTTAAGAGTGGCCAAAAAAAACAACGAAAGTTGATTGCGAGAGAGAAATTCGGAGTTTTACTCTTTTCCTTCTCGCGACTGCTGGCTTTGCATAGAGTTGTTGACTTGCGGAGGTAAAGACGCAGGCCGATCTTGGCGCTCTAACCCTAACCCACATTGATACCGTATTCTTTCTAGCTATAGTTCCCGATCCTAGAACCGTTAAGAATCGCACCCAGTCTATGATCGTCCGCTTTATAGTCCTAAATCTCGCGACCTGCTTTATCATGCTAGGCGAGGTCTTAGCCCTGCCCCCCTCCGAGAAATATATCTCCCAACATATAGGATTTCAAGGGATGGGCTGAAGATATACTTCACAAAGACAGATGGATCCGAAACCTGTACTACGACAGTTCTTCCGTGGTAGTTTGGTAGCGGAAGTGGTTGATAGGTAGAGCCTAGTCGAGGTAAACATCTCCGGGACTTTATGGCTCCACCACCGGGGCGGCCGTTGTGCGAAATGATGTCACAAACTGTATACATATTTGCCCAAGTGATTTTTCCTCTCCAGACTCCCAATTTCAGTTTCGGAAAATGTATGTGTAGGGAGAGCAAGAGCATGACTCAGATATGAATAATACCTAAAGTCTTGTCGCAACTCAAGATAGCAGGACGTCGAGGTGTTGACCAATCAAGAGGTACACACCACCAAGGGAACTTAAGGACCTCAGTTTCAATGGATTAGGCGAGGGGGGCGGAGGAAAAAGGACCTCAGTTGGTGCGCAGAGTGATCTTCTGGAGCTTACGCTCAGAGATACTTGTCTTGCCACATGTTATACCTGTCGGCATTGCATGTGGCCTGTCCGCACCAGCGGCCTATATGTCCCAGACACCGTCACGGAAATGACAATGCCACGATTATACCTTACGTCAGGATCCCATAAACGTTCCATAGCTTCACTGAGACTTCTTCACTTTTTAATCAAAACCCATTCAGTTATGAGTCAGCTTTTCCTCCAGCCCATAGGAAAACCTTGCTTCGCAAATGCAATCAATGAATTAAACAAAAAAAACAAAAAACCTTGGTTCTTGGGAATGACCTTCATCAATGTAAAACGAGTGATATCCTGTGAATATCTTTCGAAAATGAGTCCCTCAACGATAATGAGATCTACGATGTATATCAAAAGAAGAGAGATCCGAGAAGAGAATCTTATCCCATAAACCGTAGCCCGTTGAGGTCACAATCGGGTCCTTTACAACAGGTGCCCACGCGCGTATCACAACCACGGGTTCGAATTATATAGAGTTTTATTCAACGAATTACATAGTTACAGAGGAATGAAAGGGAATAAAACAATTGCGATCACTACTAAGACAAAGAGGCTGATCACATGTTAAGCATTTATACCTAGTTCTACCAACAACCCTTTTCTTTGAGTCCTTTTCTAGTCTACTGGACGACCTGCATTGAACGCAGTCTCTCCGCTCATCAACATGAACAGGAAGGTGTTTACCATGCTGAAAGGGACGGGGTGCATCAGTAGAGTGTTCGCTTATGTGCCGAGTCTTTTTCTGGTTTTGCTTTTGAGTTGTGGGTGGTTTCTTTCTCTTCTGCACAACGTCTTTCAATATCAAATCCCAACCAACCCGCACGGGCATCCTAAATTCCTTATGAGATAAGTCCTTTTCCGCACTTGCATGATCTCCGTATATGATATAGGAATTAATAAGTATTGTATCTAATACCTAGAAGAAAATTGGATATCAAGTTCTTCTTGATATCATATGTGTAGCATAATAGGACCGGAGTTGGTCTGGAATATCAACACCATTCATATTGAAATTATAATCATATATGCATAATGGAATTGGAAGATTTGCTTTCCACTGCGCCTCTTCCGGCCAGAAATCCGATGTTTCTACACCTACCGCATTGATGATTTTCGGACCCGGTGTTTTTCGATCTGCAAATATTTCAGAGGAGAGGCCAGTAGTAGGATGCATAGTAGTCATGACTAGTATAGGCGCTGAATCCATCCAAAGCATGACAGCAACGCCATTGACAACAAGTGACATCCTCCAGTGATATGGTAATTTCGAATTTTTAGGTATTGACAGTTCGGTAGGGAAGTCTTTAGAGTTGGAGCAGGCCGTTCCACATGCTCCAACTACAAAGCGTATTCTGAGTGCGGAAAAGAGGGGTAAATTTGTATAAAAATTATCCATAAAAACATCAAAAGATTGATCCAGGCCATACTCGTCACAATTGCGTTACATGAGGTGAAAAACTAATCGGCTAGTAGTGCTCATCTCATCCACTTCGGGAAACTCAGAGGACGGTATTGGGTCAGTGCCAGAATGGTTCGATGTCGGGAAAAAATCAAAAACATAACCGGCAGCTGCATAGCAATGGAACTTATAACCTTGATCAATTGGCTTACTAGGCATTTTGTGCGTGTCCTCAGAATGACCAGTGCATTGTATCATAGTTTCATCAATTGACACCTTTGTTGGTGGACATCGGTACTTTCGTGATGCAGTCCGTAATTGATCCAGGAGGGGGTCAACTTTTGAGTGCCAAAGACCTCGTCCTGATGGAGTTTCCTTTGGTGCCTTGGGATGTGAAACATGAAAATATCTCCGGATTTGTTCGAAGCGCCTAAGAGACATGTAATCTCTAATATGATGCAACGGATAAAGACCATTATTTTTCCAGTAGTCTTCCACGGCTCGCATATGGCAAACTCACATGTAAATAATGATTCCGAACCATGTCTTCATTTTTTCTAAAAACACTGGCCTCCACCCACATCCCTCTAGTACAGGATCCTTTGTTGTAGAATAGCAATTGGTATTGAATGCAATTTCTGACATCAAAGTTTCGGTGAGGAAAAGATTGACAATTGTACTGGGCTCAATAACTTTTGACTGTTGCAACTGGCATGGGAGAAGATTCTGTGCCACTCTAGGAGGTTTTGAGTGTCTAATAGGTGAGAAAGGGGTTGATTTAGGGAGTGTATTCTTCAATGGGGGTGGTGAGTGAGATCTGGTGACCGGGATTTTGGGTATCTTTGTAGGCTTATATCTTTTCCCTTCGGAGGCAGGTACTTCTGGGTCTTTCTCAGGTGTGTCTATCGAGTGGGAAAGATTAAGATTACGGGGGTGTAGAGCTCTAGAGGCCATGGTGGGCAAATTGAATGATATCGCTGCTGTTCAATTATTTTGTATGGAAAATCACCCTTCCCAACTGTTCAATTTATACACTCAAGAACCCCTCTAATTTCGAACTCTTATTATTAATATTATAATTGCTACCTACTTCATCATACATACAGTATAATGACATAACTTTCTTTGGGTGTTGGTTGACAAAGTGCGAGTGAGGATAGGGCCGTTGATATCATCACCCGATTGGGTCCTCAACTCCGTTGCTACGGTTCATGGGATAGCGCTAAACACTGAGTATTCAGCAAAACACCCGCACTAAGTTCGGTGAATCCGCGCTAGTGTGGTGGTGGTGGGTTGTGAGGTCTCGTGAGTACGTATTGAGATTCTTTCGTTTCTACCTTGGCCTAGGTCTGCTCAGAACTTAAGGACTATCAGCCCTCTCCGGCTCACTGTTTGTTTCTGACAACTCAGAAACCGGAGGCGAAAACAAGGGGTGGGGGGGTAAATGAATATTACGGCACCGCGCCTTCTCCTCCATCCGCCTTATTACCAGCAGTGTAATCTTCAAGTACTAAGTTTTGGGAGGAAGGTTCTGTTAATTTATGAGCGCGTGCAAGCCTACGGAACCGAGTCCCATGCCCCAGTCTCTGAATCCCACCCTTTCTACCCGCTTCGGAAACCTCTAAAGCGAACTTCACAAGGCGATGAAATGTCGATCTAATCTAGCAGCTTTTTCTTCCAATGCCCTATTATACATATCCCTTTATACCCTTCCAACACCCCCCCTCCATCACCCGGAGCACGAAGCTGCACGCGCTTTCATGTAATCTAAAAATACACACCACATTCCAGAACCCTAACCCTGCGTTGATATCAGACCCACGTTTCATTTCATCATCGACCCTTACTTCCTACCATGTACAGTGATGGCGGCGGCGTGCATGGACACATTGTCCATGTTTATTTCGACGTCACTTCCGCCGGTTGGGATTCGGAACTCGGGAGAGGCGTGGTCCTTGCGCAGTCATGCGGTCTGGCTGAGATATATATTCAGATCTCGATAGACTCTTCACTGCTCGTAATACTGGTGCTGTCGATAGATACTTGACATTGTGTTGTGTGTTATCACTGTCTCAAGGTACGTTCTCACGATACTCGGTTGTGGAAAGCGAAGCGGCACTTCCCCCCCCCCCCCCCCGAGGGGGGAGCACGAGTGTTACCCAGCAGTCTCGCCCGGATAGTTTACATAACCCGCCATATCGCTCCGGCATATGTGTTAGGATGGACATGTGGTTCTTGTGCAGTAATTCCGGTGAACAAAGCTTAATGGGTGTTTACAGTACTTAATATGTAAACATCGCATTAGTAAACGCGAGAGCTCCAATGGCCTTTTGATATGGGTGAATACGGGTATCCCTAGGTATATTGTATCCTGTGGGCATCTCACACCAGCGATCACGAACTGGAGCATTATGCACGGCCACATGAATACTTTAACCCCAGAAGAGAACGGCCAATGGTATTATGAACTACAAGAAGATAAAACACCCCTATCATTACACCATAAAAGGGACCCTACAAGAAAAAGCACCATAAAAGCCTCTTCCGACATCACTACATTTCCCATTCCAATCTGCCATCTACCCTACAACCACGCCCCAATCCCCACACCCACAACCATAACCACCCCTGCCACCACAGTCACATCAACCCCCCTCCCAGCCGCCGCCCCCTTCTCCTCCGGAATAGTGTTACCACTATGGTCATCCACCACGCCACCGCCGGCATCATATGTGCTCGTATTCTCGAGGGTCGGGCCAACAGGACAGTTCATGGCATCGGGGTACACATCGCAGCACTCGGCACGCCTGTCTGGGTCGTCGCAGATGGCGGTGGTGCTGTTGTAGCCGAGGGTGCTGTTTGTGAGAGTGCCATTTGTAGTGATTGTGGTATTTGTGCCGGATATTGTCGTGTTGGCTTCCTGGCGGCTGTTTTTCGTCGGTGTTAGCTGCGGCTGAGGGGGAAGAGATGATGGTGGGAGTGGGCTTACGCATAGAACCAGTTGGCGGAGACGCCAGAGAAGGTGGTAGCGAGTGTAAGGAGAGCGAGAGGGAGTGTGTTGAGGAGCTGCATTGTGTATGTGTGCGGAAGAGCCTGGTGTAGATGTTGCGGAAGCAGGAGAGAAGAAAAAGGAGATGAGTGTGTTGGGGTGTGGAGGGTGTTTATAACCAGCCGTGGTGCGAGGGAGGGTCTTGGCATATGCGGCTGAGCGACAATGAGGCAGATGATGCCGGTGGTGTGGTGGGAGGAGGCTGGGGTTGATGAGGGACGGGTACGTGCAGTTCGGGTGGCTCGTGTTTGGTTATTCTTGGTGGAATCGCACGTTGAGACATTGGGACCAGGTTTGAGAATGCGCTCATTGCGCCTTTGAAGTGCTGAAGACGTGGCTGGAATTTCCGAGAGACAAAGATCGGAATGAGCCCTATCTATCAAGGCCCTAAAGTGCACTTTTTTCATCCGGAAGTCGGGGACAGCCATTTTGATTTCTCTGCTGCCCTGGAGCAAGATGTTTTTCACCGTGAACTAACCAACTCCAGAAGAAAACCAAACTTTTCCAGGAAACCACATTTGTGAGTTTTCAAAATTCAAACAAAAAAACTCCCAATGCAGCGTGGCTTGCGCCTGCGTCTGCACCCAAGAGCCACAACATCGCCAATATCTAGCGAATAGCTGCCATTACCAACACAGAGTAAAAGCACAACCATGCCTAGGCGACGTAACCGGTTCGGATAAGCGACTGAGACCGAATGAAGGGCTGCGCCGCATGCCGATGTGGGACAGTTGACTGAAATATAGGGTATGGGATGTCTTGCTCGCAGTGCTCCCCGTATTTGTCAGGTGAGGAAGGCAGGCAGTCGGAGGCGCTTTCTTTGAGATCGATTCCGCAGGCTTCGGGATGAATGATGTAATTTCCTGAGTAGGAGTGACGTTGTAAATAAATAGTTATCGGTTATATCATTGTTGACATCTTGATAGTGGAATGCAGTGCTTCAAATTCTTCAGCTCATGCTCATAACCGATTAAACAACTTTTCGAAGATAAAAAAATAAAATAACAGAAATAACCCGACTCTGACCGACGATTACCAGCCATCGATCGACAGCATGGCTTTCCATATTCATCAGGTGTTCTGTATCAAATCTCCACACGTCGCGTGTGAGAGACAAGTCGTCGAGAGAAGGTTTCCATAGCCGACAGCAAGGTTTTAATTCCCATGAACCCGTCCCCCTGCATCCCGCTCTCGCTTAGAATCTGGGCACCGGAAGACGCCGGTTGACAGCGCCAACACTCTCTGTTCATTTTGAAGCGTTTTCTTGCGCTGCTGGAAATTATCTGCTCCACAAAGTAGATTCGGGTCCCCAAAGCGTGGTAACGATCAATACCGCCATAACTAGAAAAATTGGCTAGCTTCCAGAGATCAAAATTACTTGTGTGGGAAACTTCTGATGCAGACCGATGCCATTCAACCAATCACTCGAGCGATAATCCCTGGCCGGATAGCCAATTTTTCTAGTTTTGGCGGTATCTTGAAAACCGCAACGATCAGAGCCAAGCGCGGGATCAAGTGGGCGCCAAGGGATGAGGCTGAAATAAGCTTACCACAACCCCCGGTCGGATCCTTGCTCAGATCCAACAACTTGAACAGCTATTTCTTCTGGTCTCAAACTCAAACCCTAGGAGAGAGGTCTGTCACCTCAATGATCCAGCGCCAAACCTTCGAGCGCCCCGGGTCGTTGGCCCTTATTTTCTGGATAGGTCTCCCGAACAATGTTCTGACTCTGTCGCTGCACTCTATCACTCAGATGAGGAATGGTGAGAGGAGCAGGCTTGAACAGGCTTCCTCCGCTGTACCTATAGCTCCCGAAACCAACACATATCCTTCACTTATTGCAACCACGTAACCTTTGCAATGTGTTTGACACCTATTTAGTAGTCGGCTAACTTGCCCGAAAAAGGGAAAACAGTGGCCCAAAAATCGCGTCCTCGCGGCTCTACTTTTATCGATGTCTGATAGCGATGTCTGTTACAGTACATCGCGCAACCGCGGAATCCTCGGGGAACACTGCATTACGTTCCACCCCACTAGCCTAGCGCGGGAGTGGAGTAACAAACGGAGACGGCAAGGCCGCATCCTGCACACCCCATGTCAAGACATATAGATAATAGATACCAGTCGACCAAACACATGGTCCATGTATAACGGGACGGAGAATCCACAATTGCTGCCTTGCACCTGGATGGGGTGTTTGGGGTAGCATTATAAACAACTGTATGTCCCCACCTCCCATTTCTCGGATCTCTGGAATCACGACCTAGACATCTGGCAATACCTGCATCGTTTCACCTTTACCGCCGGCCGCTTCCGATTGGCCACATCCATTTGTGTCCTTCCTGCGCTCCCTGCCAGAACCACAGTTTATGCCACATATGGCGGAAGTTACTGACCACGGAATGGTGCAAGACTACCTCTTTTCTATCCCGACCTACAGTAACACGGTAGGTTTAACTACAATTTCCTCCCAACGAGGCACCCGTTGGAGACGCAAGACTTACCTTCACTGATCCCCGGATGAAATCAAACTCTAGATACCGACTGGAGATAGTGTTACTCAACCGTCAGGTCAATATCGTAACCTAAACTATTCCCCAGCGCTTCCGAGATCGTTCGGAGGTGGTATGTCGACTCTAAATACCGGTACTGGGAGGGTATTAGCCAGGCAAAATGCTACAAAGAAATTTCAGCTACTTTGAAAGACGCAAGGTAGGAAATGGAGAAGAGTGTCTACCAACCTCTGGGATTTGGGCGGGGCCATTTCCGTCGCGGTGTCGAGGCCTTCACACACCTCCAGTAACCCTCTCATCCACGGACTTCCCACGCTCGTTATCCGTTTTTCCTTCGGGGCGTCTTGGGCTTCTTCCTTCCCGACTCGCAGCATTCACCGCTATCTCACCGTTCTCCTGCACCTAGGGCAGGCGCCATATTCTTGGCAAATAACCCCCCCAGCTCCTATTTTATCCGAAGGACGACTTAGCTTCTCATAGCCTAGGGTCTATGATTTGGGCGTAGAAGCGGCAGTGGAGGACGTAGGACTATAGAGCAAAAATAACTGTCGCTGTTATCGACAAATAGCAACTCAGCAGAATTAGACCTCCGCCTGGCTTCGTCGCTCTCTCCCGGAACTGTTGACGTTGGCATGTAAAGTGGATCGCAGCACTAATATAATGAATAACCTGCTTCATTACTCTGTGCTACTGACGGGTGGTCGTGGAATACCATGCGACGAGACGTGTTGTTCAAACAACGCGCTGGGCACCTTTGCTTCCTAAGCTTTACCAGACTTCGGTAGTCCCCAGGCTAGAAAGGACTGCTTGAGTCCATCCCCGATGTACATGTATGGAACATCGGACTTTGTTAGAGAACAAACTCTGACTAGGTAGCAGAGTCTGCAGCGACTCAGCTCGGGAAATGTGTTCAGTTGGGTATAGAATACGAGTGATAAGTTGTGATTCAGTCACACTGACCGGGGTGTTCGGCAACATCACGTCTTCTTTGTGGTAAAGGCCACCGCGGTTTTTTTTCCGACTCTGCTACAGTACATGGGAACATTTAGGCTTGCTGCACAAGAACACCTAGCGCCCTTATTTTCTGTTGCTGTCCTTCATCACCCACGTCACCCCTCACCCCTCACCCCTCACACCCACCACTTAAATACACATGGTACTCCAACCCGCATGTAAGGCTTCTACCAGTGGAATACACCTTGAACCTGTCTATTTAGCTCCATCGCCAGCTCTTTGACAATTCACAAAAATCGATCTGGGGCGAATGCTACAACTTGGGGGAGGGGGGGTTGAAAACACCCGGAGGAAAGGAGACAATGGATAATACTTTCACCTAGCCTCTGCTCTATCCATCGGTCTCCGACACCTTCCACAGCTCTTGATATTCTTGAGCATGCGTTATCCAAAAGTCTTTTTATTTCCGGTGGTTTTGCTATCCCCGCATGGGGAGTATTTTTGTTCTCCAGCAGCTTGAACATTATGCCGTCTTGAGTGATGTATCTTCATAAGCTGCGTGGGCTTTTTATTGTTGAAATACATGGCTCTACGTCGCCTAGGAGGAGTCTACTCTACTGTCCCTACATGGGAAGCAAGTTGCCTTAGTTCACCGTGGTGTCGGCACATCCGTTTAAATATACATGGAATCTACATACTCTGGATGTCTATATCCGGAGCTATCTCCGGACATGAGAATTATAGTACGCAACATCGTTTAGGGACGTACCTTCAAAGGCTAATCTCATTTTTGATATTGATCGTTCTATTTCGTAAATAGTAAAGATTTATTTTCATATAGGGCAAAATTTAGAAGGACCTTGACACACTTGTATTAACACAAAGTTACACCGTATAGGACTTTACTTACACCTCACAACAAAATCATTTTGCAATGATAGAGAAAACAAATAGCACGAACAACTTTACAGGTAATAATAACGAGCACCTACTACACCTACCGCACCTAACTACACAGCCTTGCAATCTCCTGCCTGACGCCCATCTCAATCAGGTGCATACAAGTTAACCCCCTCTCAATCTCCGTAGACTGGGTAGACACCCCGACCTGGTCATCGACCTCCCGGTAAACGCTTCGCATCACAGGCAAGATTTCTTTATCAAAAAGAAGATTCTTCTTAACCTGAAGCCCAGCTTCCAGGATTGTCTCCAGGAAGCCAATAGACTCTTCTGCAGGCAGTGGCGCATCTCCTGCTGCTAAGTCTTCCTGCACACCTTCGATGTATGCGGTGTAGTTGTCATGGCAGTAGTCCATCGTGCGGACGTCCTTGCCGATGCTGAAGCCGTACTGCAGCACTGTCAGCTTGGGTAAGGGCACGACATGGTGCGAACGTTCTTGTTGGTCTGCGGTGTATGACATGGTGGGTGAGTGTTTTGAGAGTTTCAAGTTTGGCAGTGTTGTTGATAACTTAGTTCCGGAATGATTGCTGAGTATTTTAGGGAAGAGCCTACTGCCAAAAAGGTACCCTTTATACCTGGTACAGGTGGGTACTTCCCTGATAGTACTGAGGGCCGTTCACCAACATGGTCTATTTGCAATAAACCAGTGGGTATTAAATTATGAGTAAAACGGGGGATGACCAGGTTCTAGAGTTGTAGAATCCGATATGTGTGCGAAATTAGCAATTGGAATCATTCTCGATGTCCCTTGGGTAGGTTCGCACCATTTCTAGGTGCTCTTGATGATTCATCCTCTATATAAACTTAAAATTTAAAACTGAACTCTGATTCAATGATAGATCTATGAACCCATCGGAAAGTCTCAATAGACCGGTAGAGAAGAACCAGTTTTCCACTTCCGAGCTACATAGACCTCAGGAATGTTAGCAGGGCATCAATCCGAATAACCAAGCAAGGGTATATTCTTTCATTTAGCACTCAACAACCATTCTCCGGCCAATAGCCATTCTGTATCACATTGGGGCACCCTGTGCACTCCCCAGAGAACAAAATTAAAATAGCCAGAGATGTGACATAGTACAGTGCACAGGTACCTTCGTGATACTATATCACCACACCCCGCACCACCATTGAAGCCGAACCCCGGTCTGGAAGGCTTAAGCATACTTGGAAAACACTAGTAGCCCGGAATTTGTATGACGGGGTACACGGGGTTTGAGTAATGTTATTGTATACACATTCTTCTTTGCACCCCTGAAGGCTAATGTCAACAAACTCTGTGTGGGGTATGTTTGGAGCTTTTATTAACAGCAAATTGAAATACCTGAGACGCCTAAATTTACAATGTGGGGGTGCACCTCCGCCGACTATAAAAGCGTCAACTCCCGCTCTTCCTTCCCCCTCCACACAACATACCTTCCACACTCCCACATAAGCACCGCTCCACAACCTAAACTACATAACCCAAACCACCACCGCTAAAACCCCAACTCCAAACCACACAAAGCAAAAAATGTCAGCCCTCAACACCCCCGAATTCAAATCCCAAGAAGCCCACTGGCTCGACATCATCGCCAGCATGAACACCGAGACCTACGGCAGCTTCAACGGCGTCGGCGGGAGCGACGCGCACTTCAAGATGTACGAGCGAGCCATCAAAGGCCACCCCAACATCGCGAAGGAGTACCTTGATGGGTGCGAAGCTTGGGCGAAGGCATCCCCGGCTGAGTGCCAAGACAGGATTGCGGAGGTCAGGAAGTTGGTGGAGGAGGCTTTGGGGGCACAGGAGGAGAGGGTCAAGGAGAGGATGGAAAGGATTATGGAGACGTATAGGGCGGCGACGGAGGAGGTCTAATTGTGGAATATGGGGTTGTGTTTTTTGTTTACTTTTTTTACTTTTTTTTCTGGGTTGTTTTACTTTTGTTGGGCTGGTTTGGGAACGGGGTTGGGGTTGGCTTGTTTTTGGCGCGGGTGGGGTTATAGTATTGGTTGGATATGAAAGATTTGAGTTCGATTTGTTAATGTGAAGTACACTCCTTCTCGGTGGTTTTTCTATCCCAAAGCTGTCCAAAATATTTCGCATAATAAAAACAACCCAAGAAACGGGTTTCGGGAGCTATCTATGTGATGTTACTCTTTGCTTCCGTTTCGCCAATTCTGGCCTCCAAAAACTACACTTGCCAACCTCTACGGACCTTCTTCGGAATTGCGCGTGCCCTCATTTCCGACGTTTCGTTTACCGCCGTTTTATGTCTTCCCAGTTTGTAATTATAGACGACACTGAGGCCGAACACTTGTGTTGTATTGAGGTGGGCCTGGACTTGAGCGATGTCTCGGATAACATAAGCATTATTACAACACAATAGTTGGTCCCGAGTGATACGCCATGATGCGGAAACCGCCGATATCTGGAGAGAGGAATGATAGATCTCACCGGAGGGTTGGAATATGATTAGCAAGTGAACTGCAGCCAGGAACAAAGCTCAACTCGGATTATGATTGGCTCTCGTACGTACGTACAGTATATCGGTTTTGGACTTTTTCCTTTAATCGTGTTTTAACATTTATTCTACGTGGAGTGATATGATCAAGTGTGAATGAAGGCTACATGTAGTACAGTTATGATATAATTTTATAGGGCTTTTGGATATAAATATCAAGATGCTGTTCACACTTTGTAAAATGCTATCAAACAGAAAGTTCGTATTGTTTGAAATCAATGAATTAACAAAGTAAACTGAGAAAAGATAGCAGGAAGAATCGAGCCTTAATATAAGGCCCCAGGCAAAGGCACATGTAAAGCTGGAGGGCCAGAAAGCACCTTTTGGACAGCTTCACTCGCCCAATCGTCATAAGTAAAACGAGAAACAACCCTAAATTAAAACTATAACTAAAGAAAACCACGTATCCAGCGGCATCCAGAAACCCCTCAAACAGTCCTCGTCCTCCTCTGCGGCCTTACAAAATCCTCAAACGTGCAGTACTCCCTCCCATCCACACTCGCCGCCATCTCAGACGCATCATAGTACTCGTCTTCGTCCTCGTTAATACACCTCCCATCCAAGATACCCATCGCCTCCTCCAACAGCACCATCTCCCTAAACCTCAATATCGCCGCCTTCAGCATCTTCCACGTCAGCTCAAAGATATCCGCCTGCATCTCCGGATCACCTGCCCACGGGCCCTCAACATCAACAAAGTGGATCAGCACCGCGCGGTGAATCTGCATGATGCGAAACCTCTCCCTCGCCCTCTCCAGCAGCCGATGTCCCCACACTCTCTGCTCCTCCGTCGGGCCCCTCTCACCCAGACAAACAGCAGCACCAGAGGTATTGCCCGACGGCGCATCCCAGGCGGCGTCTTCATCGTTGTCGAACAGGTCTAGCTGGCCGGAGGGGGATGAGCCGACGCCGGACTGGCTGCTCCAGTAGAGGAATAGGGCCAGCTCTCGCACCACGGGGTCGGTGGTGAAGTATGTTCGCAGCTCTTTCCAGGCCTCGCTGATGAGCAGGGCGAGGTTGGGCTTGTCGGTGCCGTAGACGGTGATGAGTTGGCGGGCGGTGTAGTCGCTGGTTTTGGGAGGTGTGATGGGGAAGTCGGCTGGTGCGCCGTTGTAGATTTCTACTATGTTGTTTCCTGACATATTGGTGTGAGATTTATAGTTATTTTCCTTTTTGTAATGCAAGTGGTGTATATGTATACCTGAGTGAGCGGGTATGAAGGAGGGGGAGGTGGGGCCTTTTATATAGGAAACGGTGGCTTGGTATAGAAGGACAGTGAACTCTAATTTTGAAACCACGTTTATTCCGAGTGAAGGACAGCATACAGTTGGTGATACAGGTGGTGTGGTTTGGGAGGCTCCGATGGTACCCGGTGGTGCCTGTACTTGTGAGCAGCTGGATTGTGTTATACTATTTCTGACTTTGTAGTGGAAGTATATTATTTGATAGTATGCAAAAGGGTTTTCAGGACACAACATTATCATTCTTTGTTACCTCAAGGCAGGGCTACCTATATCATGTGTAGGGTGTTCGTTGTCACCAGGGAAGATAAGGTGATTCCCTCCGAATATCAATCATGCTGTAGTCCTCGAAGATGCTCGGGGCACGTAGAGATACGTGGCCTGGTGCGCGTATACCACTGCCTCATACTCTCAATCTACGCTGACCTGCAGCTGGAGGCACTCGAGGCCGCAGATAGTTACTTCCATTGAATCCGTACTGAACATATATTGGATTCTACTTCTCATTCAACCATGAGGGCTATACTGAAGGCTACCCCTGCCGAAGCATCCCTCCTAGGAGGAGTTCAACACGAAATACAGCTACCCTCGTTCTATCCACGGGGGGTATATCATGGTCATCACTCGGTTCCAAGAGCCTCATGAGCTCTGTGGAAAATGTTTCGTCATTAGAACAGGTTTCTTTATATCCACGAAAGGGGGGTTGAGATCCGTGGGGAAGTAGTTTTGGGACAGATATCTGCTCTGTCAGATCCGCTATCTAAACGGTTTCGGGGCAAATAGACTAGACTGGTTAAAACTTGGGTATATCCATTTAGTAGAGGTAGATGAAACCCTAACTAAGCTCTCCCCAACTAACACAACCTCCCCCTCCCCCCCTCCCCCCCAACATCCACACAGCTCCTCCACCCCGACGTACAACCCCACACCCCCCACACCGCCCATTCACCCCCACCACCGCATCACCCCCCCCGCCACCCACCAGCAACCTACACACCCTCCCCTCCCCCGCCTGCACACACACCCCACACCGCCTCTCCCGCACCTCCGTCTCCGCAAACACACCCCCGAGCAAGATCTTCCCGTCGATGTACTTCCCCTCCGCCCAGCACACCGACATGCCCGTCTTGCGCCGGACGTCGTAGATATCTGTGAAGTCGCCGATGAACCCCTTCGCACGTTTGTGGGGGTTGTTTTGCGGCGCTGGGGTGGCTTGGGGGGGGGGGGGGGTTAGAGGTTGGTAAGGGTAATGTGTGGCTTGAAGCTGATGGAAGTGGTGGTCGCTAGAAGGATGGCTGGAGTGAGGAATAGAAGTGTGGGTCGAGCGTCAAGATTTCCAGATGTGATGTATGAGGTTCAATAGTCCCATAGCTTACCCGGATGACGACGACACTAACCAAGCCAGCCGTCCTTTACCTACACCGTGCATCTCGCAGTATATATGAGCATTAGTCCAACCCGTGACAAAAACGCCCCCCCCGCCACCGGCCCTTTTTTACTTTTTTTATTTTATCATGTAATTTTTGATTCTAGTTCGCCACTATCTCAGAGATGAGCATTAGTTACACCACGGTGCCTATCGCTAGGGTGTCCCCGCCGAACCACGTTCCCTACATGGGATCAGGAAAATATTCATAACCAACCCTGTCGGAAGGTCAATCACGGATAATCACTCGATCGGTGCCAAGACCTCCTCCCGAGGAAGTACAAATACATACATGTATCCACTTGATTCGCCGCTGCTTTTTGGTACTTTATCCCGGATTCCTTAGATACATGTACATACGCGCTTTCCAAATCCCCTGCAAACGCAGCAATCCACGTAGTGATGGCATATATCATGCCAAGCCATACGTACATGTACCAGAATGGGCATTTTCGCATCTTCACCGCAAGCCAGCCTCCAGAGGTGCGGGCGGGGATGGTTAGGCTGTGTAACACAAGATATATATGGATATCAGACGATAAGGACAAGATCTATGCTCCCTCCGCGTACATTACAGGCAAAGAACTACATATATATTCAGGACCTATCGATAGCTTCAACCTGGTCGTCCACATCTCATCTCATCGACAGCCCCACGCATCACACGCACCACCCATACATCCCCGAGATGCCCCCAGGCATCACCCAACACGGCCACCTCTCCTCCTCCTCTCACCTCGCAGCTCCCCCTCCCGCTGTCCCTTCTCGGTCCTTCACAACAAACGCGACCCGCACCAACAAGCAGACCACACAGACAGCATCCCGTTCAGCTGCTGCACGTGCACGCAAACCCAACCCTCCCCAGCACAACACCAATACTCGTCCGGCCGCTCCACCGCAACACACCAACACCACTCATCCAGCTCCAGCACGCAGCCAAACCAATCCTCCTCCTCCTCCCCACCCCAACCAACCCGCCAACAATGCACACACAAGCAAACCCCGCTCCATCCCACTCCTAACCGACAACCACACCTTCAACCTCCCCACAGACCCACTAGAGCGCTACCACTGGGTGCGCGAACAGACCATCGCGTGCTATCGCTCTGTCACCACGGGTACTGCGTCGGCGCGGGAGATGGCGTTTATTTTCAGCGTCCCCTCGCTGCCTCTGCCTGCAGCTGGCCTTGGGGGTGTTTCTGGTGTTGAAGTTCGTGGGGAGAGGAAGGCCGCCGAGGAGCCGATGTAGAATAGGAATGATGGGGCCAGTAAGCGGAGACGGATTGAGAGCGCACAGAAGGGGACCGCAGCAGCGGTAGGGCGAGCAGGGACAAAACGCCAACGTCACGTTTGGCCAAAAAAAGGCCCGTCGAAGTGATTGAAATCTCCGACGATGAAGACGACGAGGAGGACGACGACGATGATGATGATGACGATGATGATGATGATGATGATGATGATCCTATCCGCCGTTCGAGCCGCCGCATCAGGCATCTTCCAGTCGAGCACGGGCCCCTACTAGTCGGCAAGAGGAATCTGCGAGTCAAGAAGGTGCCCCCTCCACTCGAGAGGGGGCCCCTACCAGTCCAAGACGCCCACCGGCCACTCTCCAACGCCGCACCACCAGTCTCCAACGCCCCCCCGCCAGACCCCCCCGCTCCCCCAACCACCCACCCCCCGTCTTTCAGCCGTGGTCCCAGCTCCCCCAGCCCACACCCGGCTTCATCGGCGACTTCACCAACGTCGTCGAGGCACAGATCATCACCGGTAGGCGGCGCACGTGGGTCGAGGGAATGTACATCGAAGGACTACTTTCCTTTACAGGGCATCTTGCAGAGACGGGCACGGTGGGGAGGAGGTGTGGGAGGTATAGGTGGGATGGGCACGGGAGGGCTTGTAAGCGGCTCGTTGGCGGCGGGATCGGTGGGTGGTCGGTGGTCGGTGTGGGTGGTGTGTGAGGGTGGGGGGGAGGTGTAGGGGGAGGGGGGCGTGATGATGGGGGTGAAGTTGGAGGGGGGGAGAAGCCGGGATCGATGGGAAGGAGTCGACGGCTTAGTGTAGTTAGTGGAAGGAGGTATCCCTCAATACTATGTATCGGATTACATGTACCTTTGCGTTGGTAGAGGCAGAATATAAAGAAAGAGAGAAGTCATATGACTCAATGATCAGTGTTGACGCACACACAGAATTCCTTATGTAGGTTCCCACACTCGTTCCTGAGGCATAACCCATATCGACCGCGTAATATTTACCACACGTACTGATAACGGGAGAATATCATGTCACGGCAGGCCAAATCGTTCCCCGATGTACTGTGAGACGGAGTAAATAAAGGACACCTGAATCCGCATATTCCCAGTGAAGGGTCTGTCGAACTATATGCATCTGTGTATCCCGGCCTAGCTTTGCCCTCCCTGTTCCCGCAAGCTCCACGCAACCACTAGAACAACCCCGCCCATCATCAAGCTGTGCCCACCATCTCCCGCCGCCCCACCTCCATCGAAACTTTCCCCACAAGCTGCAGCAAAGGCCAAAAAAAAACACCTCTTCCCCTTCCTCCGACATCACCGCCATGCACTCCCCGAATACCAACCAGCTCACAATCGATGGCCATGTATTAACGATCCCAACAGACCCCGTCGAAAGCGTTCGCTTCATCCGGGCCAAGACACTCGCCTCGTATCGTTCGGTCGTCGCTGGTGCCTCAACCGCGCGTGATCAAGCTCTCGTGTTTGGCGCTGCTATTTCTGAGAGCACGGATGGACGCAGAGAAGCTACAGTTGGCCCACCCGTCCATGAAGGCGGTGCATTTACAACTAGCCATGGCAGTAACCACGGTACCAAAGCAGCTCATCACCCCCCCTCCCAGCCCATCACAGCCGCAGACCCCTCCAGCACAGCCACCCCTTCCCAGCGCCACCCCGCCCCACAACCCCCTCCCCCCACCGCGGCCCTGCCACCCTCGGTAAATGGATCCGCCGCAGAACCTGGCAAACCGGCGACGGCTTCATCGGCGACTTCCAAAACCCCCTCGATGTGCGCACCAAGACCCACATGTCCGCGAACTGGGCCAAGGGGCGCTACATCGATGGGGCCATCTCCTTCCGCGGGGTGTTTGCGAAGACGCAGGTGATGGAGAGGAAGTGTGGTGCCTGCGAGCAGGAGGGAGAGAGGGCGGGGGACTGTACGGTTCTTGTGGATGGCGGGAAGGAGGATGCGTATGTGGTGCCAACGAGGAGGTGTGGGCGCTGTGTGGCGAGGGATAGGGGTTGTAAGTGGGGGTTGGCGGAGTGATGGGGTGGTGTGTGTTGCTGTTGTCGGTATATGCTGTGTGAGCCTGGAAGGAGAACAGGGACTGTACCTGGTGTCTTATACCTACATCAATAACCATGTAAATCCAATAGAATCACCCTTCGTCAAGATGAAATGAAGTCTGCGCTTCCCTGAAAGACATGCAAGCCCCTACAAAACCTTCCCGCCCCCCCCAGCTCCCCATTTGATTCTCTAAGCTAAATGTGTTCCGCAGTATTGCTGCGCCAGTTACAGTATTCCCAACGGTAGAAACCAGTACTTGTGATATAAGTCAACACCGCACCGACCCCCTAAATCAAGGGGGAGCTCAAACTGAACCAACTGTAACTACCCACTGGTTTATCTTGACACTAGTTTGAACTGGTTCAACTGCTTGACCCGCGGTATTATGTCTTGGCAGAACTACTCACCATGATAAAAAAACCTCTTCACGTTCTCGAACAGGGTGTTCGGGGTTTTCTCTCCAAGTCGTAAGGGCGACCTAACTACTAGAAAGTATGATTCGGATTCCCTATCCACTAGGTACCTGTTTTATCGGATTACACAGAAAGAGACGCCCCGCTCAGCAGAAGACTCTCACCCCGCTCAACACAGCGACCGCACATGTGAAGGTAGTCAGACATTCAATAAAATGTGCGAAAGTTTGCCTGACTGCAATAGTTCTACCAAGCATTTGCTCTGTCTTGAACCCTCTGCCGATGGCCACTGGCAATTAGCTTGCATAGTCGGGGTAGGAATAAAGTACCAGAAAATGCAGGTTCTTGCAATTTGGTTCACCAACAGAGTCAAAACTTAAATTTTCCGGTATTTTTCACCTATCCCGAGCATGGACCGAATAACATCAATGAATAAAAATAAATCTGCGGCTGCCACTTGATCCGTGCTGCGCTAGGGCTAATTTGCTGCCGATGAACTGCTGCGAATGGCCTGCTTGTCTTCCACCTGTCTCTTATGGTTGGAGCATTTCCTGATGAGCGGGGCGCCACTCTGAAGTTACTACAATACAACGATTTCCTGGTGGATAGGGCGCCCGATTCGTATGTTCTGCTGGACAGGACGGCTTCTGGACTGGACAGAACAGGACTGTCGGTTTTGCAGATTCCCAAACCATTCAAACCATTTGTTGGGGGGGCGATAAGAACTGCACCAACTGTCAAGTTAAATGGTAAAGTGAAACCGATTTGGGCCGGATAACCGGTAAACCACTGGGAATCCTTGTGTAAGGTGCTGGTGGTGGGCCGGGATGGGTGGGCTGTGGGTGGGAGGTGTGGGTAGTGTGTGAGGGTGGGGGGGAGATGTAGGGGGGCGAATAGGGGAGGCGTGCGTGATGATTTGGGGGGGGGGGGGGGTGAGTTGGAGGGAAGGGGAGAGAGTGGGATTGATGGAAAGAGGTCCACGGCTTAGTGTAGTTAGTGGAAGGACGTATTGCTCAATACTGCCGAATTACAAATTCCTTTACGTCGGCAGGGGCAGTATATAACGAAACACAGACGTCATATGGGTCCAGTGATTCCAACGGTCGAAACCAGTTGTATTCGGAGGTCATACGATACCGAACGGAGCTAAATTACATCCCCATCTGAACTAAACTAAACTAAACTAAGTGATAGTTGTCTAAACCGGTTTAGTAACTAGAACCATTCATTCTTTCTGGTTTCCAGGTTCATAAACGAAACCTGTTTTCGGAGTCTATTGCTTGGGTTAAATTGTTTGGTGTAGTTGAGCCTGCTGGAAAACCGGTGAAGGTCGGGTGTTTAAATACGTCCTCTACGCGACGGGTACTTGCATGGATAGAACCGTTTAGTAAACCGGTTTGATCTGGATTTTGGGCTGTGGGGAACGGTTCAAACCGAATTATCTCAAAGACAAAATCTCAACCGGGGCGTTAACTAAACCGGTTTACCAAAACCGGTTTGTTTGGTAGAACGGGTGAAACATTGGAAACCCTGACCTAGTCGTTCTGTGCGATGTAGATTGTCATTGGTGAAGGTATATGATATCAGGTACATTCTTTTCTCCTTACTACCGGCGGACACAGCACATATAGCAATAGTAATAACATTACCCCTTCACTCCACCCCCTTCAAGCTACAACCTCTCCTCCTCACAACACACCGCGCACACTTCCTCATACGCCCCACAAAGCGATCCAGATCTTCCTTCCCGCCACCCACCAGCACCCTACAAACACTCCCCGCACCCGCTTGCTCACAGTTCTCACACTTCTTCTCCATCATCATTGTGCTCGCAAACACCCCGCGGAACGAGATAGCCCCGTCCATATATTTCCCCTTGGCCCATTTCTCAGACATTTGCGTCTTCCCTCTCACATCCAAGGGGTCCTCAAAGTCACCTATGAACCCTTGCTTGTCTTGCCAGTATTTGCGTCTTTCCCAGATATCGGAAGTATCAGGGACCCGATCTATGGAAGGAGGTTGTGAAGCAAGGTGGCGCCCAGAAACGACGACTGTGCTGGGGAGGCCTGCGTCTGTGCCTGGTTGGGCAGGGAGGTAATTATCTGCCTTGGAGCCGGGACGACGACTGGTTCTATGTCCACCGCCTTTGTCGACGGATGGATCATCTCTAGTGCCCCTGCGTTTATCCATGGTCTCGGAAATAACACCGCCGAAGATGAGAGCTTGATCCCGTTTATTTGAGGTCCCGGTGATGATTGAACGATACGAGGCGAGTGTCTATATCCGCATAAATCGCAAGCTTTCGACAGGATCAGCGGGAATCTTTACTACATGGCCATCGATCAGGAGATGCTTGGTATTGAGGAGACTCTCCGAAATAGGCATGCGTGTGTGGTCGGAGGATTGAAAGGAGGAACTCTTTTCGAATTTTACTCTACCCTCTGGGGCAACCTTAGATGAAGATGGCGCAGCCGGAGGTGGTGATGACCAGCTCCCCCTTGATGAAAGCGATGGTGGGCACATCTTGACTTTTGGGGTGATGCATGGGTTGGAAGTTGCGACAGTGGCAGGGGGAAGGGATAAACCGACGAATGTAGTTCGACAGCCTCCTCACCCAGATTATCAAATTGGGCGTGCTTTATCTACCATGTCTCACAGCAGATCCAGGGACGCTTTAGGCTATGGTGACATGCATCATATTCACCTCTTATCAATTTAATTTGTCTAGGAGATGCCCCATGGGGAACGTAATTTCAGTCTGGAATAAACCTGATAATATGTCTTGGTGTTTTTGTGGGGCGCATATGCGGTACTCTCTGCCATTTTCACCTTTTCCCGTAAAATTAAAATTATTCTGACAACTAATGGTAGCGGGACATCCCTGGTTGCCCTCAATTATCGGGGCATATGTACGGTTCCATACTAGAGTGGCCTCCTCTTACTCTACAGACGAATCTGTGGTATACAGTCGTAGTATAAATTCCCAAAGAATGTATTTCATTCCTTGGTTAGTTTTTTGCACTAATTACACCCCTAAAAATGTCCATTCCTTCCAGTACCAATATATCTCTAACCCTTCCCAATCCACCACTCCTCACGGCGCCCTCATCCTAGCCACCAAGCTACACGCACCCCCCGTCCTCACACACGCCCCACACTTCCTACTCTCCGCCCACTCATCGTCCCCACTCACCATCACCATACACACCGTATTAGCCCCCCCCTTCACACACTTCGTACACTTACTACCCATCGCCACCGCCTCCGCATACTTCCCACCCAGCGAAAGTGCCCCGTCAATATACTTGCCCATGATCCAAACGCGCGCCATCCCGGTGGTTGCCTCCGCATCCGCGTAGTCGGTGAAGTGCCCCACGAGGTTCGGCATGGGGTATTGGCGCCGGTCAAAGCGGACAAAACCGGGGGGGTGGGGGGCGGGTTGCGGTTGCGGGGGATTTATGCTGGTGCTGGGTTGGTGACGCACGCGCGGGGGGTTGGGAAGTGCGGAGTGGGCGGTGGGGAGGTGTTTGATGCGGCGGCTGGAACGCCGGATGGGATCCTCCTCTTCGTCTTCTCTGTCTGAGATCTCAACTACCTCTCTGCCCCTTTTTGCCGGAGCCGGAGGTGCCCTAGATGTTTTGTCTGCAACACGCATCCTACCCGCCAAACTGCCGCCGCGGTCCTCTGCAATATCACCCCTATTGTGGTGGTGTACAGTCTGTGTTTGTTTGACCCCTTTGTTCTGGCTCGACCCCACAGCCTCCACTCCACCATCCCGTACACCAGGAGGTGCCCCAAGATGCGGTATAGATGGGTCGCCAAAAATAAACGCCAGATCCCTCGGCGTCACGCTACCAGAAGTAACAGCGCGGTAAGACGTGATGGTCTGTTCACGGACCCAGCGGTATCTCTCTACCAGATCCGCGGGAATGTCAAAGACATGGCCGTCGGTCACAATTGTGATTACACTAGCATCGGTGAGTTTGGTGGTTTTGATGTGCTGCGGTGGAACAGGGGGAGGGTCGCTATGCTGGGGAGCATTGATTCCGCGTGCGGAAGCTGAACGTGAAGGCAGCGACGGGGTTGTGGCCTGTCTGGCCTGCTTGATGTGATTTGCATCGGTGTTGGTAGATCGAGAGGGGGGATCACGAGGGGGGGAGGAGAAGAAGGTACCCGGGGGGGTTACGAGTGGGGGCATATTGGATGGGGTTTTGGTCGTGTGGTGTGTGTGATGATGAGATTTGGACGGCCATATTAAAACTACATGTATGGGTTTTGAATTAGTTCGTTGCCTCTAATGTACGCGGGGGAGCTATAGATCTTGTCATTGCATTATCGATGCGTTAAGTTACACAAGCTAAGTCTCCACGCGCATCTCCGGACACCAGAGCTAACGGCGCAAAACGCACATGCGGCAGTCTAAGGCTTGCCATAATATATGCCATCTGTGCTATCGCGTTCTCAGGGGATTTGGAACGCACATACATGTATGTATACTTGCTCTAAGGAATCTGGGCACAAAATCAAAAAGGCAGGTGGATCAAGTCCATACGTCGAGTGAGACATCCCATTATCCCCATATACACACAGGGGGTGCGTGTCAGTAGCATCCACTACTCTCAACATCTCGCAGGGGAGTTTTCGCGTCATGAGTTAAACGTTAAAAAAAGGGCAAACTTTTCGCGTCATGTAATATCACTCGACCATTATTTTTTATGAAAAAGGTTGATTGATGGATAGTCCGGAGGCTATGACCCTGTTTACCAAAAATGTGGTCCTGGGAATGATTATTCAATTCCTCATCGATGGGCGTAATGTAACTAAAATAGTTTTATACCCTAACAACTCAGCAGTAAACTCTGCCCTCTCTCGCCAGGCTGCATATCTCGCCAAGTCTCATCCTCCACGACGCTACACACATCAAACAAACTCTTTACACTATAGAAACAAGCCCCCAGAGCGTCCACATCAACAAGATTCCTCCCACCACTAGTCCTTCGGAGTCTCGTAATCCTCGTCCTCCTCTGTACTTTCCCCACCATTCCCATCAGCGCTACCAGCTCCCCAGCCCCCTTCCATCTTCCTAACAACGTCCGCTTCACCACCACTGGCAAACTCACTCACAACACACCCTGTTGATCCCACCGACTTCTCCCATGAAGTACCTTCTCCTGCGATAACCGCATTATACGACGAAATCACTTGGCTCTGTATTTTAGAAAAACACTCTACTGGGTCCGCAGGGACGATAAAGGGGTAGCCGTCCACATAGATAACCGTGAAGAGTCCAGTATTCATAGCGGTGTCAACCATAGTGCGTCCGGGGATAGCGGCTACAGCGGGCTCTGGTGGCGGCGAAGAAGTGTTAGTCCCGGCGTCAGCCGTGACAGCAACTGCCGCGGGCCCTGGTGGCGGGGGAGAAATGTTAGTCCCGGCGTCAGCTGTGGTAGCAGCTGCCGCGGGCTCTGGCGGGGGAGAAGGAGAAGGTTTTGTCACCGCATCCGCTACGCAGCGTCTCACAACCACAGTCGATGTAGAGCCGGTGGACCCTCTATCCGGGGAGGGCATTGTCTGCGTTGGTCCGTCCGTTTTGCGACTACTTGCTCTAGCACCTGAAATGGGGTTTCGTGGCGCGGGAGGTTTGTCCCCGGGATAGAGAAACCGGTATTCAACTGATTTAGTGCGGGGTCTGAGAGTTCTCTTCGGCAGTTCTTCACCGACGCCGTTGTTACTGGCGCTGGAGACTGGGGGAGTGTAGCCCCCTGCCCCAGGGCTATTGGTAGCCTTTGCGGGCTGTAAAAGGGAGTAAGAATGTGCTGTAGCAGGTGTGTTAGTATTCCAAAATATCACGTATCTCTGCAACCTTATGCCAAATCGACCCTGCACCATCACGAGCCACTCTCAGTTTATCGCCAGATTCACTGGAGGGGGAAGGCTTGCGTTGTCTTCTGGCCACAGAACGTCTAACCCTCGGTGTTATAGAGTCATTTTCTATCTTCTTTGTGGTAGAGGCTGTGGCTCCTTTCTCGCTGCCGCTGAGACTCTGTTCTGTCGTGGACAATTTTCGGAGGTACTTCTTGGTGAGTGGCTCATCGCTGTCGCTGGAAGAGTCGAAGGGGACGGGATTTGTTGGGTGAAGCTCTGTCTGGGCTTTGCGTTTGAGATGAGTGGTGTCTCGTAATATGTCTAGAGGGGGGCTCTGGGGCTCGTGCTTTATCTTTGAGGAGACCATCTTGTCGTAGTGGGATGTTTATCGGATATGCTAGACCGTAGGGTAGAAGTGCAGTAATGAAGGGAGAGCAAAACAAAGTTGAGTGGTAGTAGTGGTGATGAACACGAGACAAGGTGTCTTGAAATATTTAGTAAAACAACACCTGGCCTGAACGCTGGCAAGAGAAGATAAGAAAATACGGTTATATTGGAGCTCTCAGGCAATGCTTGGCACGAGGCAAGCTGGCTCGCGGATTCGGCTCCATCTCTCCTTTTTAAAGTACACTCGAGCTAATATTGGAAACTCGAGCTTAAGCCTACAGTGTTCCCAACAATTGTTCGGTTTGTCAGCCCAGAGCGGTTTTTTAAAACAATTTACGGAAACAGTTCAGTTCAGTTCTATCTTCTTCCTATTTGGTTTATTTCAGTTTTCTGCCATAGGCAAAACCGCTTTTGTACGCAGTTGGAACTCTTCATACAAAGTACGAACACCCTATGAGGAGAGACCCTAACCAAGGACACCTTTGGTGTAAAGTTTGTGCTAGACTCAGCGCCAAGACATCAGAATGGTTTTGCGATATAAACCAGTTTTTCTTTGGTCGGTTTAGTTATCGGCCATTTTTATTCAGATCAGTTCAGTTTTACTGAAATGAAGAACCGGTTAGACTGTTGGAAACCCTGGGTTAAGGACTATAAAGAATTAGTTGATGATCGCAAAGCTGGATCATATATCAACAAGAGATTCTCTCAATCGACCCCCGGAGAAGAAACATTACACCAAGACCCCCCATACGTATATACTCTTACTTGTAAGAATCAGAGCTCGAGCCCGACTCATGTCTTTTTGGTCCTGGAGTTATTATCCCGCCAGCAGGGAGGCCTTCTAGCTCTGTTAGCTCAGTGCTCTATGCACCTTTATTTAGGAAGCTTACCTTGAGCCTTCCCTTCCACAGCCCGAGCAGGCTGGTACTGAACACTATGAATCCGGAAGGTTATGATATTGTGGATAAGCAATAATTAAATGGATCATTCAGCTATGAACTCTAAACTTTGATCCCTATCTGAAAGATGTGAGTGAAATTATGTAGCCTAGGGCTTTACAGGCACGGGGATAAGGCTCATTTAGTAACACGAGCGATGTGAGAGGTTGGAGTGTAGAAATATATAGAAAGGTACAATGTGCTTCCATTTTTTATCCCCTTGTGTGTCATGTTTCATTTTGGTTTCTGAGCTGGGGCTGGAAGGTTTATTAGAGTGGGTAAAAAAAGTCAAGACTTGACTTGAGACTTCGTGTCCAGTATTATCTCATCTTGCTTTGTCAGTGCTCAGACCTCGCCTTCTTTTGCTTCCTCCCCATGACTGGTCCAACTCCAAACACCCCACCATCCCCCCCCACCACTGCAACCCATAGCAAACAGTGTGCCAGATCACGTCCATAATCCTCAGCACTTCATCATGGTCTCTGGGATAAAGCCCAAGCCACTGATCTCCTCCCTAGGCCTAGCCAAGAATAGTACGAGGCTAAAACACAAAGCCCACACCGAGGTCAAGAAAGAAGAACCCGCCCTCCTCGGTGCCTCGAGCGACATGAGCGACGAGCGACTCTTCACGAGGCGTTTCCGCCAATCCGTCGCGACTCATGGACTAAGAAGATTGGTCGACAGCAGTGATGAATCATGGACAACTCCTGCCAGCAAGGACGCAAACCAAACACCCACGACTGTGGGAGTAAGAAGGGTGCTTGACAGCGGTGATGAATCACCCACAGTTACTACCATCAAGGAAGTGAAGAAAACAAGTGTCCGGAAATACACCAGGAAGACCAAAAACCTCGGTGGTGAAAAAGGCAAGTCATCCTCTCCCAAGAGACCGGCCCCTGATAGTGCACGGGAAATATGATGTAGAGTCACAGAGATATATCATCTTCACGAAGTCTAACAAACCTGGTACAGCAGTGGATCAAGACTTTAAGCAGACCACGCAGACCAAGCAACCCCCAAAGACGGCTACTACACAGAAGGAAGGGGTGAAGAAAACCTCTGACGCCGTCACCAGTGTCACCGGCGACGGACCATCACAGAGAGCTCTCATACCGCGCACCAAATCCGGTGAACACCGCCTTCTCCACCCAGGGCGGGAGCCGCCTACCCAGGGGAGCATCCCCTCCCCACCCACAGCGCCACCGATGCCGCAGCGACACAGACGCCGCTCTTCCCAGACCACACACGAAACGTGATCGCCCCACGGCCCACCGCTGACGCAGCGACAGGTCCAGCACCCTCCACGGTCATCCACGTCGATGGACACCCCTTCATCATGCCCACTGACACGGTCGAGTGTTTTCTTGCGGTGAGACAGGAGGTCAGGAGGTCGTACCACGCGGTTTATGTTCGCAAGCTCTATAAAAAGCGGGACCGTGCGCTAGCTTCTCCGGTTTGCGACGTGAGTGAGTTTTGGCATCGCATTGGGAGTGATTCCGAGGCGGAGGTGCCGAGGTTGGTGTGGGTTTTTGGCGATGGGGCCGGAAGGGGGGCTGGGGCTCGTGGAGGTAGGGGTAGTGGTGGGGGTTCTAAGGAGGTCAATGGGAAGGAGGAGGATTACCCAGCTCCGAAGGACTAGCAAGGTCTCGGGGGTATCATTTGATTGCGGGAGCTGGTGGGAGGATTTTACTATATCTTTCTATTGTATGATATATACTAGTTGGCTCGATAGAGGGGTCTACAGTCGCGACATGTTCCGGCGAGCGGGATCGAGAGCATGTAACTACTGCACATAGTTTAATGCTGAGTTGTGATGAAGAGCATGTAACTACTAGAGAAAGTATGTAGGAGAAGTAAAGTAATTGATCGTGTTGATTGTGCTAGCTAAAGGGGGATGCCCCGTATTTATACTAAAGAGAGGTAGTACAAAAGAAATACAATGAGTCATAGACGTGTGAGTAATAGAATGACTAATAGGAAAGTGAGTCATACGCCGATGACAAATACTATAATGAAATGATGAGAATCTTCCAGAACTATGAAACGTGCCGAGCGTCCTATTTCAAGACTTCCCCTCGTGAGCCACAGTGAATAGTAGAGGAAAATAAAACATGTTTGCCTTTATCCAATCCCTTTGTAAGTAAATCCGCCACGTTCTCGTTCGTAGAAATATATTCCAGTTCAAATAATTCATCCTCAAACCGTTCCCGAACAAAATGAAAATGTACGTCAATATGTTTAGACCTTTTATGAAAGACAGGATTTTTAACCAAAGAGAGAGAGCCGTTGTTGTCGCCTCGAAGAATGAAAGAGAGATTCGGTTTTCGTTCCAGCTCGTGAATTGCATTCCTTAACCAGATCAGTTGTCGACTGGTGTCAGAGAGGGCCATGTATTCCGCTTCAGTTGTAGAAGTGGCGACAGATCGTTGCTTATAAGATCGCCAGGAGATGAGAGCTTCCCCTAGCATGAAGCAGTGGCCGGTGAATGAGCGGCGATCGTCGATGTCGGAGGCATAGCTTGCGTCGCTGTAGCCGATGAGTGCAGTTGGTCGCGTTTTGGCGTAAAAGAGTGACCAATCGAGGGTACCCTTGAGGTAGCGGAGGACGCGATGGACTGCAGCTAGATGGGCCTTAGTAGGACAGGAGAAAAATTGCGAGAGCATGGTGACGGTGTAGGCAAGGTCGGGTCTAGTGCCGATTACTGCGTACATGAGTGAACCGATTATTGACTGGTAAATTGTTGGATCGTCGATTTTCTCAGCTTCCGTTCCTTTTTGGAGGTGGACGTTGTTGTCGATAGGTGTTGCCACAGGTCTTGATTCGTCGAAGCCGTATTTGATAAGTACACGCTTGAGATAGGCTTCCTGTGATAGGATGATGCCTGTCTTAGTGTGGATCAAGTGGATTCCGAGTGCCCAGTTGGCTGTGCCAGTTTCCGTCATTTCGAATTCAGAGTGGAGGAGGAGGCTGACGCGGTTTTTGCGTTCAACGGACCAGTAGAAGATAAGGATATCGTCTACGTATATTGCGATGACAACTTCCCCTGTTTTGTGTATGAAGACACAAGGGTCGAAGTCTGCTTTTCTGAATCCTATTTTGATTAGCGCTTTTGAGAGGCGGGCATACCATTCCCTTGATGATTGTTTGAGGCCGTAGATGCATTTGATTAGTTTGCATGCTTTGCCGGGAGTAGGATATCCTGGAGGAGATTTCATGTAGATTTCTTCCTTGAGTTCGCCATATAGAAATGCGCTTGTGACGTCCATCTGATCGCATTGACCGCCGGTTTGAAGGCAGCGAGCGAGGAGTAGTCTGATGGATTCGTATCGGGTGACGGGGGCATAGGTTTGATCGAAATCTTGACCAGGGACCTGTGAGAAACCTTTTGCGACTAGTCGGGCTTTGTACCGTATGGGGTTGCCATCGGGCCCGAGTTTGATTTTGTATACCCATTTGAAGTCGACCAGTTTGCGGTGATCCGGTGTGTTGACCAGATTCCATGTGTTATTCCTTGCGAGTGAGTCGAGTTCAACTTTCATGGCATTCTGCCATTTTTCGGAGTCGGGACTGTTGATTGCTTGGTGGTAGTTTGTTGGTTCTGTTAGGGTAGTGTCATGCTGAATGTTGTGTCCGTATCTGACCGGAGGTTTTCGTTCCCGTGCTGGGTTACGTCTCGGTTGATCAGTATCTGTTTCATTATCATCATGCGGGGTACGTTCAGTGGCGGGCCTCGTATAGCCGGCCCCCACTATACTTGCGTGGTCTTCCGAATCAGTGTCGGAGTAATGTTCCATGGTTTCGCGCATTATCTGTTGGTTGATCATGTCGTCGTCGCTTGGGTCGTCGTCGTATGTCCTACGTTGTTTTGGTGTTGACGGACGTGAGGGTGGTTCTTGTTTGATCTCGATTTGTTTTGGTTTAGGGGGTGTGTCGGTTTTTGTTTTGACTTCGATTTCTTCCCCTACGGATGTACCTTTAAACCTAAAATGACGAGAGAGAACTACTTTCCTTTGTGATGGTATGTAGACGCGACAGATTTTTTCAGAGTCTCCGTATCCGCAGAATTGTCCCGTTATGGCCCTTGCATCCAGTTTTGTTCCAGCTGGTCGTGCTTCGACGGGTATGTGTATGAACATGGTTTCACCTAAGGATCGGAGATGCCCAATAAAGGGTTTCTTTCCGGTAAGTGCTTCGTATGGTGTCATATTCGGGAGTGATTTGTGCGGGAGGCGATTTTTGACGTGTACCATGGTGTTGATCGCTTCTGCCCATAGATTTTTTGGGAGATTGTGGTCGAGCAAGGCGGATCGTGCCATTGTTGCTATAGTTCTATTAAAGCGTTCTGCTGTTCCATTTGACTCATGGGAGTAAGGTACAGTGAATTCATGCTTTATGCCTTTAGAGGCGAAAAATTGTTGAAGGTCATTGGAGATGTACTCGCCACCGTTGTCGCTTCGAAACCGTTTAACCGTTTTGTCCAATTGATTTTCCATGTATGCGATGTATCGTTCTGTGGCAGCTGCTGCATCTGACTTCTTTTTGAGGAAGTAGAGGTGAGCGTACCTGGAGTAATCGTCGATGAAAGTGATATAGTAACTGAAACCGCCCAGAGAAGGAGTCGAGAACTTGCCGCTCAGATCTGAGTGTATTAGTTCCAGTGGTTGTTTGGATTGTGGTTCGGTGAGGGGAGCGAGGTAAGACTTGGTTGATTTAGCGAGTTCACATGTGTTGCATGTTTCCATGTGACCAGATGTGGGGAGAGACTTGGGGTCGGCGACCATGTTGCGAAGCCGTGAGAGCGAGGAAGCGGGGAGATGTCCGAGCCGTTGGTGCCAGTCATAGAAGCTGGTGGCGGCAGAGAGGTGTGCGCAGGGTTCCTTGGTTTCAAAAATGTAAAGACCAGTACTATTTGCGTTAGCGATCCCGATGATTTCCTTGCTATTCGGTTTGTAGATGGTGAAGCCGTCTTCCGTCCCAATTGTTGTGAATCCCTTTTTAGCGATGCAAGACCAAGACATCAGGTTGGTATTGCCTAATTCGGGGATCAAGAATACATTCTGCAGAGTGATCAGGCCATGTGATCCGTTGATGGTGACGTTGCCAATTCCCGTTATCTGGAGTTTGCGACCTCCTCCAACAGTAACTGTTCCAGTATAGGGAGTCGGGTCGATAACCAGCGTTCCGGTCATGTGGTTGGTTGCACCAGGGTCGAAGATCCATGCCTTGTTGTCGGTGGTGGAAGGTCCTGCAATGAAGCCAAAGTAGTCTTCCATGGTAATATCCGAGGTGTCATCTGAGAAGTTGGTGAGGTCGAAGTCAACCGGCATTGTGAATACATCGGTTTCTTCGAGTGCGGGAAGGCCAGAAAGATCGGGGATCCAAGAGAGGTCGAGTTTTGTGTGAAATGCAGTACCAGATGCGACGTTGAGGTTGCCAGATGCAGCGGACTTCTCCTTGTCTCTGAAAGCTTTGAGTTTCCGGCAATTTTTGTGCGTGTGGCCTTTTGCATATTCTCCATTCTTGGTGCACCAGGTGCATGTGACGTCCCGATTTCCTGTTTCGTTGTTACGTGGCCTCCTGACTCTGTTTTTGTTTCCGTGTCCTGGGTTTCCTCGCCTGATTGTGTAGGCTTCTCCAGCCGCCTGTCCATCGTTGTTGCGCCGTGAGTCCAGATCCAACAGCTTTTCGTAGACGTCATCGAAGGTGACGTTGGGCTTGGTTTGCAGGTTGTCAACGACTGATTCGAGGGATTCGTGCCGGAGTGAGAGGAGTAGGAAGGATGCTTTCGCTTCTGAGACAGATGCGAGTTGGTGAAGGTGGTAACCGAGTGGGTCTTTGGTCTTGTCCGTAGAGTTACTAGTTCTAGTGAGGAGAGATGACCAAAGAGTGTTGAACTGGGTTAGATGTTCCTTGATACCCTTGTCGGGTGTGTACTGTAGTGTGACGACATTGGCGAGGAGCGAGTGGAGGGAGGCGACGGTTTTCCGATCGAATCTGTCCTCGAGTTGAGTCCAGAGGTGGTGAGCGGTGTCGGCCGGTGTCAGCGTGAGAATAACTTCGAATTCGATGTTAGATTGAAGGAATACAACTGCAAGGTTATCCTTTTTGTCCCAGTCGCTGATTTCTTCGGCATTGTCGGAGTTTTCTTCTTCGTCTTCTTCAGCCTCAGCTGCACTTCCTGATGCTTGTGGTGCCGTGGTAGGTACAGTAGTGGTGGTAGTTGTCAACACGGGACGCTTGCTCGAACCATTGACCAAGTTCCACAGATCGTGAACTTTCAACATGCGGGTAGCAAGGTCCCTCCATACAGTGTAATGGCCTTGACCATCCAGCTTGCATGGGAGTGCGGGAATTTTGATGCTCCTCTCAGACATGATTGAAAGTGAAACGAGAAAGTGTACTTTGTGGTAAAAATGGTGAAGAGTGTATAAGCGTGAGTGGTCTCCGGGCTCATAACCTAGAGAAAGTATGTAGGAGAAGTAAAGTAATTGATCGTGTTGATTGTGCTAGCTAAAGGGGGATGCCCCGTATTTATACTAAAAAGAGGTAGTACAAAAGAAATACAATGAGTCATAGACGTGTGAGTAATAGAATGACTAATAGGAAAGTGAGTCATACGCCGATGACAAATACTATAATGAAATGATGAGAATCTTCCAGAACTATGAAACGTGCCGAGCGTCCTATTTCAAGAACTACTGCACATAGTTTAATGCTGAGTTGTGATGAAGAGCATGTAACTACTGCACATAGTTTAATGCTGAGTTGTGATGAACGTGACGCGTTTCTAGCTACCTTATACCCAGGGGTGAGAGGTTCAATGCTTGTTCCTATGACTAGAATTCTCCATAAACATGACAGCCCAGTGATATTCCATGACGTGAACAACATTTTTTGTGTGACGAATTGGTTGCATATGACGGAAACCTCCCTTTTTTTTTTTTTTTTTGTTTGATTCATTAATTGCATACGGAGAACACCCTCCTCTGCTGTCAACATCCGCAATAATAGCGTATGTTGGTGTTTTTGACGCCCCCGGTGTATATATGGGTAAAATGAGATTTATATTTGCTCATGACTAAAGGTTCAAATTTTTATTCCCACGTGGAGAGCGAGCACCTGATACATTCACGAGCTTATTCTAGTATACGTCCTATGCAATTATTTTCTATTCCTTTTGCACACGTAATAACCTTCCACATAAGTCTGCGTAGCACCAACTAATCCTTCGGCGCACAAAAGTCCTCATCCCGACCACTTCCACTAACCCCACCCCCACACTTCTCATTCCCAGTGCCAACCTCCACCCTCCGTCTCTTGCTCACCTTTCTCTCACCCATCACTATCACCTCTTCCAACTCCCCCCCCTCTATCTCCTCCGGTGCTCTCTTCTTCGCGCTACTCCAAACCATATGAAAATCCCGCAGCGTCCCCGACTTATCCATCAAGGCCCTATACGAGGCCAGAATCTCCCGCCGCATGACATGGAAGAACTGCACTGGGTCGGCGGGTACATTGTATACATGTCCTTCGATCTCAATTATTGTGACGGCGGCGGTATTGGTGGCGGCGTTTGATGTCTGAAGTGTAGGGGTCTGGGTACTAATGGTTGCACTAGTGCATGTAGGCGGAGAGGTGGTGTTTGCGGCGGCATCTACCGTCAAAGATGTTGTGATAGCGCTTGCTGCTGGATCAGGGGGCGGCGGAGAAGTGTTGTTCGCGGCGTTTGCTGTATGAGGTCTGGTGACAATAGGTGTGGAGCCAGTCTCTAGAGAGTGGGGTGTCTGACTCGCCGCGTCTGCTTGCTGGTGCCTGAGGGTAGTGGCTGCAGTCTGCGCCGGAGGTATGAAGGGTGCACTGTTACTTGCGGCCTTTGCTATTCGGGATATAGAGCCAATAAAGGCGGTATCGATTGCCACAGGCGGTGAGGGGGTAGTGTTAGTGGTGCCGTTCACTGCCTGACATATGGAATCATAGGGGGCGGTATTCACTCCCTCAGGCAGTGAGGGGGCACTGTTAATGGGGCCGTTCGCTATCTGGCTTGTGGAACTATAAAAGCCGGGATCAGGTGCACTAAACGGTGCGATATTATTCGTAGCTCTTGCCGCACTGCGTATGGTGTCGGATCGCTCCCCGCGAAAATGAGCAGGGGGACGAGATTGCATTGATGGAAAGGCTTCCAGCATCCAAGCGTCGCTGACAGTAACGACAGGCCGAAGAGGTTCCATTGCCTTCTCCATCTCCTCCGAGGTGCAAGGCGTGTAATTGTATTGCAGACCTCGGTTTATAGATATGGCAGCCTTATTACTGCCTACATTCATCTCCGGCCGCATACCAGAGGTGTGCACAACACTCTCTCGTTTGATGGGCGTTTCAACAAGTGCTTTACCACCGGCTGTGCCAGAGGGGGGGAACGTCTTCAGCGTCGGAGCAGCGTTCCTAGGTGGGGCCACCCCCCGGGGAGTAGGCGCTTTGCCGCTGGCACTTAGAGCGGCGGAAAGACTGTTAGGGGCAGGGCTTTCCACAGGGGCACATCGAATAGTAGGTGCTGTGTTTTCTTTCTGCGTCACAGGGGTTATGGCTGAGTTGGCACTGCCGTTGATGAAGTTCCCTACTGACTCCGTGGTGTAAACTACAATCTTCTTCATAGCAACGGCCGCGACTGAACTGTCACCGCCGTTGGGGGCTCGTCCTGCTGGCACAGCCGCCGTGGGGGCCATTGGAGGACTCTGGTTCTTAGCAGTAGGAGCCACAGCTAACCTGCCACAACTACTGGGTACTCGCCCTGCTGAGACAGCTGTGTAGACTATGCAATGACTCCGTTCCGTCGTAGCAGGAGCCGTGGATATTTTGCCACTACCATTGGGAACGTGCCCTGCTGACACAGCCGGGGATGTGATTTGATAATTCTCTTCCCTCATAGCAGGAGCTGTAACTGTTGTGCTACTATAATTGGGAACCTGCCCTCTTGACACAGTCGGAGTAGCTATGTGATGATTCTGGTCCATCATAGCAGGAGTCGTAGCCGCCACACCAATACCGATAGGGACTCCCGTAGCTGACCCAACCGTGAAGGGGATACAAGGCCTCTTGGCCGGCGGCTGGCCGCTATCATCGGAGCGCTTGTGAGGCAGGTGACTGGTTATGGCAGCATTTGGAGCAAGCTGTGGAGTGCCAGGGTTATGTGGAGGACCTGGCATGATGCTGTATGCTTCAAACATTATGTCAGATGAGGCCATCTTGAGGAACATCGAATATACGGGGTCTGACATGATGTGGTTTCGGGGAGTGTGCTGACAAGAGATGACGGCGGGGGAGGGGATTGATGGATGGTGGTTGTGGACGAATGCGGTGATGAGTTGTGAAGTTGTAGCGGTGTTGAATAGCTATAGTACTGCGTCCATTTCACCCCCAACAGCTTACCATGGCTCGTTACCCACATTTTGTTGTATACGCCGGCGTGTGTATTTTCCGTATGAGGGTAGTTGCCCATCATTCGTCAGCACTCTAGCTATACTTTAGACATACGTTTTGTAACAAACCAGCACTTAAATATCGATCTCGTCAACTCGAAAAAAAAATCTCAACACCGGGCATCCATCGGGAGTTCTCACTCGTTCACCTAAATGGAGTGCCAAGTGAGAATTGAAGAATGTGATGGAAACCGGTAGGTGCTAATGTTTGGTCATTTCGTTAAATATCTCTGTAGCTTCAATACAATGCTGACAGTTAAGTACAAGTATATATGTATTCTTGATAACTGTTACCTCTGGGTCTGCGGTTAGAACACTTGTACCGAATAATGAAGCAGGCAGCATCAATCTATTTCGGTCCCCTGCCACACTCTCTGGCGACGTATTTATGGACACCACTCTCATATCCCACGCCCCGGCTCGAAACATCTAACAAACCTCCGACAAGAAATGCCCCCAAACCCTCATCCCCCACCCCCACACCTATCCTCACCACCCCCACCACGCTCACAACCGCCCCGCATTACCCCGCCTTCCTCTTTATCACTAACCTCTCCTCTGCCTTCATCCCAATCTTCTGATTCCCTACACAACCTCTTCCTCCCCCTCCCCTCCCCCTCCGTAGCCCCTTCTCCACCCTCCCCAGCCGCCGTCTCCTCCCCACCACCAACACCACCCCCGCCACCTCTCTTCCTTGCACCCATAACAACAGCCACATCCCTCGCAGTCCCACAATTCTCCATCACCGGACAATACGAGCACACCACTTGCTGCGGCACTGCCTCAAAACCCTCCACTCGATCCGCAAGAACATCGAAGCTATGTCCATGGATCTCAAGCCGTGCGGAGCCCCTACTTAGCAGGGAGGTATTTGTGTTGGTCACCGCATCAGCCATATCGTTCCTTTTGTTATTCTCGTTCTCGGCGGTATTTTCCTCCGGCACGGGGGACGAAGATATTATGAGCACCCCATCTACCATGCTCCGTCCGGCGGGCATCAGAGTATCCCCGTCCCCGCTCTCGCCCACAAGCTGCTCAGCAGCCTTGCCACTGAGACAGCGTCCGCGGCCACGTCTCTTCTTGGGCGCTGAAGCGAGAGCTATAGCAGCGGGGGCGGCGATATGGCCCCCAACCCCGACCACCCTGCAAGCCTCCCGCACAGGGGAGGAAGAGATGATGGTCACCACGGCCATCGTGCTGCGTCCGGCGGTGGGCCGTGGAACATCACCGTCCCCTTGTTCACACACGGGCTGCTCAGCAGCCTTACTCGCTGCACGGCGTCCACGGCCAGGTTTCTTCCTACGTCCCACGGCAGTAGCTGTAGTTGCGGGTGCAGTGTTTTCGGCGACACCCTCTCCTCGAAGTTGTCCGGAAGCCCCATTGACAACTTCATCGCGTTCGGGAACCCCATTGATCACATCGGCGCGAGAGTAGGGACCAGCGAGTACCTCCCCAGTAGTACAATCCCTAATTTCACATATCCGCTCATATCGGATATCTGGCCTACCGCCGTTGGAGCGTAATACCGTCACTAGGGGTATGACCCCTTTGACAACAGTTCTCGTGGCATAGCGAGTATGAATGCGGTTTTTGCGTCCCATTGTGGGCGTTGGTTGTTGTGATGGTGTTGGTGAGCTGCACTGGCGAGGTGGGTTGTAACGGGACGCGAAACCCCCCCCAAGTCTTGGGATCCGGGGCACACGAACTTTACGGCAGTAGTAGTCAGGGTTAGGGTGCCCACGAACTTGAACGATAAATTTGGTAAGAATACATAGTATAATCTAGGATGTTACACAACTCCGTTATTCATTATTAAAACAATCGTATCCTTGTAGCAGCAGTTATGTATACGGGTGAGTTGTGCTATCAAAATCTTCCTTTGTAACCTGCGGTGTTCTCGGTGATAATCTAGTGTCGGGGATAGGTATCGATAAGATTATCCGGCCATACAGAGTGGAAAGTACAATATGACGATCTTTAGGTAATAGTAGGTATGATATGGTATCTTATCTGTATGAAGAATAAGATCAATATTATTAAGAGTCTTGGCTCGCAAACCAACCTTTTTTGCATTTTTTAGGCTGGATCTACGAGCGGGATCTAAGCCTCCGGTACGCTTTCCGCAACAACTATGATATATTGCACTTAGTACAATTAGAAGTTTGCAAAATATCATGCAGTTCCATAATGACATCAAAGTATTGCAGTGGTTACCATTCTTGAAATAGGGCGCTCGACACGTTTCATAGTTCTAGAAGATTCTCATCATTTCATTATAGTATTCGTCATCGGCGTATGACTCACTTTCCTATTAGTCATTCTATTACTCACACGTCCATGACTCATTGTATCTCTTTTGTACTACCTTTCTTTAGTATAAATACGGGGCATTCCCCCTTAGCTAGCACAATCAACACGATCAATTACTTTACTTCTCCTACATACTTTCTCTAGGTTATGAGCCCGGAGACCACTCACGCTTACACACTCTTCACCATTTTTACCACAAAGTACACTTTCTCGTTTCACTTTCAATCATGTCTGAGAGGAGCATCAAAATTCCCGCACTCCCATGCAAGCTGGATGGTCAAGGCCATTACACTGTATGGAGGGACCTTGCTACCCGCATGTTGAAAGTTCACGATCTGTGGAACTTGGTCAATGGTTCGAGCAAGCGTCCCGTGTTGACAACCACCACCACTACTGTACCTACCACGGCACCACAAGCATCAGGAAGCGTAGCTGAGCCTGAAGCAGACGAAGAAGAAGCCTCCGACAACGCTGAAGAAATCAGCGACTGGGACAAAAAGGACAACCTTGCAGTTGTATTCCTTCAATCTAACATCGAATTCGAAGTTATTCTCACGCTGACACCGGCCCACACCGCTCATCACCTCTGGACTCAACTCGAGGATAGATTCGATCGGAAAACTGTCGCCTCCCTCCACTCGCTCCTCGCCAATGTCGTCACACTACAGTACACACCCGACAAGGGTATCAAGGAACATCTAACCCAGTTCAACACTCTTTGGTCATCTCTCCTCACTAGAACTAGTAACTCTACGGACAAGACCAAAGACCCACTCGGTTACCACCTTCACCAACTCGCATCTGTCTCAGAAGCGAAGGCATCCTTCCTACTCCTCTCACTCCGGCACGAATCCCTCGAATCAGTCGTTGACAACCTGCAAACCAAGCCCAACGTCACCTTCGATGACGTCTACGAAAAGCTGTTGGATCTGGACTCACGGCGCAACAACGATGGACAGGCGGCTGGAGAAGCCTACACAATCAGGCAAGGAAACCCAGGACACGGAAACAACAACAGAGTCAGGAGGCCACGTAACAACGAAACAGGAAATCGGGACGTCACATGCACCTGGTGCACCAAGAATGGAGAATATGCAAAAGGCCACACGCACAAAAATTGCCGGAAACTCAAAGCTTTCAGAGACAAGGAGAAGTCCGCTGCATCTGGCAACCTCAACGTCGCATCTGGTACTGCATTTCACACAAAACTCGACCTCTCTTGGATCCCCGATCTTTCTGGCCTTCCCGCACTCGAAGAAACCGATGTATTCACAATGCCGGTTGACTTCGACCTCACCAACTTCTCAGATGACACCTCGGATATTACCATGGAAGACTACTTTGGCTTCATTGTAGGACCTTCCACCACCGACAACAAGGCATGGATCTTTGACCCTGGTGCAACCAACCACATGACCGGAACGCTAGTTACCGACCCCACTCCCCACACTGGAACAGTCACTGTTGGAGGAGGTCGCAAACTCCAGATAACCGGAATTGGCAACGTCACCATCAACGGATCACATGGCCTGATCACTCTGCAGAACGTATTCTTGATCCCCGAACTAGGCAATACCAACCTGATGTCTTGGTCTTGCATCGCTAAAAAGGGATTTACAACAACTGGGACGGAAGACGGCTTTACCATCTACAAACCGAACAGCAAGGAAATCATCGGGATCGCTAACGCAAATAGTACTGGTCTTTATATTTTTGAAACCAAGGAACCATGCGCACACCTCTCTGCCGCCAGCAGCTTCTATGACTGGCACCAACGGCTCGGACATCTCCCCGCTTCCTCGCTCCCACGGCTTCGCACCATGGTCGCCGACCCCAAGTCTCTCCCTACATCTGGTCACATGGAAACATGCAAGACATGTGAACTCGCTAAGTCAACCAAATCTCACCTCGCTCCTCTCACCGAACCACAATCCAAACAACCACTGGAACTAATACACTCAGATCTGAACGGCAAGTTCTCGACTCCTTCTCTGGGCGGTTTCAGTTACTATATCACTTTCATCGACGATTACTCCAGGTACGCTCACCTCTACTTCCTCAAAAAGAAGTCAGATGCAGCAGCTGCCACAGAACGATACATCGCATACATGGAAAATCAATTGGACAAAACGGTTAAACGGTTTCGAAGCGACAACGGTGGCGAGTACATCTCCAATGACCTTCAACAATCTTTCGCCTCTAAAGGCATAAAGCATGAATTCACTGTACCTTACTCCCATGAGTCAAATGGAACAGCAGAACGCTTTAATAGAACTATAGCAACAATGGCACGATCCGCCTTGCTCAACCACAATCTCCCAAAAAATCTATGGGCAGAAGCGATCAACACCATGGTACACGTCAAAAATCGCCTCCCGCACAAATCACTCCCGAATATGACACCATACGAAGAACTTACCGGAAAGAAACCCTTTATTGGGCACCTCCGATCCTTCGGTGAAACCATGTTCATACACATACCCGTCGAAGCACGACCAGCAGGAACAAAACTGGATGCTAGGGCCATAACGGGACAATTCTGCGGATACGGAGACTCTGAAAAAATCTGTCGCGTCTACATACCATCACAAAGGAAAGTAGTTCTCTCTCGTCATTTTAGGTTTAAAGGTACATCCGTAGGGGAAGAAATCGAAGTCAAAACAAAAACCGATACACCCCCTAAACCAAAACAAATCGAGATCAAACAAGAACCACCCTCACGTCCGTCGACACCAAAACAACGTAGGACATACGACGACGACCCAAGCGACGACGACATGATCAACCAACAGATAATGCGCGAAACCATGGAATATTTCTCCGACACCGATTCGGAAGACCACGCAAGTATAGTGGGGGCCGGCTATACGAGGCCCGCCACTGAACATACCCCGCATGATGATAATGAAACAGATACTAATCAACCGAGACGTAACTCAGCACGGGAACGGAAAGCTCCGGTTAGATACGGACACAACATTCAGCATGACACTACCCTAACAGAACCAACAAACTACCACCAAGCGATAAACAGTCCTGACTCCGAAAAATGGCAGAATGCTATGAAGGTTGAACTCGACTCACTCGCAAGGAATAACACATGGAATCTGATCAACACACCGGATCACCGCAAACTGGTCGACTGCAAATGGGTATACAAAATCAAACTTGGGCCCGATGGCAACCCCATACGGTACAAAGCCCGACTAGTCGCAAAAGGTTTTTCACAGGTCCCTGGTCAAGATTTCGATCAAACCTATGCCCCCGTCACCCGATACGAATCCATCAGACTACTCCTCGCTCGCTGCCTTCAAACCGGTGGCCAATGCGATCAAATGGACGTCACTAGCGCATTCCTATACGGCGAACTTAAGGAAGAAATCTACATGAAATCTCCTCCAGGATACCCTACTCCCGGCAAAGCATGCAAACTAATTAAATGCATCTACGGTCTCAAACAATCCTCAAGGGAATGGTATGCCCGCCTCTCAAAAGCGCTAATCAAAATAGGATTCAGAAAAGCAGACTTCGACCCTTGTGTCTTCATACACAAAACAGGGGAAGTTGTCATCGCAATATACGTAGACGATATCCTCATCTTCTACTGGTCCGTTGAACGCAAGGGCCGCGTCAGCCTCCTGCTCCATTCTGAATTCGGAATGACGGAAACTGGCACAGCCAACTGGGCACTCGGAATCCACTTGATCCGCACTAAGACTGGCATCATCCTATCACAGGAAGCTTATCTCAAGCGTGTACTTATCAAATATGGCTTCAACGAATCCAGACCTGTGACAACACCTATCGACAACAACGTCCACCTCCAATAAGGAACGGAAGCTGAAAAAATCGACGATCCAACAACCTATCAGTCAATAATCGGTTCACTCATGTACGCAGTCATTGGCACTAGACCCGACCTCGCCTACACCGTCACCATGCTCTCGCAATTTCCTTCCTGTCCCACTAAGGCTCATCTAGCTGCAGTCCATCGCGTCCTCCGTTATCTCAAAGATACCCTCGATTGGTCACTCTTTTACGCCAAAACGCGACCAACTGCACTCATCGGCTACAGCGACGCAAGCTATGCCTCCGACATCGACGATCGCCGCTCATTCACCGGCCATTGCTTCATGCTAGGGGAAGCTCTCATCTCCTGGCGCTCTTATAAGCAACGATCAGTCGCCACTTCTACAACTGAAGCGGAATACATGGCCCTTTCGGACACCAGTCGACAACTGATCTGGTTAAGGAATACAATCCACGAGCTGGAACGAAAACCGAATCTCTCTTTCATTCTTCGAGGCGACAACAACGGCTCTCTCTCTTTGGTTAAAAATCCTGTCTTTCATAAAAGATCTAAACATATTGACGTACATTTTCATTTTGTTCGGGAACGGTTTGAGGATGAATTATTTGAACTGGAATATATTTCTACGAACGAGAACGTGGCGGATTTACTTACAAAAGGATTGGACAAAGGCAAACATGTTTTATTTTCTTCTACTATTCACTGTGGCTCACGAGGGGAAGTCTTGAAATAGGGCGCTCGACACGTTTCATAGTTCTAGAAGATTCTCATCATTTCATTATAGTATTCGTCATCGGCGTATGACTCACTTTCCTATTAGTCATTCTATTACTCACACGTCCATGACTCATTGTATCTCTTTTGTACTACCTTTCTTTAGTATAAATACGGGGCATTCCCCCTTAGCTAGCACAATCAACACGATCAATTACTTTACTTCTCCTACATACTTTCTCTAAGCATATGGCATAAAAAGAATACCGATACGTACCACCGAGAACCCTGGTCATCTGCTCTGTTCCTTCTGCACTCAGCCTAGGAGGAAGATACAATATGTCAAAGATTTCTCGGCTTATTCCACCCTTGCCATGGCTCTTTAGGAACATTCTCTCCTCCCCCGTGTTCCTTTCAGGGCCGGAGCAAGCCCCCCACATGTATCCCTTCAAGCCAGCTCGCTGACCTGCTTAGCTCGTCGCCGGCGTGCTCGAGATCACGGCAGCTACCGAGGAAGGTCTTTAGCTCGTGGTCAGCAATGTAGCGTGGCGCTGAAGTAGTAGGAGTGGGGGCCGGTGGGATATTTTTGGCTGGAATCCGCTGTGTTCGTAGCGAGAGTCGGGACCGGTGTTATGATAGGGGTTGGAGTGGAGGGGGTAGAGTCAGTCGCCGCCTCTCTAGTATCATGAACTACCCGACGACGAAGGCATTGGCTAGGAAACGGAACCGCGAGAGTAAGATCTTTCGATGAGCGAGGACTAAAGCCACCTTTAGATGCAGCTGTCAACGTTGCATAATTATCCCCTTCATCGCAGTCATCCTGGTCATCCTCTATCTCCTCTGTATCATTAGCAATAGGTATTGTGGTGTCTTCCCCTACAGCTAAACGAGCCTGACGTTTTGTAACGCTCTCGGTATCCACGTTCCTGGTTTTATCACGGGTAGCAATGATAGCAGTGCCAAAAACGAACGCCATATCACTCCCGGACCCCGCCGCCGCTGGCCCCGCCAGAACCTTCCGAAATGCAGTAATTGTCATTTCACGTGTTGCCAGGAAGGCATACACCGCGTCGGTAGGTAGGATAAACGTATGGTTGTCAATTTTGATCTCTCTGGTGCCACCGCTGTAGCGTGCAGGAACAAGTTGGGTCATGATCGGTGTCCGCTCAGCTGAACCAGAACCTGGCAAGGCAGGACAGAAATATGAGGTAGAGGCAGTGGTATCTGGAGCTATAGCAGCGCTAAAGATGAAGCTTATATCAGTGGCCGTCGCCGTCCCCGCTGCGACTGCCCGGAATGAGGCGATGGTCTGTGTGCGTGTGGGGTGAAATGCTTCGAGGGGGTCGTTTGGGATGGTGAATATGTGGCCGTCTATAATGATGGTTATACTAGTGGGCTGAAGTCTTGCTTCAGACGCCATACTGGGGGGGGCATCGGTAGTAGTGGTGGCGGTGGTGTGTGACCTGTTGGCTTGCATAGGAAGGGGTTGAAGAGTTTGCTCTCGGCCCTCGTGGCGGTGAGGAGTATGGTTCTGGGTACTTACCGAGGGACGAGGTGGGTGGGATTGCTGGGGGGATATATTGAGCGAGATACGATCTGCTCCCCACCGGTGATGGGTGGGGCGACGGGCACCGCGGAGGGGTGCCATTCCGCTGGTGCTGATATGATGAAGTGTTTGTGGTGAGGTTCTGGAGATGAACTTAAGATAGAGGACGGAAGTGAATCTAATTCACTAGTGCGGTTATCCTTGTAAGGTCATGATGCATGGCGAATTGAACGGGGTGCTCTGCATGCATGGGTCCTGTCTGGGACTACAAAATCAGAGAAAGCATGATAAATACCATAATGGGCGATTGTAAATAGGTGGGAACAATTCCAGTTACTGAGAGATAAGCCGGGCGCCGCAGAAATAAATTGATGCTGCTTGAATGATCGCTCGACACGAGAGCTCCCATATGGTAATCAAAACTTGGTATAGATTATGTACTCATGTGTTAAAATTGTATTCAAGCTCGAATGATCTCTCTACCACCACAAAAAATGCATCGTTTGATGCATTACCCATAGATAAATCGTCAGTTAAATACACTCATTAATGCATTACACATTGAGGCCTCTGTTTAATCGTCGGTTGAACGATCGTATGGACGATATTGTAGGGAAGGTTGTCAGTAAAATTGTAGGGAAAGTTGTGCAAAGTAAATGTATCAGGACATGTATCGGGAAAGTCGTTGTTCAATGTACTACATGTATCCGGTAATAATAATGTATCAGGTAATGTATCCGGAAATGAATCAGGAAATGTATCGGGAAAGTCGTCGTTTAATGTGCTACCCAGTAATAAAATGTATCAGGCAATGGATCAGGAAATGTGTAGGGAAAGTCGTCACTAGATGCCTATACTTCACTAGTACATGAGTACTATCCTTTGTATAAATATTATGGCGCAGATGGTACCCTCTGGGTTGGATATTGAGAACCGTAGGAGTTCGATGCCGCCCATCAGCACGAGATTCATATAGTGGAGAGCGGTTGGGGAGTCGTTTGGAAAGTTATTTGGAAAGCCGTTCAATCACAACTGCACCCGGGATGCACACATTTCCTGATCCATTGCCCTGAAATATTAATATTACCGAGTGCTACAGCAGGCAACGACTTTCCTGATACATTACCTCATATATTACCTGATTCATTTCCCGATAGATTTACTTTGCTAGTCAAGCCATAGCAGATGCATTACGTAAGACCAGAAATGTATTATCGATGCATTTTCCAGACTCGATTCGATGCATTTACTGACGATTTTCATTGATGCATTTTCTGTAGTAGTAGAGTCTCTAACCATTGACATAGGATAAGGATCCCCAAGTTATCGTATTAATCATGGACTATCACTAGTTAGTTATCCATTCGCTTGCACGTAATCGAGTGATAAACCATGATTTGCGCTAACCATGTTGGTATTGCAGCTACTGTGGGGAGGCACAGGTTTTGGCGCGGATGTAGCTACGGCCGGTAAGCATAGTAACTGTTATTAGAGGGGTCAGGTAATAGCGATTACAGTCTTCTTATTTACGAGGCGGGATCACCGATATAGAACAGGACCAGCAGTCGGGGTAAATCCCAATAGAGAATGTATTTATTTAAGGGCAAATCATATTGGAAACAGACAGCACTAGAAACAGATATCTAGACTGTTCAGCGTTGTGATCCTGCTGGTGAAGCATACCACATGGCCAATCCCGGAAAGCAAAGGTACTCCACCGCACCCGACCTTACCACCGCGCTCTACCCCCACCGCGATTCTCTCTTACCGCCCTAGTATACACCCTGTCCCCGCCAGCAAACAAAACCCACACCGAGCCTCTATCCCCTGATACTCCTTCGCAAGGGCACTACGAGCCGGGTCCTCCTCTGCAAGCACCCTACACACCGCTTGCCTAACTGCGTGATCCAAGACAGTTCGTGAAGCACACATCAGATACATCTCTTCTCCAATCCCGGTCCTAGTTGCCGCAAACCGCCCACTGATTGATAGCACACCATCAACGTACATCCCTACAAGCCAGGTGGCGGGCACTTTGAGCTTGAGAGACGCATGATAGAAGTCGCTGAAGTCACCGAGGAAGGCCCTGGCCCGATGGTTGGCGTCGTGGGCTGGCGGTGCGGCGGTCGGTGTAAGGGCCGAGGGTATGCTTCGCGTCAGAGCTACGGACCCCGTAGGGCCTGGGACCGGTGTCATAATAGGGGTGGAACTCGAGGCAATAGAGGCAGTTACAGTATCACCAAGTGCCAAACGGCGAAGCCCTTCGCCAAGCATCGGAACTGCCGGAGTAAGCTCGTTCCATGAAGGAGAACAACGACCGCCATTAGACATAGGTGTGGAGTAATCCTCTGCCTCATCATATTCACCCCCGGGACCATCTACCATCTAGGTCATCAGAAGGAGGTAATGCTGCCACCTCCCCACCAGCTATATGAGCCTGGAGTTCTGCAACGCTCCCGGCTTCCACAACACTGTTCCCCTCAGAGGTGGCAATGATAGCAGTGCCAAAAACAAATGCCATATCTCTGCCTCCCCCCGCCACAACCTCACCCGCTGTAACCTTCCGATATGCGGCAATTGTCATTTCACGAGTTGCCAGGAAGGCATCCGCTACGTCGGTGGGGAGGGTGAACGTGTAGCTGTCGATTTTGATATCTGTAGTGCTGCCGCTGTACTCTTCGGGAATAAGTTTGCCCATATTTCATGTCCACTCATCTACATCAGAATCCGACGAGGCAGCATCGACGGTAGCAGTAGTGAAAAGAACAGCACCGAAGATGAAGCGCATATCACCGGCTGTTGCGATCCCGGCTTCAACTGCACGGAACGAGGCGATTGTCTGGGTGCGTGTAAGGTGGAATGCTTTGACGGGATTATGCGGGGTGCTGAATGTGTGATTATCGATTATCAGGGTGATATTGGTGATTGATGGCGCGGCGTTGGGCGGGGGGGGTGACTGTGAGAGTGGCGTGGTGTGTATGCTCTTCTTCCCGGGTGGGGTTGGCGGGCTGGGTATCTCCTTGTTGAACGTTTGGTGTCCTATCGGGAGCGATTTGACGGGGGCGATTGAGATAGCGGGCTGGTAGGACGGAGCTGGGCACAGAAGCTTGGTGGCGGTGGCGGCCACCGTTCAAGCGGTTGTATACCATTGGTGTTGATGGCCGGACGTGATCAAGTGTCTGTAGGAGGTGATGTACCACAGTGGTGGTGTTGTGGGGTAGATGAGGAGGGGAATGGAGGGTAAGTCCGTGTTGACAGTGTCTCTGAACCTGCGGAACCGGAAAAATTGCAGTGATGGTTGGATTAAGAATTAGCTTTCCACAGGTAAACTTATAACTCGTGAAACCAACAGATACCCTAATTAAATCAGGCCACATACTCATGAAAATCCTTCTTGAATCCTCTCCCAACGTGAGGCTTTTGCCGACTGATGCTTCACCCCAGGCAGCGCGCAGTGAAGTCTAGTTAACATTTAACAATAAAGGGATTAGTAAAGTTACTAAACTACAGTGACTAAATACTTTAGTAATTTTTTAGATACTAGTAAACCAACACACTGTTTGAAAATTAAAGAAAAAAAAGGAATATAAAAGATTGTTGTATGAATAGCACCCCCGTAGTAGCCAACTCTTCCTGGAATCATCGTAGGGATGGAATTTAGAGAGAGGTAGTTAAACCTGTTGGCAAACTATAGGTATCGCTCCCGCCAAACGCTAAAGATTTAGTAGGGATGGAATTTCGAGAGGGTGAAATGATGATAGGTTTCCCTGCAGCTAGAAGGTGGAGTAACAGGAAGAAATACATCGATCCTGCTTTTTTTTCGTTTAATACATTAATTGCATGCAGCCTTACAGTTACCCTAATCTCAGGCTTGGGCCCCTCCCCGAAGTGGGTGGGGGGGGGGGGTGGAGGTGTTGTGTTCGGCACCGGGTAACAACAACTCACCCACAGGCTCGCCCCCGCATCGGATGATATTCCCCGTTTAATTCGTGCCCTAATTAAGCCAGCTGCAAGTTAGGTTACGTGACTACCAATTTCATTACCATCTATCGCTCGACACGAGGCTCCGATGGATTAAGCCAGCATAATATACGTCGCTCATAATTACAAGTGTTAGAATCCTATTTGAGCTCCAAAGACTTATAATCTACTGGCAGGATAAGACTGCACGAGCTTTCGTAAGCTTCATAGACTATCACCCATCAGTGGGTCGATTTGCTTGCACGTGATAGAGTGATATTTCATGAGTAATCCGAACCCTGTGGGTATGGCAGTTGCCCTGAGGAGGCGGGGGTTCTGGTGTAGGTGTAGTGGCGACCAGCGGGTATAGTAGCTACTGCGAGGGAGGCAAAGTCATATCGATGACGGTGTTCCTCTTTCCGAGACTTGATCACCGAGGTGAGACAGGACTTGGTGATCAGTACACATTGTCACAAAGCGGGGTAAATATCAATGGAGAATGTTTAATTTAAGAGCAAATAGTGGTAGAAATAAATAAACACTAAAAATAAATATATAACGAGTGACCATCCTTGTTATGTACCCTTCTGGTACAGCACACCGCCTGGCCACTCTCCGCAAGCAAAGGTCCTCCACCTCACTACCGCCCTCTATCCTGGCAGCCCCTCCGCTTACTCTCGATCCATGCACTTCTTCCCCGCCATCAAACAATAGCTACATCTACGCTCCATCCCCGGAAAATCCTTCCTAGTGATACTACGATACGGGTCCTCCTCCGCAAGTACCCTACACACCTCCTGCCCAACCTCCCCATTCAGGCCGCACCGGGAAATACACACCGGGCACCTCTCCTCTCCAACCAGCTCCTTTATTGTGGCAAAGCGTCCATTGATCGATATCAAGCCCTCGACATATATCGCTTCCCACCAGGTGTCGCTCTCGTTCAGGGCCCGACACGCGTGAGTGATGTTGCGAAAGTTACCGAGGAATGTTTTTGGCAGCTGATTGGCGAGAAGAGGTGGGGCTGCGGTACTGGAAGTAAGGGCCGGAACGGCCGGTGTCGGAATAGGGGTTGAGGTCGAGGCGACATAGGCAGTTTCATCCTGTGCCGTATCACGAAGTGCCCGACGACGAAGGCGTTCGCCAAGCATCGGGACCGCCGGAGAAAGTTCCCTCCATGAGTGAGGACTGCGACCGCCATTAGACGCCGTTGTGGCGTTATCCTCTGCTTTATCGTAATCCTCCTGATCCCCTACCTTATCCAGTGCCCTGACCTCACCTGTGTGCTCAGAAGTAGGTGCTGTCGTGATTTCTCCACTAGCTATGCAAGCCTGGGGCGCTTGAACACTCTCGTCTCCCACGATGCTGCTCCCGTCGGGGGTAGCAATAAAAGCAGTGCCAAAAACAAATGCCACATCTCCCCCGCCCCCCGCCACCGCCTCGCCCGCTGAAACCTTCCGAAATGCGGCAATCGTCAGTTCACGAGTTGCCAGGAAGGCATCCACCGCGTCCGTAGGGAGAGTGAAGGTGTGGCTGTCTATTTTGATATCTCTAGTGCTACCAGTGTAGAGCGGGGAAACAAGTTGGCCAATACTCGATGTTGACTTAGCTGTAGCAGAATCTGACGACGTAGCGTAGAGGGATGGAGCAGAAGTGTACGTAGTGGAAGACGGAGCTAGAACCGCGCCGAAGACGAAATTCATGTCACTGGCCGTCGCCGCCCCCGCTAACATTGCTCGGAATGAGGCAATTGTCTGGGTGCGTGTAGCATGGAATGCTTCGATGGGATTGTGGGGGATACTAAATGGCTTGTTATCAATTAAAAGGGTTATGGAGGTAGGTAGCGATGGTGCTTTGGACATCGAAGTGGGGGTGACGGCGATAGGATGTGGGTGGTCTTCTTGCGGAGTAGGGGTGGCAGCGTTGGTATGGTTTCCTTTGCGAACTTTTGGTGTGCTTGTGGTGTCCGGGCGGAGACGTTGATAGCGGGCTCGTACGGAGGGCCCAGCTACGGGGGTCTGGCTGCGATGGCCGTCACCGCGAAGGCGATCGCGTGCCATTGGTGTTGATGTGCGCGATCAACCGTCTGTGAGAGGTGGTGTACCGTAGTGATGGTGTTGATGGAGAAGATGGGGAGGGAAGAGGGTGGGTAAGTGCGTGTTGAAGTATTTGGACTGGGAAGTTCCGCAGCTAAAGTTAAATCCAAATAATGCATGTCTCAGTAACATAATCAGCCTTGGCACTGATTATGCTTTTCGTCGTAAAACATCCAATACAATTTGGTCAAGTTAATACATCAGTTGATCCTTTACTGATCTTTGTATTACATTAAATGTCTTGAAACGAACAAATATGTAGTTCGATCCGGCGACATCGTGTTCTAACACCAGTCTCATACCAAGACCCCTTAGTCAGCTACCTGTAATTTACGGTTAGCCAAGCCTCCTAGAACGCTACCGCCAAGGTGGCCTGCGATGACGAAGTGTAGCGTGAAATATAGGTCGTCTGGCTAGCGAGACTACCTTCCCACCTCATGATACTTTTTTGTCGCCTCATGCTTCTCCTCCGGCCGCGGTCAGTTCTAGTTTAACAATAAACGGATCACCAAAGCTACTAAACGGAAGCGACTAACAACTTAGTACAGTGTTTCCAACGGTTCTTCAGTTTATCAGTTGAAACCGGTTTTTCTAGAACCTTTTAAGAAAACAGTTCAGTTCAGTTTTGCCTATTCACTATTTGGTTCAGTTCAGTTTGTCGCTTGTGGGAAACCGGTTTTCCATGCAGGTGGAACTCCTCATACAAAGTACGCACACCTTATCAGGAACAACCCTAACCCAGAACACTTTGGGTGAAGAGTTCCTGCCAGACTAGTGCCAAGACTTCAGAACCGTTCTGCAATATAAACCGGTTCTTATTGGGTCGGTTCAGTTGTCGGCTATTTTTATTAAGTTCAGTTTCAGTTCTGCTGAAAGTAAGAACCGGTTACAACCGTTGGAAACACTGATACTGATTAACCAACACACTCTTTGAAAAGTAAAGAATGAAAGAAAATCAAAAAGCGTCTGAAACACTAGTGTTGAATTCCACCCCGTCGTGGCCGATTCTTGCCGGAGTTATTGTAATAATGGAATTTCGAAAGAGGTATCCGCCGGCAAACTACAGGTATCGCTACTTCCAAAAGATAAAGATTTAATAGGGATGGAACCTCGAGAGGGTGGAGTGATGATAGGTCTCCCCGCAGCTAGAAGGTGGAGCAACAGGCAGAAATACATCTATACTGCGTGTTACATCTCTCGACACGAGGCTTCGATAGATTAAACCAAGCATGATATACGTCGCTCATAAGCAAGTGTTCAAATTCTATTTGAGCTCCAAGGACCTCTAATCTATTGGCAGGATAAGAATCCACGAGTTTTGGAAGATTTATAGGCTATCACTCGTCCGTGGTCCATTTGCTTGCACGTGTTCGAGTGATAGTCCATGTTTAATCTTCACCCTGTGAGTATGGCAGTTGTTATAAGGAGACGTAGGTCTTGGTGTAGGTGTAGTGGCGAACAGCGGGCATAGTAGCTACCATGAGAGCGGCTAGGTCATAGGTATTCCGGTGTTCTTATTTCCGAGATTGGATCACCAATGTACAACAATTGGCATACCCGTAGGGTTGCATGCAATTGATGAATTAAATAAAAAGAAGAAAAAACGAATGTAGAACAGGACTTAGCGATCAGTACTTGTACACGTTCGCAGTTGTCAGGGTAAATATCAATTGAGAATGTGTTTATTCACAGCAAATAGTGGTAGAAACATAAAAGGACTAGAAACAGATATCCAGCTAGAGAGTGATCATCGTTATGATTCTTCCCGTGAAGCACACCACGTAGCTAATCCCAGAAATCAAAGGTCTTCCACCACATTCCGCCGCCTGCCACCACCCTCTATCCTGCCACGATTTCTTCTTATAGCTCCACTAAACACCTCGTCCCCATACCAAACAAAACCCACACCGACCCTCCACCACTAATCCTCCTCCGCAAAGACACTATGAACCGGGTCCTCCTCTGCAAGTACCAGATGTGAAGTAGTGCTCGTCTTCATCCTCGTCATCTTCATCATCTTCATCATCCTCTGCCTCATCTGAGTCCCCGGAAATAACCGTGCCTCCCCACGCGTACATAATATGAGGCTAGGGTGCTGGGCCGCTCTCGCTTCCCACAACGCTGGTCGACTCGGGGGTAGGAATGGTAGGAGTGCCTAAAACAAATGGCATATATCCCGCCCACTCACCCGCCGTCTTACCCGCTGGGATCCCCAGAAATGCCGCGATTGTCGCTTCACGAGTTACCAGGAAGGCATCCACCGCATCCGTAGGGAGAGGGAATGTGTGTCCGTCGATTTTGATGTCTCTAGTGGGGCCGCTGTAGCGGGGGGGAACAAATTGGGCCGTGGTTGGTGCCCACTCAAGTACACTAGGTTGTAACGAGATAGCATAGAAATATGGAGCAGAAAAAATGGGGCCTGGAGCTATAACAGTGCCGAAGATATAATTCATATCGCTGAGCCTCGCCGTCCCAGCTGCAACTGTCCGGTATGAGGCGATTCTCTGGGCGCGTGTAGCGAGGAAGTCTTCAATGGGATTGTGGGGTAGACTAAATGGGCTGTTCTCGATTGCAAGGGTGATGGTGGCAGGAGGCGTTGTGGCTTTGGGCCTTGGGGTGACGCTGGCGGCCGCGCGATGATTGCGGGCTGATTGAGAAGTCGGGGTGGAGGCATGGGTATTGTCCATTTGTCCAACATTTGGTGTGCGAGCTGTCTCGTGGTGGAGATTAAGATTGCGTGCTTGTACTGTAGGGGTGCTGGGTACGGGAACCTGGCCGCAGCGGCGGTTACGGTGAAAACGATTGCGGGCCATTGGTGTTGAGGGGCGTGATAAAGTGTCTGAGAGGCGAGCGTAGTGATCCTCTGGATGGGGAGGATAAAGATCTAGATTGGAAAGGAGGGTATGTGTGTGCTAACTGTAGCTCTAATGTGTGGATGAGAAGGATGAGAGTGATGGTTGGACTAGGAAGCGTGCCGCAGTTGACCTTATAGGTCCTGAAACAAACATATATGTTGGGTTGGATTCGGCCACGTAGTGTTAATAATGTGTCTTAACACGTATGCTATCCCACTCACAACATGAGGCTTTTGCCGCTGTGTTTCCAACAGTTGTTTATCAGTTCAAACCAGAGTTCTAGAACAGTTTTAAAAGACAGCTCCTTTCCGTTCTGCCTTCTCGGTATTTGGTTCACTTCAATTTCCGGCTTGAGGAAGACGGGTTTCGTATGCAACTAGAACTCTCATACAAAGCATGAACGCCCTATTGAAAGAGAATCCTAACCCTGAACACCTTTCGTATGGAGGTCCTATTAGACTAATGTCAAGACCTCAGAACGGTTCTGCGATATAAACGAGTTCTTATTCCGCCGGTCCGGGCGCCAGCCAGTTGCTTTGTACTACATAACAACCGATCGCAACCGTTAGAAACGCTGTTTTGCCCACTCATGTTTCTCCCCCGCGGGGCGCGGTGAGTTCTAGTTTAACAAAACAAAGATTATCGGATCTTCTAAACTAAGGAGAGTAGATACTTCAGTAAATGATTATAGAGAAATACTAGTAAACCAACCGATTCAAAAATGAAAAACAAGGGGTTTCGAAATAGCAGTGGTTCATTCTCACTCGATCGCGGCATTTCAAGCAAAATTAGCCATCAGAGATTTCCCGAATCTAGGTTGTTTCAGCACACAGTTTCAATTAATCTCGGCTCTTTAATGTGCAGTAATGTGCAATTTTTACAGGGAAATAAATAATACATCATCCGTAGCGAATGTTTTCTGTGAAGTTGAGGAGATTGGTGGATGCGTTGATCCTTGCCAAATCACGATGCAAGCGCATTGGATGAGATGCTCTAGGTACATGGGCCCTCTTAGGAACTACGCCATCGAAGTAGGAATAATAAATACGACTAATTGTTGATATCGGCCCAAAATCAAGAAAAACAGCACCCTAGGATTAGAAGTCAGGGACAAAAAAAATAATTGATATTGCCCCGATTGGGATTCGAACCCAAGATCTCCTCACAGCTCTAAACCTACGTGCTGAGTTTCTGGTGTGTTAACCACTACACTACCAGGGCATGTCATTTTTAGTGGTTTAATTATGTTTGAGCCATCTTCTCGAGCCCCATTGGTAGGGCGGGGCCCTGTATACGCATAGGTGCTGTGTGCCGCAGCATCCTACATTCCTCTGTTGTTACTGACCGGAATCATTTCTTGATTGGCCATCTCAATTTATACTATCAATTGAAATCATCAACAAAATAAAGCTTGGCATTTCTCTTTTCCCTGCTGGTCTGGCCTGGAACCCTTTCCCGGGCGGAGTAAACTTAACCATCATTTTGTTGAAGGGCTGTTCCGGCATTAGTATTCTAGGACACCCTTCACGTTGTATGTCGGGAACCTGGGTGTAGGTCCAACCACCACCGGCCATTTACGAAACCTTTTTCGTGCTGACGTTTTATATATTAGGAAACAACAGAGATTTGAAAAGCGGTAAAAGAAACTACTGTTACTCAGAATTAAACCTGGTGCCAGATATTGGCTGGTCCTCACAAGTATGTGTGTACCAAGAGCTCCGGGTGGCGGCGACTTGCGTTTCTCTTGGTAAGGGTCTTTTTGATGGGAACCCACTAATCAAAAATTTATCAGGAGGTTGTTTACGTTCTAGGCAGCGTCTGCGAAAGGGGCATAACATTTATTTACCTAGAATTGACATCGATTAATCTACGTCTCATACAAGAAGGGGTAAAACAAACTTCAAGCTCTCTTCAATATTTCGCCAAAAGACCCTCCTCTTTCCAAGCTGCTGGTGATCGGGATCTCTCTACCTAGATCCATATGTAACTGTGTCTCTGAATGTTTGGACGCAGGGAGATGAGGGCCACCTCCGGACGAAGTCAGGTTGCTGTAGCTCATGATATCGGTCTTGAAAAGAATAGATATATGTATTTGAGTCCGGTAACGTAGTCCTTAGACGTGTTTTTCTTAATTTCCCCACAGCATGAGTCTTTTGATTGTTCATCCCCCTAGTGCCTCACTCCCGGGAGCAGGGAGTGATGCATCACCTCCATTAGCACCAGCAAGTATATACCCGAACCTCTTCCTCGTTAGGCTGAGTTCATCCTGATCCACGGGCATTAGACACCCTTCATAACTCGGTGTAGCTCCGTAGTCAACATACACCAGATTCACAGTTTATCACTCGTGCCGAATCTCCACCCCCCTATAGCGGGACCAAGTATCACCGCCATCTGTATATTAGGTTAGCATAGTCAGGCGTTGGTCTGTTCTCCGGGTATGTGGATACAGCCGGAGTGATAGAACAGCTTCTCGTGGTGTCATGATTGATACCGGTGAAGTGGAGTGGGTGTTGGACACGTGACCGAGCGATATCCTATGACTACTCCCACGAACTTCGTGAAATTCGCCTACTGATCACAAGAGCGAGTCGGAATCCGCCGCACCTCCTTTTCAAAATACTGTTGAGCATATCGAAATTGTATTACCAAGGCGGCATCGAGGGTGGGCCAGTTCCCGGAACGAGACGCCGACAACGCGGTATAGCCAGGTATGAATTAAATTCTAAACACCCAGTTTGTTGAGCTTATCCCTAAGACTATAGTGGTCACCACAAAGCCCTGTGCGCTGTAAGCTGGTATAAGCTAACTGGCTAGATGTATGGATTGATTATCCTTTCCCCCTTCAGAGCCAGAAACAATTCCAAGAATCCTAACCCACGCCGGGATATCAAAGGCCATGAACTATCAACCAGTCCAAAAGAAAAGAGCACAAAATGTCTTTATTTTTGTTTGTACCCTATCTAGCTAACCATTTAAAAATGTGAAAATCATGCGTATGAACCTAACCAACAAGAAAGTCTGAACACCATTTTTTCAGAGCATAATGCTCAACCCCATAGCCCTACGCTCTCCATCACTCGCAATGGCACCACCCTTAACAGTATCACCCTGCTTCCCGTTATTCGCAGCTGCCGCGCGGTACTTCTTCACCTTCCTACCCTCCTCCAGATCCCCGCCGGTACTCTCCTCAGCCGCTCTCTTACCACCGCAATCACCGTCAGAAGCCCCCCATTTACACCACCTGCTCCCTCCGTTTTGCCACTCCCCAGAACCACAGCCAGATCTTTCTTAGTCCCTCTTCTTGCCGCAACCCTGCGGTAAGCTTTAAGAACGTGCTTCCGCACCTTATGGAAGCACTCAACCGGATCCACTGGAACATCAAAGCCATACCCGTCAATAAAGATCGCGAGAGCATTATCGGAGCTGTAGGGCTCGGAATCGTCGTTATCAATCCTGCTGCGTTTCCTTTTCGCATTGTACTCAGCCGCGTCAACCTCCTGGGCAGAGTCGTCGATATCCTCGCGCTCCTCGTCGGAGGTGGAAGGCTCGGCCTTGATGCGCTTTTGAGTGCGTGTGCTCTTGTTGTCTTTTGCACCTCTCTTGGCGATCTTCCCGCCGTTGGCAGCAGCAGGGGTGGCAGTACGAGCGGCTACTTTCCGAGCTCTCTTAGTAGCAGGAATACGATCAGGAACGTCTCTGTCGGGGTCGTTATTGTGGTCGTCGTCATCTTCGGAGATACCGGTCTCGCTGATATGGCTTTCGCTGCCGAAGTGGTTATCCTCAGTCGCGGAGTGTTCATCCTCGGTCTCGAGGTACTCCCCCGGGGTACCGTAGCGGTCCTTGGAGTTGACACTCTCTTTATCACCTTCAGAGGCAGCCGAACCACTAGAAGAGCTTTCAGTGCCGGTATATTCGTCTTCGGTGCCGAGGTATTCGTCCTGTAGCCCTGGGTGTTCGTCCTCCTTTTTGTGACTCGCCTTGATGAGCTCAACCGAGGGCACCATTGGGGAGTTGGCCTCCGCACTGAACATGGGGGCAGGGAAAAGTCGGTATCTGGGACCAGTGCCGTGGCGAACCATAGGAGTGAAGGTCATCGTGGATGATAGGAGACAATGGAATTGATGTGGGATAGTGAAATTCAATGATAGAGAGATGAAAGATGTACGGATGGATGATGGAGGGGTGAAGGTTGTGAGATAGATAGAGAGAGGGGGGAGAGGGAGAGGGGAGAGAGTGTGGATGGAGTGTGGACTATCTCCTACGAAGGTGTGCTACAAGTTAGTAAGTCTACAGCGTTTTTTCTATCCCGCCTCTACTGTTTGACAGGATCCCAGCGGGCTCATACAGGCCGAGTCTTCTTGAACTCCGAGCAAGCTTGAGCACAATCCGAAAGCCCCATTTCGGGGAGGTATCGCTGCCGGTAATGGAACTTCATTGCTGGGCGACCAACATAAAAAAGAATATATTGTCAATTATTCATTCTAATTGAAGCTTTATCTACCGAAGTACTATGATTCAAAGTGTTTCCAACATTTATAATCCCTTCTTCTTTTCAACCAAACTAAACCAAACTAGCTAAAAATAGCCAACAAGTAACCCAATAATATAGGAACCGCAAACACTGCCGAGTTGTTTTGAGGTCTTAGCAGTATTGCAGCAGAAATCATATATGTACCTACATCAAAGCTGTTCAGGGTTAGGGTTCTTTTGTTTTTAATTGAGGTGTACTTCGAACAAGGTCTCAAACCGGTTTGACCTGAGTCGCAACCTAACTGAACCAAATAAGAAAAGCAAAAGGTGAATTGAACTGCTTCTTTAAATAATTCTGGAAAACATTTTTTAACTTATGAATCGAATAACCGATAAACAGAGGAATGTACCTGACGGATTTGCGCTCATTAGTTCACAGACTATCACTCGCTCCTGTCTCTCCTATCCAGGCGCCGAACACTCCCCATGTCTGTAGCCCCTTCAAAATTATTCAATAATACTACATTCTCTGTCCGATACCGTTAGTACAGGAAGACGACTCAAAACCTCCGGCGCGGTGAAACAGGTGGTTGTAGTCTCGCATCCGAGCTGGAGCACATAACCGAGTGATATTCTATGATTAGGAGTCGACTTGTTTGACCTTCCTACTGACCTCAATTATGAGCTGGAAAAAGCTGCAAGGTCCTTTGGGCAAACTGAGGAAGAGGAAAAAGCCCAAGATGTTCTCGAGCCTGATCATCACTTGTCTTACCTTGTCCGGATTCCAGAGTCACGCTAAAAATAACGCATACGTGTACAGCCCATCACGACGGCAGAAGCCGCCGGAACACGTCGACACCTACTACACTTTCCCCACTCCCCTTTCTCACTCTCCCCTCTCCACCTTTTCTTCTCCATCCCCATCTGTCTCCATCAATCTCCGTCATCGCAGGTTCCCCTGCGGTGCAACATCCATCATCATCACGTTCTCCTGCGGTTCACTCTTCATCATCCATCACCACATTCTATTGCCCCCCCCCCCCCCCATCACGTCTCGTTAACTCCATTATTTCTAACGCCTAAAGAATCAATCAGCAGTCTCTGTATCCTCCAGAACATAAAGATGTGCATCGGCTACCGCCCAACAATCCGCCGGGGTACAGGAACCAGAAGCGGCACCCTACGTGATGGTATGCAATCCACCTCCAACTCCACGCGTAATGGAAGAGCGGCAGTACCAGATCCATCCCCATCCGAGCCCTCTGTCCACAGTGACGAGGAAGACCTCGAAGAGGAGGACGAGGCCCTCGAAGATGGTGAAGCCGTCGACGATGATGAAGAACTCGTCGACGACGAAGCTCCCGAAGATGAAAAGGATGATGGAAGTGAGTCTCCCGCTGCCGCCGGCAAGAGAACTCGCAAAGCCGCTCCTCGTGCTGCCGCCACCAAGAGCAAGAAAGCGGCGCCTCAGAAAACCAAAAAGGCTCCCACAAAAAAAGCACCAAAGAAGGCACCACTGAAGACGAGCGCCAAGGGCACCCACACCTCCGGCCCCGAAAGGCGCATCAAGACCGAGCCCGGCGCATCCCCCGAGGTACAACTAGTTCCTACTGCTCCTGCGGATCAGCAGACTCCCACCATTGCTAATCCAAGCACTGTCGACGCCGCTACCAACACGTTGCCCTTGTTGCCCCCCGCGGGCATCACCGTGATTGTAATCGATGGGCACGCCTTCGAGGTTCCCGCAGATCCGGTGGCGTGCTTCCATGCGGTCAGACAGCAGGTTATTGCGTCGTATCGTGCGATCGCGGCACGGAACGGAACAGAGAGGGATTTGGCTGTTGCGATGGGGACTGGTGCGGCAGGCGGAGGAGGCGAGGTTTGTGTTGCTGGGAAGATGAAGAGGGCATCGGAGGGACCTGAGGGTGAGGAGGGGTGTCAGGTGAAGAGATGGAAGGTGCAGGTGGGATATGGGGGCGATGGGGGCAATGTTGCGGGGGTGGAGGTGGTGCCGGTGGTGGTGCTGATTTGGCTGGGGTTAGTTATATCTCAAAGAAGTAGCGCTCAAAGGTGTTCTCGTAGGAAGCCTTAGCGAGGTTTACGTTGGTGCCTAACACTGTGGTATATGAAATACGTAGCTGAATAATACTCATGAGCTATCACTCAATCCCGTACTCGAATCCGTCAGTAAAAAATACCACACGGTGATTTAGAATCACGGCGCTGCTAGTCCCGCTCCCTAAGAAATAACACTATGTACGTACCGAGGGTAATCCTATATTTTACCATCCTAAATATATGTGAATGTTTGTTCCCCGCTGAACCTGTTGAACCGAGTGATATTTAATGAAGTTCACCAATCGTCACTGAATTATGCTACTATACTATAGCATGTAAGATATCTTGCTAGAGTCTTATTTAATCAACCCTATACTCGACCTTATTTTGGTTATTAATCATACCAAAGTACCACAATACCCACTGGTGCGTCAGGGACTGCCGCCAAAAATGCGCCGGAGCTCCTAAGCTCCTAGCGTCAATGTTGTTCGACCGGAGAGCAAAGACTCGCTTCCCCTACCCGTTTTCATTGGGGTCTGTGGATCATTTTGAAACCCGGGAGGAGAGGTATCTACCATCGCGAAACATATTTCGTCAAGTGCTAGGCGATAGTCGCTGGAAGGATTATTCTAGTGAGGACTTAGCACAACCACCCACTCGTCAATGTTGAGCAACTAGGACTTCTAGAAGCGGTCCTTAGTTACTCGTTGCAGTAGTCCACACGCCTTGCACCGGGAAGGTTTCTGCCACCATTTCTCAACGACTATTGGGCAAAGCGGTAGCTACTACCACTGAGCGTAGCGATATAAACCTTTGACACACGCCGCACTGTCTGGGGCCCAGTCCCGGCCCGCAACGTCCCCCCAACTATGGACTACAATATATAATCAAGGGCCTCATATATAGGTGCGTCATATTGTCAACTCAGAATGGATAGAGGCCAGCCTTACCAAACAGAGGAGGAGGGTTCTATAATGAATTTATTCCTCTGGATCTAAGGGCGTGAGACTCCAGCCGTTTATCCGGGGCTACCCTTGAAATGTGTTCGACGGCGTAAGTCGATGCATTTATTTGGGGAGCACCGAGTGATAGTTCGTGAAGCGCTCTGCTGCCCTACCGGCATGGGTTTTCTAGGCGTTGCGGTGCACGTTCGAGCCCGTTATCTGGGGACATCTCGGCAAGTGATTCTGCCTCGTTTTGCGTTCCATCCTGGAGTCATTTTGTTTGGGTTTAGAGAAACCCCTCATTGGGAACGCCAAGACCCGAGAATGTTTCTCCAGTTTGAACTCTTACCCCACTGAAACCTCCCACCAAGACCCAGGTTGAATACTCCTGTTAGGCTCACTGGGTCAAACACAGCAGATCCCCACCCACCCTCCCCTCCTCCCTCTACTTCCACCGTCCCCACCAACATCACCACACCCCAACTTCGCACACACCTCCTCACCGCCACAATGAGACACCCCCGCGGTACGCGCACGCCGCCCTGTCTATTCAGTCCTCATCACCCCCTCCCTCATTACCCTCCCTCTCACCCACTCCCCACCCCCGTTCCGCCCCTCCGCACGAACCTGCTACCGCAATCTCCACCGCCCCAGCCGCCGCACACCACCAGTCCAAGCCGCTGCCCCAGCTATCAAGACCAGGCCGTCACCACTATAGCGGCGCCGACACAGCCACCCACACGATACTCATGACCGACGATCACCCATTCCCCATCCCACACAACCCCTTGCAGGCATTCCACGCCACAAGAGCGCAGACAATAGCTTCTTTCAGAGCTGTAGCGTGGCGGGATACGGGCTTTGTGTTTGGCGCTGCGCTGCCTCCGGCTGCTGCTGCGGGGCCGGTGGTGGGCGGTACACTAAGCCTGAGTATAGTCTAGCCTACGGTCCCGCACGACAATGGCAGTACCAGGGAGATTGCCATCGGTAAGCACACATTCACCATCCCCACTGACACCGTGGCCGCATTCCTTGCGACCCGTGAGATGACCATTGCGTCGTAGCTGCGCGTGACGGAAGGCGTGGTGGGGATAAGGGATATGGTGTTTGTGTTCCGCACCGCGACGGCGGCGGCGACAAGTGTTGAGGCGGAGGCAGGCGCAACGATACAGAGTGCGATGGCGATGGAGGAGGACACACCGCCGCCGCAGGTCCATGAGAGGGTCATCTACGATACATACAGTGAAGATGAGGATGACGAAGACGAGGCCTACGCCTCGCCTGTACCAGCTGCACGCCCCCGCCGCCGCCGCACTGGGACGGCCGTTGCCCGCACTGCTTCCCCCGCCCACACGCAACCTAGTACTGGGCCTGATCGGCGAGTGGCCGTCGATGCTACTCCCCCCGTCCGTAGCACCGCTCCCGCCGCCACCAACGATAGCCTTACGAGCCTGGCCCTCCAAACCCGCTACCGCCAAAACCTTCCACTTGGCGATTTCCGCGACATCGCGCATGTGCGGGGAAAGCTGCGTATGGGTGGGGAAGTACATCCAGGGGTTACACTCGCTCGGTGGGGTCTTCGCGGAGACGAGGGAGGTGGTGGGGGAGGGGTAGTGTAGGCGGTACATTCAGTCAGGGCAGCGACATGGCGTGCCTGTGGCGTGTAGGGTGCTCTTGGAGGGCGGCTGGGCGGATCTATGTGCCAAGTGGACGACTCAGCGGTGTGGGTTTTGCGGGCAGAGGTCGGTGCCGTGTAATGTGGAGGAGGATTCGCAGGGTTAGGGGTTTTCTAATTGCGGGAATGATGTGAGATATGGTGTGGGAGGGTTTGGGCGGGTTGAAGTGTTGCATAATTGAGGGTAAGCTGATAGGGACTTTCTATAGTTAGAAGAGGCTATATTAACCTATCTCAAAAATGTTGAGAATGTTCCTTCATGGGCGGAGCAGCAGAACCGAGTGAGATTCTAGATGTTGGTCCATCCTCTAGAATATAACAAGGCATCTAAAAGCTATTTCCATAGTTTATTTAGCCATATATTTGAGCATCTTAATCCATATGTTTGAGCATTTTTAATCCATAAATCACTACTAAACGGTCTCAATGCATACCGCTACGTCAAACGCGTTCACTGCGGCCGGGAATGAGCCACATCTTGAGACATCCTCCAGTCTCGGTGTTTCTACGGCGTTGGTAGGCTGTCCTTCCTCATTGCTTGTCACCAGAACCTGTCAAGGATCTTATACATGAAAGGACAAAGATCCGCCAATTTCAGAACCTAGGTTCCCTACCGGATGATTAGCTGCGATACGCATCATTCTGAGATATTTGAAAAACTCGAAATACCTCAAGAAACGTACCTCCCAACGCTGGGAAACTGGCTAGGTTATTGGAATCGGTTTGTAGCCACCCTTTCATGCCTGGGCCCTGGGCGTATAGCGCAGTTCCCGTGACCGCCTTGTGGTGTTTTAAACCATTCGTGTTCCTTTTTAAACATTTCGTGTGCCCGCTCAAAGTGCCTTTGTACAACACCCCACGAAGCAGTCAGTCCAGCTCCGCTTTAATTTCTTGTTTTTTTTTAGTAAGTTCACGTTCAGGACTTCATACAGCGGTATTCTCACCAGCTAGGGTTCCCGAACCCTAACCCACAACGAACACCCTATCCTTACTTCCAACTGGACCCTGATCAGCTTTAGTGGACAAACTGTGATAATCAGTTGCCACGGCCCAAGAATTGACACCAGTAGTTATTCCCCCGGTTCACTTCATTGTGGTTTTAATCTTTGATCAGGCCCCAATCGTTCGAGGTACTCGCCCAAGCACACATCACCCGCTAGTGCATCACCTATCCTTACCTCTTCTTTTCTCCCCTGATCTCCACCAACACCACCACCACCACCATCATGACCCCACCCCCAACCAATACCATCATAATGGAACCCTCTCACAGTGCCCGCAAGCACCGCCTATCAGACGTCAACTCACCGAACGCTCTTGTCCACAAGCCTACCCCATTGTCCTGCCCTCCGTCCAAACGCCCTAACAATAACCTACACCACCCTAGAAGTCAAGCTCTGTCACTCAAAAGCCCCGCGGCAGAACCTGCGCCCATGCCCACTACCATTTCCGCCGTAATCCCAGCCGCTGTCATCCCAGCCGCTGAAGTGGGGTCAGCTCCCACCACCACCACACTCTTGATCGATGGCCACGAGTTTCTTATGCCAAAGGATCCCCTCCAAGCGTTCCACACCACCAGGTCGCAGACCATCGCCTCTTTCCGCGCCGTATGGGCAGGGGCCCCAGGTGCTCAAGACACAGGCTTCGTCTTCGGTACTGCCCTGGCTCCTGCGGCTGCACAGCCCGGCGTCTGCGGCGGCTTGAGCATACGTCAGCCCATCGTCACCCACCACACTGGAAATGTTAGAGAGATCTCTATTCATAACCACGTTTTCATCATTCCCACCGATGAGGTGGCTGCGTTTCTCGCCACCCGCGAGATGACCATGGAGTCGTTTCGGCGCGTGGCAGAGGGGGGTGCGGAGGCACGGGACATAGCATTGGTGTCTGGCACTGCTACCGTACGCCTTAGTGAGGAAAGCATGTCCGGGGGAAGGCCGGCGGACAAAAAGAGAGCTACTGCCGACAGGATGGGTACGAAGGGTGAACGTCCTCCTGCCCACCAGAGGTCACAGGGTCTGGATAAGGATGACGACAGGGACGAGGAAGAAGAATACGATCAAGGCGAAGAAGGAGGCGGAAATGAGGGGGGGAAGACGAAGAACAAGAAGAAGAACAAGAAGAAGAAGAAGAAGAGAAAGATAAGGAAGATGAAGAGGGAGTTAAAGAAGAAGAGAAAGACGAAGAGAAAGGCTACTCCCCGCCAGCGTGCAGCGCACCGACCATCCCTACCACTCGCACCCCGCAACAGCACAATGCCACAGCCGCGGCTTCTAAGACCGCCCCAACCCCAAAGTCTACCAGTGTCCGAACACCAACAGCCCCTGGCAGGAAGGGCTACTATCCCAAGGACATGCCCCTCGGTGATTTCAGTGGCTTCGCGCAAGCACAGCGGGAGTTAGGCGTGTCTCATGGATGGTGTAAAGGGAAGTATATTGAGGGGCTGCTGTCAATCGGCGGAGTATTCGCCGAGACCAGAGAGGTAGTGGGGAAGGGAAAATGTAGGCGGTGCACCTCGACCAAGGACCGATATGGAGTATCTCCCGTGTGCAGGGTGTTGGTTGGAGAGGATCCGTGGGTCAGGATGATGGGGAACAAGTGCGGGCTTTGCGTGCAGCAGGCCCAGAGCTGTAATGTCGAGGAGAATTTGGAGGGGTAGAAAGCTCTTGTAATGAGGGCATAGGAGGTGAAATGGTCTAAATAGACTCACTAGTAGTTCTCAATCTGGAATCCATTTCTCTTCGTTCTTTCTGCTGTTAATGTGCCCGTCGTCGAGTATATCCCTCGTCCGCTACTATTTACTACTGTGTGGTTTCGCTTCCCACCCTTGCCACGCACCCCAGTTAAAATCAAGCATGACGAGAGCTTTCTCTAGATTTGAGCTCGAGGTCTGTTGCTAATCAGCCCAATTCTAGATTGCAGTCTCTCTGGGTTCGTTATAAATTATTGGCGACTGGCTCGTAATTGAAACCGGAATATCAAACTTTCAAAATTCCCCTAGAGCTCGCATTAATAATGAAAACAGCATGGAGATGATAATGGTTCGATGTTGGAATGGAAGCTCCTGAAGTGTAGTATCTCGTATCTTTATTCCACTATGTGAGGTCCAGGCCAACATGGCTGGCAGCCGGCGCTACACAAGAAAGCCAAGAAAACGTTTCTATTGACGTTGCTAAGTACTTGATTAAAGCCTATTGAAACCTTATATTATTCTCCCATAGAACCTTGATGCAATAAACGAACTCCGTATCCAGTTACAATTGGTACAGTACTTGTGACACTGATCCAACACCGGAATATGCGGGGAACTGGTTCCCAGCGCATCCAGGTAATATCCGAGTGCGAATCCATGTCCCACGTCTGTAACACCACGACCTAACGACCATCCTTCCCTTCCACCAGTCACAACCATCACGGCTCCACGATTCCTTCTCACCATGGCCCGTCGTGCTAAGTGCCCCCCTGTCCCTTCCGACGCTCGCCTTCGCCCGTACACCAGAAGTCGTTACCCCACGCTCTCACATCGCCCCGCCCGGACCGAAACAAATTGCTCCGTCTCACCTGAGCCAGCCCGCGGCCAAATCCAGGGCCAGCACTCTGTGTCCCCCCAGCTCGATGCTGACGGCCCAACAACAGAGTCAGCGCTACGCGTATTGTCAATCGGCGGACATATTTTCAACATCCCGAAGGATCCGCTTAAGGCGTTCCACGCCATACGTTCTCAGATAATCTCGTCCTTCGTTGATATCTTTGATGGTACGGCCGGGGCAAGGGATATCGTGTTCATCTCCGTTACCCCAACCCGCGCATCGATGGATCCCACCCCAAGCAAAGAACAGAGAATACTCACTATCGACGGACACATCTTCAACATCCCAGCTGATCCGGTGGGGGCTTTTCAGGCTACCCGTCAGATGACGCTTGCAGCTTACAAGAGGATTGCACCTGTCGCGGCTGGGGGAAATCGCGAATCGGGGACTCCTGACCAGAGGGATATGGCATTTATCTCTGGGACTGCTACACTGGCTGTTGAAGAACACGCCGACCTTGAAGAAGATCATGAAGTACCAGATTCGCAAGACTCTGCTCCTATGCGCAACACTGAATCACCTCCCCCAGCGGACGATGTCGGTACTGAGGTCTATGAGGTGGATGACGAAGACGACCAAGACTATAGGCCCAGCGCTAGTGTCCGCCGTAACTCAGCACACACTATACTTGAGCCTACCATCGACTTGGCAACTACTAACACCGCCTCTACTACCACCCCTCTCCCCCGTGCACGCTTCTACCTGGTAGGCGCCTTCCTTGGCGACTATACCGACTTCGCCCATGCCCAGCGTGACTTGGGTAAGAGAGCTGCATGGGTCAAGGGGAAGTATGTTGACGGGCTTATATCACTTGGCGGGAAGTACGCAATCACGAAGGAGGAGGTGGGCACAAGTAGGTGTCGGCAATGCAGAAACTCCAAAGATGATCCGGTGTGTAGGGTGCTGGGTGGGAAGGATCAGTGGTTGAATAGCACGAGGTGCGGACTCTGTTTGGTGAGATCGGTGGGATGCCATATGCCTTAGGCTTGTTCACAGCTTGTCTACTCTCGTGCTTGCTGGTGGGGGGCTTGCTGCAAGTACGGGACATATACGAGACTACATATGCCTCAGTGGAATATTGATAAGAGTCTGGCGATATGCTAGCCCTGTAAGAAATAAAAGTTATTAGTGCACTGTTTAACATGTTCGGTTTCTGACACCCTTTACTCCCCCGTGACGCCCATATCGGCACCGTCAGATATTTAGAGCACGACTTGCCTGTCCAGAAGAGGTAGCACTAGAGCCGTCGGAGGATTGGGTAGGTTACGGGCCGAAAAGTCAAGACCAATAGGTGACCAAGTTTTAATGGATGAACGAGATTTTAGCACACTATTTCCCCACACAGTTCGTTGCTTTAGAGCTAGAGGTCTGTAGGGTGAACCAGGAGCTCAATATAGACTTCAGTCCCATACATACCTGTATGTATGACGCAAACCGGTCTAAAGCTCACTTGATAAAATTTTAACCAGGTTGAATGATAGCAGGTACGACGGTGTTGCTCGGATATGAGGAAGAAAAGACATAAATCAGCGAAAGAAATAGCCGAATATAATCCAGCCAGTGAGGACACAGTAGTCGTTGTGAACTGTCCTTTTGTCCGTTGGGAATTTACCCCGCACCGCCTCGACCGAGAACGTCAAGACACCAGCGTCCAAAGGTTCAGCCGCTATGCACGGATTGCTTGGGCAGAGAAATCGGGCGGCGGCGCGAAGTGAACATCGAGTTACATCGTGACAGACATAATGGTCTCTCTTTATTTTGGAAGAATATATCAAGGATGACAGTGTGAAATGAGAAAAGGGCAAACACTGCATGCAGTTACTAGAAGTCCTCGGAGCTGCGGCAAACAAGTAACCGGAAATGCGTCGAAGTAGCAAGTAACCCTAACCCTAACCCTATGAGGATAGTAACCCCTGTGCCCAACTTAAATGTCCACTATATCAAGATATCAAGCTAATGGTATTTAATTTGGGAGTACACTTCGTGTCCTAGGCAGAGAGTATACAGGATTCTGGCGCCACCCTAGCCTGACTACAATGAGTTCGGAACTGAAGAACACAAGAGGTACAGAAAAAAGTTGAGATTTATAATCATTTATTCAGTGATAATGATAACAGCCAGACGGAAACCAGTACGCCTTCCACCCCAATGCACCTCCAACTCTTCCAAGTTATCAAAACCTGGCCACGATGTTAGCAGTCAACCAGCAAGGAGCTAGTAGAACGGTTGTGGTTGTTACCTTCACCGCATCCAATGCGCGCCCCAAGACTATTCCCTCCTCGTGTTACTCTATCTCTGATTCCACCACGGATCCATGCCCGCCTTTCGCCCCTTGATGGTGACATTCTTCAATTTATTCTTCTTCTCCCACTTCCACCACGGCGTCTTCGCCTCGTGCTTGAAGAGCTTAATATTCGCCCGCAGATCACAACCCCAGGTCGCGAAGAAGAGGAAAGTATCAATGTTCTGGAAAGTGCAGATAACGCAGTTTTGACCGGTGGCGAGAAAGTGGAAGGTGCAATGAGCGTGGGCAGACATGGTTGTGGGAGTCTGATTGAGTTGGAGGGTTGTGAGTTATGAAGGTTGGTTTGATATGCTTGTGGAAAGGTGAGAGCTGCAGGTGGAGGATGAGGGGGACGATATGTATATAAGGATGGGCATGTTTGCTAACTCGTTGATACTGCGCGGCCACCTTGGCCTAAGGCTGTCAGAACTACTATACTGCACTTTAATCTCATACGGATAAGACATGGTTTTCGCCGTCCAGAGATCATTTTCAATTGTTCCGAGCCCAGAGTTTCCCGTGATAAACTGAACCGTTTAGTCTACCAGTTACTACGGTCCTTACCGCCCTTAATACATAGCTTAAACGGTTTAGAAATATGCTAAACCGGTAATATCGATGGTTTAGGCGGTTTATACAACTCATGTTGATGAGCTAGAATACCCCAGTTCCTCATGTCGAACATGCCAGTTCCAAAGGTTGAACACCCTATTCAAGAACAGGAAGAGCTACTCCTAGGACTATTATCATGGTGAGTATGCCAAGAGTTAAAACGGCGGTTGAACAAATTAAACTGGTTAAAACTATCAAGAGAAACAGTTGGTACAGTTGGTACAGTTTGAGATCCCCTATTTAGTGGTCGGTGCGGTTTTGTCTTATGGCACAACAGATTTCCACCGCCGGAAACTCTATCGAAACTTGATAGTGACGGATTTGTAAAACAGACTTTGATTAAATTCGCAAGATACGGCGTCAAGAAGTTCCAGAATGCAATAGGCACATTCACAGACATACAGATGGGGTGAAACAACTAACATAACGACCAAGAAAAATTTATTAAATGGTGCGTATTTATTAAAGTGAGCGTGTTTATTAAAATGAGCGAATGATCATCAATAACTTCCGTTACCCCCTCCGCCCAAACCAATTTTCCCAAAACACCCACCCAATGCCGAACCATCGGCGATTCCCTTTCCCGCTTTACTTCCACTCCCTCCCCCCCCATCCCCTTCGCCCGGCAACCTAACCCCAATGCCATGCCGGATCCACCCCCTCTGGCACCCTAACTTCCCCCTTCTTCGCCTTCTTCCCCCACCCCTTCCACCACGGCGTCTTATGTTTCAAACGATCATCGTCGGCCCAAAGCTTGATATTGTGCGGTGACTCCGAGCCGGTAACGGGGGGGCGGTTTGACCACATCCAGCGACCGAAAAAGACGATGATCTCGACGGGGGTGAGGTCGCAGACGGGGCAGCCCTCGCCGGTAGCAAGGAAGTGGGTGGTGCAGAGGGTGCGGGCGGACATGTTTGTGGTAGGGTGGTTTGCGGGGCTGTTGCGGCCAGAATACAGGGTGGTGAGAGTGTTAAAGATAGTGACCGTAGTGATCTTGTTGTGCGTAGTAAGCGTAGTATGTGTGGTAAGCGTGACGAGGCTTATGAGATTTGTGAGGTTTGTGAGCGTGGTAAAGGGGTGAGGTTGAGATCTTGGAACAAAAACGCCCAGACCACGTTCGGGAATTTCTTGAATTGTTCCGCAATCCCACTCCATTACTCCCCAACTAAAACGCTCCACACCCAAATTGAAATTTACTGTGTCCTAAGTATGTTCCAAATCCCTCCATGCACTGGACCTTGTTCTCTGAAAGTGTTTTACATTTTCTGCACTATCATGGAAACCTCCACGCGCCAGGATTAAAGCCTACTAAAATGGAACCCACCGTCTACCGCCGTAGCATAGTGGCTATGGTGTCGCCGGGAGGGGCCGGGGTTATTCGTTCGAGCCACCTCCCAGGCTTGGTTGAAAGACTGTGTGACTGGGTAAAAAAGGGTATGGGCTAGGTTCCTCATTTTTACTATTTTTAGGAGCGATAGTGGTTCTCTTCGTTTTTTTTTTTCTTTCTGTTCTGTACGCTCTATATTTTTGTTCCGAGCGCTTCCAGCTATTAGATAATCTGAGTTGCGTTGGGACGTTGGCACCTCCGCATCATGGAATATCACTCGGGAAGGCGCTGTAACCCACTCGCACGACTGGGAGCCTGGAGTGAGGAGATGTGAAAGCGTAAGTGCACCGCAAGTAGTAATCGATCAATTCAAGTGACCCTATTTTTACAAAAGTGTCCAAAACGTAATTATTATCACTGCTCGACTTTGATGTTCTGCGGTATCCCCGGCCTGTTTTTATTTTTTTCGATACGATGACTTTCGACCCAATGGTCTCCCTTCATCGGCAGGAAATAAATCTGGGGTTCTTATCGCATAGGCTTCAATGTTAATGTTCATACTCTAACCCCTAGCTCTTCCACCGCGGGATAAGAGCAATTGCTTTACTCAATGTATCTTTTCTCCATATCGACAATCTTCAGTCCTCAGAAATTACCACATCCGTAAGCAAAAATAAAAAAAGGTATTACTCCTTCCATACACTTCCTATAATGCGACTTTCTCCCACCACTCCCACACACCCTTCTCCCCAAACCTCTTCCCCCAACAAGTCGGCTCACCCACAACCCACCTCCAAACACAAACCACCACTCCAGCCGAGACCCTACCACACCAGGCCCAATTCCAACCTTCCACCCTTCCACCTTCTCTCGTGCACCAACAGCAACACTAAAATCAAAACCGTTTTCTCCCACAAGTCTCCCAACAACCAACAACCACACATCCCTCGACATTTCTCACTACCAACATTGCACAATGCCCCGCGCAACCTACGCCACGAGGGCCTCCATGCGTGTTGCAAAGACTCGCAGCTGCAGCACTGGCGGCACTGCAAGCACTTCAGCTTCCCAGCTGCGTACCACGGCTGCCGCTGCACTCCAGGCAAACTCACAGCTACATTCGTCGTCCTCTGCGGGTGCTGAGGTGCAATCTTCTTCATCCACCACCGAGCCTACCAGCCCAGGTATTCCCCATTCACCTTCACTCCCTTCCCCCACTTCGTCTTTTGAAATCAATCATACTAATGCCACTCTCCGCAGACCCCACCTCCTTCAGGCCTCCATTCAACAATCTTGACTCCCCGCCTACAAACTGCCCCTACTGCCCTTTCACCGTCACCAGCAACTCCATTGAATTCGAAGGCTTCAACATCATGCTCCACCCGTGCCCCTGCGGTCAAGAGCACGCTCATGCCGCAAAGGTCCTCGCGCATCACCTCTCCTCCTGCCCCGGCAAAGCCCGACCCGACAACACGTCCTCCCTCACTACCGCGCCGCCATCAGCCCAAACTTTCGAAGAAGACGCCTTGCCAGCCCCACGTCGCCGACGCCGCCGTGCCCCGGGCGAGAACCCCCCAGCTCTCCCTCACCCAACTGCTGTTGACCTCCAACCCACCATCGACGGCCCCGACTGCGCCAACTACGCCTCGCAGCAGCGCACCTCGCCGCGCGTCTGCATAACCTGCACGCAGCCCTTCACCACCCGCGTCCATGTCTTCAAGAACGGGCGCATGCACACCCCTTTCATGCTGTACCGCTGCGGGTGCGGCGAGCGCTTCAGCCGCGAGTATCCCAACATGCGGGTGCGCATCGACATCAAGCAGGAGGAGCACCAGGCGCTCGAGACGGATATCGAGCTTGCGAGGGAGCGTGTGAGGAAGGAGTTTGAGAGTGTTGGGGCTTTGACGGTGAGGAAGAGGGTTAGGTCAAAAGGGGGGAAATGGGTGCTTGCTAAGGGTGTTGAGAGTGAGGGGGAGGAGGAGGGGCAAGGGAGTAAGGAGAAGCCGACGTACTTGTCGAGGGCTGAGATGAGTGATAAGTGGAAGGAATACGCGTACGGGCGGGGCATGCGACGTAAGAGCAGCAAGCTCATCTGTGAGGTTTGTGGGGTGGAGTCCGCGGATGCGGACAAAGCGGCGACGCATAGGAGGGAGCATCAGGACGAAGAGAGCGAGATGGAGAGGAGCAATACGACGTGTGAGTGTGGGTCTGTCTTTAGGACAAAGGAAGGCCTGGAGGCTCATGGATCACTCTGTCGTCTGGTGAAGAAGAATAAGAGGTGAGTACTGGGTTTATTACGGAATCTTGTGGAAAGGTTGTGTTAACGTTGATGATTTAGGAGAAAGATTGGGAAGAAGTAAACCGCTGCAGAGGAGATAGCATACGTGGCACAGGGAAGGCCATTTGTCATTAACAGGGGTGGTTTACGTAAATGTCACTTCTGTCGAACTCTGCTTGAGCACAGAGTATTCTCGATACCATTCCTGTCTTCTACTTTCGTAAATTTGTCTCTACTATTAATGTAGTCACTTCTTGAAGATGGATTCTTTACATCTACTATTGGCCTTCTAGTATTATATTCCTTAGCGATTCTGTCCTGCACTATGAACCCGTCCTTTAGAAATATACCCTGTTTTCAGATTTTGTCTCAATTCTTCAAGCAGAGTGACTCTATATTTACAGAGGACTTCCATATCTTATTGTACCCTACTATTACAGTAGACTCCTATCAATTTCCCCAAAATTACCCTTCCTACCATTACCCCTCCCAGAAACAACTCCAATTTCCCATCAGCCATGGTACGAGCACCCAAGCATGTACCTCCAACGCCTCACCCTAGCTCTCCGACCCCCCACTTCCCGACCCGACGATGACGCCAAAACCGATGTGTTTGCGCTGTCTTCCCACACCTTCTACATCCCCCACTCCCGCGGCGGAACCCACAGAACCAGCTCCCTACAGACCACCCCGCACCCCAATCTGACCCTCTCTGTATACAGATAAAGCTCCAGCACCCCAGCACATACCTCCTGATGATGAGCAATTACTTTCAGAAAGTTGCTATGGCTAATTCCGCAGGAGCAGTCATAGAGCACCACATCCTCTCCTCGACCGTGGCCAAACGTCTTCGTGTAACCTCCAACGACATAGGCACAGACTGTGCATGTATAGGTCCGATGGGTTCCTGGTGGCGGAGGTACCGTGTGGCATGGTTCCGGGATGTCTGGGTGGGGTGCTTCGAGGTTATTAGTATTGTAGTTTACAGTTGAAAGGAGATAGTAAGGGGGCGGAATATTTACAGTCGGCGATTGCAAGGCGGCGTAGAGAGGAGTTGAGTTTAACAATTTCGGGATGGAGTTGGGTGCCGTTGAGGATGCCCGCGTATTGATCTTTGCTGAGAACTGTCATTTGGTATCTGAGATGCGGGAAAGGGTGGGTGTTCATGGGAAGAAGGTTCTGAACGGGCGACGGGTTCCGCGGAGGTGGGGTAAGTGATGGCGAGTTGCGGGGTGAAGGCGTTTTGGACATAATTGTATTTGAAGACTTTGCTGACTCGTATGGTTGTACCTATAATCATTTCTTTAGTTTAGTTATGGTAGTAGAAACAGTAGCATAAGTCGGATCGGAATGAAAGAGTGTTGAACATACGTTTCTAAAGAACCTTCCTTTTTGACCAACTCGTACTTCTGTGGTGTTGGTTACTTCATTCAGAAAACTCCGCTTCTTGTTTCCAGTCCTATCCTGTATGTGCAGTAGGTGCGTCGTAGAGTGTACCTCGTCCACACACGGTGTTTTGTGGTGGATAAACAATACGTTAAGCTTAACGTATAACTCGTTCGAATTCCGTCCATCTAAGTACGAACCAGGGTGGGTATTTCGTTGAGGGGCGAATTATGGAAATGCAACAACGATTTCAAGCGGGGAACAAACACCTAGAACATACCACTATTAGTTTAATTCACTTGAAGCTTGTCACTTGCCACCAGGTGACCTCACCCAATGTCCCGAGTTTAAACTTGACTGTAGTATATCCTGTGATTTCGTCATATCGTGCGGGATGGCGGGAAACGGTACCGAGTGATATCTCATGTCTCAGCTTCCACCAAAAGGGCGGATTACGGCTCGTACGTCCCAGAGAATTAGCGCGGGGAGATGAATAGCTACTCCTCGTTTCTTAGTATTCTAATTCTATCCACGCTTAGGGCCGGGGTTTTCTCTTGGAGGATTGAAGGGAAGATCAATTCCTACCACCAACAGCAACCCCATCCCCGAAACCAACCGTCAGAACACACATCAAACACTCACCCCTCACTATCAGACCCCACCTTCCCAAACCCCCCACCAAGACTATGTCGAGATATACTCGATGCAACACACGCTTCCTCGCCACCGGTGAAAACTGCCTGCAAACCAATGACTCTCTCATCTTCATTGCGGGTTTGAGGTGGACCGTAGGCCAGCGGACAGGGGTCTTCATGCAGCAGAAGCCGCCCTGGTGGAAGAAGGATAATAGAAACAAGATAAAGAATGTCACCATTCCGCCGCCGAAGAAGGGGAAAGATCCGTGTTGGCATTAGGAGCGAAAACGCTCCCTAATCAAGCACTAGGGTGCGTTAAAGGTAACTGCCGTTACGCCAATTGCTGTTTGAAGCTGCTGACCTTGCATAAAAATTAGGATACGGGAGGATGGAGTAAAGAGAGAAATATTACTTCGTTCTGTACGGTTTTTAAATCTGTTATTCAATGAATGTGTACTTTATTGAGACAATAAAGTTTCAATAGATGTGCTCACTGTCCCTGTTCCCTGTATAAAGCTCTTGTGGCGTCCTCTTGACAGGTGAAATACGATATACTATACTCGATGCCTGGATGAAACTAGAAGAGCGAGCATGAATTCGTTTCTGTCCTCAGAGGAACCCTTGGGATTCATACCCCTCTTAGAATATGGCCAGACACGATCAGCATCACTTGAGACTTTGAAGAGACGTGGTAGAGTAAATATACCAGGGAGCAGAGGTTGAATGTCTCAATCATCTTATAGGTCACGAAACTCACTACTATGCACAGCGTACAGTTGAACACATATACATAAAAACCGTCTTCAAATAACCAAATCCGGAGTCCCAACCTCTAGTGTAACAACCGATCGGTTGGGGCTACCGCAGTGGGCATAATTAGTTGCTAATTACATGCATGTCTTCTCCTGCATCTGCTGTGGCATCGCTGCCCCCACCAAAAGACATACGGGTTCGCAATCGCTGGCATGTATGCGATCGCGTGCATATATTGACCGTTGAAAGTGCATAAAACGATGATTGGTACGATCCCTCAACAAAGTGCACGTGTCAACGTGTCAACGGTCAGGTATTGTTCCCGGGACTAAGTTCGACCCATGCAGTTGGTCTCTTCAGGCGCACAGACAACACGGCGGATTCCGCAGCATGGGTCATCACTCGATAGCAACGCTGATTGGAGTGCTTACTTTTTAGGGGCTGGGGAGGCACACTCAAGGCAGAACATGGATGGAACCAATAATGTGATAGGAGAACCAATGATGCATTACAAAAAGCAATAGAGTGATGCGGGGCCGGTTTGAGCATCGCCATGCATGCGACATGACATCACCCGCACAGTCATTCCCGGGACAACGGCGAACTTGGTTCGGTCCTGAATGTGCCAGCGGGGGTTAACAAAAACTGATCAAGGTGCACCGGCCCACTTATTTAGCCTGATGATCAGCTCGGAACGTCGTTATTCTTTATCAACCCGGCTCGCCATTGACACCAGAACAACTGTACGTGGCTGTTAGGGCGTTTGACTCAAAGCTAATGATTGATAATTCATCAAAAACCTGTTAGTAATGCCATACCCATTGACCCCCGCTTGAAAGGTCAGCCAGACCAAGGAATGAGAAATCTGTCCACTCAAGTCACCCACCTGACATACTAATTTTCCATCTCCTTACATCTACTTCAAGCATTTCCCACGAAATCTGAAACCGCTACGGCTTTAGGTGTCAAAGAAAAACTATCTCTCCGTCTGTCAATGCTGCCCACCCTCTAATAAGACAATTAAATATATATATGGGAGATCTACTATTTGATAAGAGAGAGAACCAGATCTGCTAGTACATAAAGTCACACTGGATTTGCTTTTTCTTGGGTGGGCAGCATTTTCAGGGATAGGGTGGCAAGTTCCAGATTGATTTCACAGCCCAACCGCAACTAACAGGTACCAAATACTATAATACAACCCTTCTCTTATTGAGGTACTAATCCAGGAGTCCTACTCCCTAACATATCCCACGCTAAGACATTATTAAAAGATAACAAAGGCACCTATGACTAATCCACTAAATCGGTGACAGATACCTGTACGCATACAAATACGTCAATATATCCCTGCCCTACACTACTGGCCACATCTTCTGTAACGTATCCACTATCTACACAAAATACGATCTCACTACGTGTCAAACTCGGTCATGTGCCACAGCACCCATAACACCCAAACCAGCCATAAAAGACTCATAACACTTTCTAATAACACTGCATCATGCACCTCACCCACACCATCCCACATCCACCCGCGGGGGTCCGTGAATGGCTTGGCTAGGGCTTCCACCCCTCCCAATCTGGTCAGACTAATTAGACCCTGGCAGGGAATAATTTGTTGGGCTTGGCTCTGAGTATAAATAGGCTCTCGTCCCACCTCACCTACAACCTTCACAATATAGACAAACCACCCTGCCTAACCTCCTATATCAACCGAAATGGATACAGCCCTCAGCGCCCTACACTTCTACCAGCCCCTCCTCGAGCGTGCAGCCCCCACCGTCACACTTACCGAGCAGCTGCGCGTGCTGCGCCAGAGTATCACCGTCTATGAGTCCGTACTGAGGGGTATCCAGCGGCGGCTGCGTACTGTGGCTAAGGGCGATATTGTGGAGCGGAAGGAGTTGAGGGAGAAGGGCGAGTGGTATGCCCGCACGTATAGAGCGCTGAAAGAGAATGAGAGGGAGATAGTCAAGGCAATGGTGGCAAGCCCAGCGGATAGAGGGGTTGAAAGGAGTAGAGTGGGGTGGTAGTTGGCGGTTTATTGGGAGGTGTGAAAAAAAGGCGTGGTGGAAGGGTGCACGCCTGATGAAAACGTGGCGGGGTAAAGGTGGCAAGATTTCTGGAAGGTGTGAGTGGCGTGAGAAACAGAGTGGGTGGCGGGAGAAACGGTGTCGAAAGAAACAGCGTGAGTGGCGGGAAAAAGTGTATGGCTCTCCAGGGAAAACGTAGCAGGAAAAAGAGGTGTGCAGGAACGTGGGGAAAACATGTTCGGTGTGTGACCTTGCGGTCGTGAAGCCCCAATATCTTAATATCCTATTTATTCCTTATCTAATATCTCCCATACCTATTCCATTTATAATTACCTACACAACCAATCATTTCCTATTAGCTACAATAGATATCGTAATATCGCTGTTCTTAAACCAGAAAGCCCTGATATATAAAAGATTAGGATGAAAAGAAATTTAGCAAATGGCGAGTAATGATTGGCCTTGCACCTAGGCGTCCGACATAGAACGTTAAGGGTGTACTGGAATATGTCGGAACAACCCTTCAATGAAATGATTGTTCTGTGTAATACTCTACCCAGCCAGCTCGGAAAGTGCCCTCAACGGCAAAAAGGTCCCAAGCCAGAGTAGTGGGAAAAAGAGAAACATAAAGCTTTAGTTCATTCACCAACATAATTTAAATTGATAGCATAAATTAAGAAATGATTCCGGTTGGCAACAAACTGGACAACCTCTAGTATATATACATAATAAAAAAAAATAACCCGCTCGGCATCAATAATTTAGAAAACAAAACAAAAAAGAGAAAAAAAGTTCACAACACCGCCTAGGCCTCGATTGCTACGTCTTTTCAACGTCCGGAGTGGGGGTTGAATGCTCACAAGTTCGGGACAGAGTGTGAGCTCTATACCGCTGGGCTGCCTCCAACCCCATGTTCACCTTCATTCCTTTGCTGATTTTAGCCCCATGCGGGGCTGGTACCCTATAATATAAAAAATCGCAGTAAGCTTCTTAGTACGTAGTACTAAATGAATAGACTTGTGCCAAGACTCCTTAGTCAGCTGCCTGACGTTACCGCCTAGGAGAGCCTGCGATGACTAAGCGTGGTCACGTGAACGTAGGGTCGTCTAGGTAACGAGACTACTAAATGAACTCATTATACCCCCAATATACAACCTTCAACACACTTTCAACAGAAGAGGTCAGCTCTCAACAGTGGCGACCGCATGTAGATGGGACGAGCCTAAGTTTCTATCCATAAACCGGGAGTAATTTCCTCTCTAGACGCTATAGATATCAATGATATTGATACAAGAATACTAATCTAGGTCATCAATTACTCCCCATGTCCACGTGGTGGTAATATCTGCACTGTCCCCAGGCATTTAAAAGTGGAGAGAGGCGGCCAGAAGACATACTGCACTTGAACTAAATTGGAGAGAGTCTGACACCACTACCTCCAACTCCGAAACACAGGAACGCTTACAACCAAAACCACAGCGATTTCCAATCAACTCCCCCTCGCCTCCTCACGGACTTGAAAAACAAACCTCGAAGTCCACGACCCTCACAACCCTGAGAAGGTCATAAACAATGTCGAGCAGATTCGAACGAGGACTCTTCGCATACGCTTCAGTTTTGACCGCTCCCTCAGAAATGGTAGCTGGCTACACCCATCTCTTGAAGACGCATTTTCTCCAAGATCTACCTACACTTGAAGAGGAACTCGAGCGGATCAATATGGACATCAGCCCCATGGATGACCTTCGCCGCGGCTACTACAGACGCTTGGAGCACTACCGCTTTCTCTACACCGTTCAGCGGAACCGACTCATCCTAGATGGCATCAACCCGAACGCCCGTGCGGATCCCGAAATATACCCACAAATCCATGGAAGGCTCGCCCGTGTGAGGCGGATGAAGGCTACGATTGCGTTCGTAACTAAGGGCCAGGTGGATCTACATCACGGATGGTTGAGTGCGAATACGAGGAGGAATATCATTCTACAGAAAATGGCTCTTGAGGTTGGAGGTGATGGGACTGAGGAGTTGATTGAGTAGGTGGAACTGGAGGGGGCTGGGCTTACTGGAACTTAATAGGCTGGGGACCTAGTAGGTAGCAGGTTCACGAGCCCACGGATAACTACAGTAGAGATGGGGAGTGAGAAGAGTACGAAATAACATGTCCCTTTACGTTTATGTGCTCCATTGCGGTATTCTTTCTCAAATTGAATTTTAAACGCCATCTGTGGTCTAAGATCAAAGTGCTCAGAAATTAGGCACTCCTGTGAATATAAATCACAGTCCTGTGATTGCCCTCGTGTATTTAGTCCTGTGCGTTTACTCACTACTGCTTATAAGAGATATGAGGTTTTTATATCCTGATACTAATTTTTCCTAAATTTTTTATACAAGAATACCCGTTTACTTCTCAAAAACCATTTCTCCGATTTCACGGAAAAGGCCTAAAATGGCACAGTGTTCGGTATACGTGCTCTGAAATAACACATGATGCAAAAAGACACAGTTCGCTATCACTACAAGTAAAAAAAGAGAAGAAAAAAAGAACAAAGCGTTCTATAAAACTACAAAAGGTACAAAACTACAAAAGGTACTGCCCCGACTTATTAAGACATTTGCGAATGCTACCCCCACCCCTGGTTTGAACCCAGGACCTTATGTGTGTGTGGTTGTATCCTGGGTACGCTCGGTGTTGACGAGCAGTCTATTCACTAGACCACCCGCCTATAGTGGATGCTGTGCTGGAAGTGGTAATTGAGCTTGGCAGCGTGCCAAGATGCAGCAGAACCCTAACCCTTCTACCCTTCGGTATCATTGCTCTGTTTTTTTGTTTTTTTGTTTAACCCAGCTGTCATTGCTCAGCCATCCGTATATGTATGCATTTTCGATCATACAGAACTGTGTCATCTTGCATCATGTGTATTGTAGAGCACCGTTATGAATTGAACAGACAACACGGTCACAACCCATAAGTGTAGCTAGATTAAGAGACACCTTGCCCTAGGACCAGTTAATACAGTCTGGCCCTGGAGCCTTAGGTTCCGGGACACAGGTGTTCTTAAGAAATTTAAGAACAATATGTCCAAACCTCCCCTCTACCCCCCCCCCCCCCCCCGCGGGCCAACAACACAAACTAACCTCCCGACGGCTTGAAAGAAACAAACAGCACAAATCGTCTACCATAATGTCTGGAACTGCCGCTACACCAGCGCCTACCTCGACAGACCCACTCCAACAAAGGCTCGCCCAGATCGATGCAGACTTAGACGAGGCATACACTCGATGCCACGACAACTACAGGCGCATGGAAAGGTACCGACACAACTACAACGTTGAGCGGAACGGCATAATCCTTGGTGGCGGCGACCCGTTCAGGATCGTACCTGTATTTACGCCTGAATCCTTCAAAATGTGGTCTAGGGTATACCTACTGAAGAGGCTGAGGTCCAGGACTGCTGAACTGAAGAAGGAGCAGAGGAGTTTGCATGTGTGGTGCATTGAAGCGAAACAGGAGAGGGAGGACATTCTGAACGAGATTAAAAGGAGGACCGTCGATAATGGAATTTATGGCTATACTGATGGGGTGGGGCCGGAAGAGGCTGGGCCCGGTGGGGCTTAGAAAAGTGGGAATCAAGCTTCTAGGAAGTGAGAGCGTGAGAAAGTAGAGTGGGTCGGTGACGGTGACAGAGTATCTGGTTATTGAATTATGAGCCTTGCTTCCAGCCTCTGTTTGATAGATGGAATAGCTTTTTGTAAGATAGAATAGCACGAGTCTTCTGTATTCTAAGACAAGGAACATGGTTTGAGATTAATGAATCCTTGGCCACATAAGCCACACCCTGTACTTACATCCCTATCGTTTATCAACCATATTTTCCCTTGCTCGGAATAAGAATAAGTTATTCCACGTATTCACAGTGTCAATGACGATGTTACCCAACTGATATAAGCAAACCTCTTACCCTTTTGATAGATAAAAAGAGTTATTCTTAATATCAAACAGGCTACTGAAGCTAAGGAGCTGAGGTTATTGGTCTCGAAACTTTCATGTATGCTTAACGAATCATGACTACATAACATACCACATAACTCTTATAACATATATGAAGTACACCCCCCAGGGCATCCCAGGGCATCCCACTCATAACTCAGGGTGATCCTTCCCGGAGGAGTTTGGCGGGTGTCGCCGTCGCTCGGGTCCTGTAGTTGAGATACCCAAGCTTGGCGTATGTAGTAGCCCTTGGCATCCAATTCCTTGTCAAGCGCCTGAGTCATCACCACTAAACCACAGGATATCACTCGGAGTTCATCCCGTCGGAACGGAATTTACCGATTGATCGGCCACCCAAGAATTCGTTGAGTGGTGCTATGACGGGCTATCTGGTTGCGTCCTCGACCGCTTCATAAATACAGTACCAGAAAAGGGGGTGTAATCCGTGCCGCAGAAACAGAGTCCTGCGGCACCCTAAGTACTATGGTATTGAGAGAAATCCAATATTTACTACAACACTTGTAGGAATTGCTAGTAATGCTACTATATGCTATGCATTTCCGGGGTTTCCGGGCCTTTCCGGCCTGTACCTGCAACAAAAAGGTACATCTGTTATTTTGTTCATGATAATTATCAACACATCAGTTACATGTAATTCATCGATATCTCCGTCATTTTTGGTCACTCACCAAAGGGCTAAAGAGAGTTGGGGAATACTTTTAAAAAATTTTTGTCCATCCGATATTCACTACATGATGAAACAGTTATTCTACTATGTGCACAGGATGATGCTGATAATTCGAGTGGTTTGTGTTGATGCTCACGATGGGTTAGCCATGGTGTTGGCCGAACAATCTTATTCCCCTTGTCATCAAGAGTTACTGCCACACCTGGGTGTGACAGAGCCAGTCATGCCGTATTTCTACGTTACTCCTGACAATTATCGATTATCAAAAGTGCGGCTATAAGTCGGTATTTCTCAAAATGCGCATAGACCCAGCATTTCTGTAGCATTCCTACGGTAGGGATTACACCCCGTTTTTTGGTACTGTAATTATAATAACTAACAAGTGACCTGGCCAAGCAAAGACATTTCCAAGCTGGAAAGTAGTTTTGAAGCCTTGGTACAGGGCCACTACGAACACTACACCTCTGTGTTTGTGGTTAGGTATCTATCTCCTGGCGTAGAATTTTTGTCTTTTATATTAGCAAATCAAACTTTATAAGAAAGCCCAGCAGAAGACTAGATCTGAGGAGGGAATTCGTCTGTTGGGCGGTTGTAAAGCGTCATTCCCCCCCAGAGCAACATTCCCCCTTGAAACACCCTAGAAGAACCCTAACCCACCCACCACTTGGATAAATGGTATTACCAGTTTAACATGTTGCAAGAGGTGGTTAAATAGTTAGTACGGGTTTCAGGTACTGATGGTACAGTTAGTACAATACGGGGACGTTTTCATACTGGTTTGTATCATTGCAAACACTAGGTGGTGGCCGATAAGAAAAGAAAGTGGCCAGGGCACGTGTAAAGCACACTCTTGGCTCGTCCCCAGCCCCCCTTTCTACATCCCGTGGTGTGAACAGTTTTCTTCTAAGATGTGGGGGATGGGTGCGATGCTAAGCACATTTTGGCATTTTAAGCTCCCAGATTCTGTCCTTGGCTGGTCTGGCCAAAAGTAAGATACCCTGCCGGATAGTCAAAGACCTTCCTTCCCAAAAAAATCCTTCACCACACTTTTCCGCACACACCCAACCCTGACCGCGCTCCATCAACCCCCACCCCACCACCCCACCACCCCACAACGAACACTCCACACTGCAGCTATTCCCCCGCTGTTCCTCATACCCACACCACCTCACTACCCCGTCAAAATGGACGACCCAACCACTCTTCCCGAGCTCATCTCCACCTTCACCTACTGGATCACCCACACAACCCAAAAGATCCACCTCGCCTCCCACCGCGCGCAGAAGCTCTTCGAGGACACCAACAAGATGCGCTACGACTACACCGTGGGCCGCCGCGCCCTCATCCGCAGCGGCTTCGATGTCTCAAGTACCCCGCTAGATGCCAGCATGATTCTCAATGAAGACCTAAGGCCAGAGCAGATCGTGATGCTACAGGCCTTGCTCAACCTGAGAGGTTTGGTCGAGCGCCGCGAGGTCATTAGGAGCCAGGTGGAAAACCAGATTAACGATCTTGGCGTGATCAGGGGGCGGTTGATCATGATGTTGGAGGAGTTGAGGGAGATGGAGGCGAGGATTGGTGGGGATGAGGTTGATGAGGGTCGGCTTGCTCATGCGGCTGGCGTCATCGATGCGGTTGAGATCATTGATGCCATGCAGAACGAGGCTGCGACGGAGATTGAGACAGGTGTTCAACAGAATTAATGAATTTGGTCGAAGGATTTCGGAGGTGTCTGTGAGGAACATAGTTGAAGGAAATACTCTATGTTCATGACCGAGAAAATAAAACTGCTTTTAAATTTCGTCCATCGTTCCAGTGATTAGGCGGTTCCTTTTATGAATAAATGCCTATCCCTTGAGCGAACGAAACTCTCAAGCCCGTAACCCTTGACTGTACACCTATTTACAGTGGAGTCTCGATAATAGCATATGATCGGGAACGGATTTTCGTGTGCTACTATCGGGGATATGCCTATATCGGGAACAGCTTTGCCCGTACCGACCCGTTTGGGATTGCCCAACTATATGCTACTATTGGGGATATGCTATTATCGAGGTTGCTACTATCGGGACTCCACTGTAATTAGGTAGCTTGATAGCCCTTTGTGTGTGGTAATAGTGACACGGCCAGCCAAAGACCAGAGCGAATTACCAAAACAGAGGTGAATTAGCCGCAAGAGGGAGGCTGAAATCTCGAGAGTTCCATTCGTCCAACGGATAGCCACTTTTTCCAGATCCTGGGTGAGCTGTTCCTCCTCTGGCCACATAAACGACTAGCCACAAGGCTATCATTGGTATGAATTCATCCTGCCTCCGCGCTGCTTCCGCAGGGGACTCAATTCCCACCCCTCGAACTCTACCCTGTTCTTTGGCCCCCCCATTCTGGAATAGTGGATAATGCTCCTCCCCATCCCTGATATAGGAGAATCAGTTTAGGATCGCCTCATCCTACACCAGGTACAACGCCACCCACGGAAGATATCACAGATCATAAGTGATACTAGAGTTCTCAATTCAACGTTTTTTTGCGGCATAAATGTGGCTTCTCGTAGGAGGCGAGTTAGTTCGCACCATCTGATATTAGTAGCTCCACTCAGTACCGCGCAGTGGTCATGACCGCCCCTCAGTCGCCTTTCCCCTAGCAATCAAGAAACAAGGCTATTTTTCAAAACTAGGAGGCATTCGCCTGACTAGTTCATGCTCTCTTGGTATTGAACAGTACCAAGGGAAACGACGACTGAGTCTTCACGGCCACTGACCCTCTCGTGCGGAAGGTGTTTTTGGCAAGTGATTTCTATGCCTAGGATAATATCTGTATGATTATTGGTTGATAGAATTAGGAGCATTACAATTTATGATATCAATCAGTGATGTAGAGATATGTCCCTGCTTTCCTCTCCTATAGATACCTTGCAAGGCATCAGCCACCTTTAGGTTCTATTATAAAGTAGGTGATGAGGTCAGTTTTTGAACATATATAGAGTGATCCTAGAGAATGATTTGGCTTCCTTAGGGGGTTTAGCATATAAAGCCATGGATTTCTAAATCGTTACCAGAATGTGCTAAGTAAGATTCACAGTAAATAGATAACTCTATCTTTATGTATTAAACAATGAAACTTTTGAGTGGGGAGTACATAGATACATACATGTAGTTCTCGAGATATCGGAATCCCCTGTTGCGTTTCGCCGATATCAAATTCGTACCTGCATGTAGTTCGGCTAAAAAATTAAAAAGAGAAAAGAAAAAATAAAGAAAAGAAGAACCGAGAGAGAGAATCCGTAAGCCTTACACTTCACTGATTATAAAGTCGAATAGCCGTCATTCGCCACTGTGACAGATCTCTGATTGTCCCGGGGTCGACGTTATTTCTTATCGATAGCTGTATGCAGTTAGCGGGGAGGACTTGTCAAAACGACGGCCGAATTACATGTGCTTAACCTAAGGCAACACTTACCACTAAAAAAACACTTCCACCACCATTGTCATCAAACCGCTCATCCACGGAGCTTTTCCTCCTACTCGATCATCTTTGATCGGTCATCAGTCACTCCGACCGTGCCCCATTGTCTACTGTCTCCGGCCTCGGATCCCGCTCTTAATCAGCCCTACACGGACCCTACCGGCTAAGCAATTCTGGTTTCCTCTGAGTCCGAATCGGTAAGAAACCCCCCTCCCCCCATTCACCTCAGGTCCCCAGGAGTAGATATTAACCGTTTCCCGTCCAGTACTGCCATGTCTTCACTCCCGCTAAACACTAATGCGGCGATCTCCGGCATCTTGACCAGTGCTGCCAATGTTGCCACTTCCAGCAACGGCCCTCCTCCCGCAAATCCTTTTACTCGCCGCCGTGGCAGCGCCCCTCCCACCATCGTTGCCGGCGGTCCCCCCAATAGTTCCATACTCCCTCGCAACACCTCTCGCGCTAAGGCCGCGGACACTGCGAAGCGTCGTATTCGATGGTTGGGATCACGAATGATTCAACTCGAGCGGCGTCAACGCATCCGGGAGGCGTATGGAGACTCCTTGATGCGTCAGATCTCCAATGAGCAGAGGAACACCTTGGGTAATCAGCTTCCCACGGAGTTTGACAAGAAGTACATTGTGGCCCTCGATACTTTCGGGCACGAAAATGAACAGCAAATTCGAGTTGACGCTGAGATCTTAGAGAACCTCGATACCGAGCTCTCAGAGGAGATGGACCGGGCTGCAGAGCTTGAGCACGACAAGGAAATGGAGGACCATTTCGCCAAGATAAAGAGGATGATTGGAGATGACGGAGAGGGTATCGGAAAGAAGCAGAGTCGTATCGTTTTTAAGCGCTCGTAAACTTCTTTGTACAAGTCGTCATTAAGTGACACTGAGCAGAGCTATTGGCTTACAATAAAATCTTTCTTTGGAATACCCCTGTACGACTCTGTTCTTCTCCTCTATCCATATCAAGGTGATCCCCAGGAGACTAGCACCTGGCACGTGCCATTCCTGACATAACATATTCAAGAAGCTGGTGGGCAGATACGCCATCTCATTAGAGAATTTCTTCCGAGAATATCAGGTTGTCCTAAACCGTGGCAAACTAAGCGTTGGATGTTTAATCCTGTACGGTATCTCCTTAAAGCATCTGGATCGTACCATAATCCGAGTTCGTGTCCCTAGATTATAAGAGTTTGTCGCGGAGGTGTCGGACATGAGCGACAGTAGATAAATGCATATCTGTACTCAAGAGAACGAGGTGTCCCTTTTACGATTCCCTTGACCCGCAGACCTCGTTCAGCTCCCGGAGTAAATGAAAATCGAAAATATCCTATTCCGGTCCTATTTTCCTTTGAAGCTTTGAAGCACAAATAGGCTATTAAGGGAAATCAGGAAGTCGCTATCAGTCCCGAAGCGTGTACTCAGCCACGAAATAAAAATCGTTTCGTTGGGTGAAGATATCCAAGATAAGGTTTGAGTACCTTCGACCCACCGATGCGAAGAAAAGCCAAACGTTCTGCAGTCAATCTTGTTAGCGAGGTGACATTGGTGCTGAAATTACCAAGTATACTCCACTTCTCTCACATTGACTTTCGAGATTCTTCAATCCATCCATTATTATCGCTCTTTCCCGTTAATTAGAATTCAGCCAGTTCTCATTACACTCGCTTGATTTTGTTGTCGCGGTTTGTGAGGCAGAGTCGAGGAAAAGTTCCAGAGGTCGGAGGCGAGATCGCTTGATACATCGCATTCCCGATGACGTAACTTTCATGTGGCCGCTAGTACTATATCAGCTGTTCGGTGAGGACGGGCATCCCTGTCAGTGGCGGTGCTAGCGAACTACATCAAGCCCAACTCTCAAAGCATCATGATCGTGAGAATTCGGAGTATTCTATATCTTTCTGGCGATAGATATCACCGATTAATTGAGTAACAGACCGATGAGTTATCTCCACTATAACAAGCTACTGCTGGGTTGATCCCAACTTCATAAACCATCACTCGGAATTCCACTGACGCAAAAGACACAAGTCCCCGCTCTTTTCTTGCCCTAATTAATCGCCGAGACACACTGACTGGGTTTATTCATCTACGGAATGTACTCATCATTCCAAGGCGGCCTTTTACTCTCGCGAAATCAAGGCAGCTACAGTCTCGATCAGTCAGAACCTGCAGTTCGTGGGCCAGAACCATGATCAACAGGGTACCAATAGAAACTGTAAGTTTATGAATAAACCTCTTAGGCTTTATATTCTAACTGACTAAATACTCCAAATAGCGGAATAGAAACTCGGCTCAATCGGTGGGATTGTGACGTTGCTCGTGGCGTTGAATACCATTGATCGATACAACGACTGTACTCCGTTCTTGACAGAGATTAGCGATTAACTACAACATTATCGAGGAGAGGAAGCAGCTTCCTATCCATTTTTCTATCGATACTCCAGCAGGAGGAATATATAGCAAGTATATGAGCACCTTAATCCTTCCCGGTAATAGGACTGACAAAGTTAGGACCGATACCGGAAAAGAATAACCTCATTTATCGTTTAAAAGAGTTCCTACAAACCTGGAATAAGGAGTGGTTGTGTCTACTAAACAATAGAGACAAATTTCGACACATGTCCGGACCCCCGTCTCATTTCTAATATGTAGGGAGCTATTCTCCACATACTCTATACCTTCTTTAAGCCAATCTATCATTCCACACGAGCTCAACGGTTATCCTATCTATACATGTCCGAACGATACAGACGATTGATCGATGAATATCTCGTTTACTAAGGGGTTCCTAACTCGGGAATAGCTAACACACGGGATGTCCGGTGTCATATAACATATCCAGATACTCGGAAGGTCATCCGCATGCCGTAATCCTGCCATAGAAGCTCCCGGGATAGCAGCATATAGGGGATTAAACTATAAACGCATCCCCCTGGATAGCTTATATAAATAACGCGACATGGACGGGGCGCAGACACATGAAAACGACCGATTGATGCCTTATGTGAGGTCTACTACGCCGTCTTTTCTCTCCGGCAAGAATATCACAAAAAAGGCCTTTCCTACCACGAAAGTAAAACGCCTTTCACCCGTTCCCGTCTATCTCAAAGAATCTGAAACTACTATACTCGGCCCGGGGGGTGACAGAAGAAGATGTAACACACATCCACCCCGAATGAACATGAACTACCTAGAACCCCCTCCGACCAGAGTCAAACTGGTGACCAACCGGTAAGCAAGCTATTGCGGCCGGGTGTGATACGAACTACTAACACCACAAAGGGATGATATATTGTCACTAGGTGGGTTGAACTTTGTCATAAACCAGAAAAGCCGCGGGAGCAGACGTAAATATGATTGCTCTCCGCAGGAAACACGCTTGCTCCTCCTAGGATATATGGCTTTGTAACCCCTCTGCGTCCATCTCCGATGTACCTTCCACAAGTTGTCGGCGACGATTGGTCTTGATCAACCTTATTCGAATCCTGTGGTCTAGTAACATCATACCATGTATCCCTGTCAAATTAGCCCACAACGCCGCCCGTCACAATCCGTTGTGGTGTAATGGTTAGAATCAGTCGCTCTCACCGACTAGATCGGGGTTCAACGGAACTTTTGTTGCTTCTTGTAACGCTTCTACTGATTTATTTTATCGGCATGGCTCTTATTATTTAGGGCCGTTTGGTTGTTTGGGCGTTTCAAATTCCAGTGCCGGGCAACAGCGCCGTTAAGCGAGCTTGGCGAGAAACAAGGTCTGCGTTATCGGTATTCGGCTCGGCGCGGCGCATAGACCATGACCCTTTAATGTATTCTAGTGCATCGTCACCCACTAAACAATAAGACCGCAGGACGCCATATCATAGCTGCGAGGACCTCTTTTGATACAAATAAATCCGGACCAGCCGAGACGCAGATACCTTCACCGGATTTCTCCTTCCCTTCCCTTTTTTTTGTTTAATTCATTACCTTCACTGGATGACTGTTGGTGAATATTATCCCTAACAGGATTGGCCAATTCGAATTTCAACGCCTGTCCGGCGGTTTCCGCTATGATGCGCTTCCGATCATTGACACCTATCTACGGCAGCCTCCTTAGCCAATAGATTAGAGAGTGTGCGGGAACAGCTATGCGAAACCTGGTCTTTGATTCCGAATCAGGCATATGCTTTAAAAGCATATTACCAAAGGAAGAAACTAATAACATACGTCAGGCGAGGCGGGAATTTGAGGTTTTAATGTTTCAATATACTGATTATTTTACCTGTGTAACAGGACTGAAATATAACAAAACTGTAAGTAAAGTAAGCAATATGTGCCTAAATATCGGAGAAAGGGTAATAAACATCTCGGAGGCTTACATCCGGGCTATTCTAACTTTAGAAAGCTACAAGTCATAGAAGCGCATGGGACAGGCGCGGGCGGCAAGGGGCAAATCACGAAACACTTCCGAGCAAAATCTTTTCTAGACTCATAACACTATCTCAAAGCTTGGTCTCAATTCAAGAAATGTAATGGTAATTGATAATTTATTTGAACTGCAACGAGAAAGAGCGTTGTCGTGCTATAATAGACCAGCTCTTATATCCTTTATTCCACCTCCGAAGCACACCTTACTTCTTTGCCGTTCCGCTAGACCCGCTGGACCTGCTGGACCCAGAGCTTGGGGTAGAATAAGTAGCATTCCCCTTCCCATCATTATAATAGGAGGAGCCCTAAAGTAAGGTATGTAAGCTGAAGCCGAAAGGGCTATATAAATAGTATAGACACCTACATTTGAATTGCTATAATAATAAGAACCGTCCTCTATACAAAACGAGAACAGTCAGTACGCAACAACCAAGATCAGCGATAAATACATGTAGAAAGGAACTTACTGTTGCTATAGTGATACGAGTTTTGGTTAGGAGCACTACTGCCATAGTCACGGCTGTCGTAACGATTGCCCTGCATGTGATGTTAGTATTATCTGACTTAGGTATATACAAAGAGCACTGGGATGGCGTTCTTGACTGTTTGTTCCCGATGAGGTGACATCGTACTGCTTTCCGAAGTTATCCTTAGGCATCTTGATGTAAATGAGGCGAAAAAGTTGTTGAGTAGACGGATGTAGATTTATCGATAGGTTGATGGACTGAATGACGGAGGGAAAGAGTGCGGGGCAAGGCCTCAATTTATAGGTCTGCCTCGGTTATAAGCTTATCTGTTATTGACGTCTATCTGAGTTACGTAGCTATTGAACACGTTCCTCACCTATCAATACACCCTCTTCAGAGGCTCTTTACTATTATTACATAATCAGCCTTCCCCACAAACTCAAGTTTGGATGCCTGAACACACCCTGGTGCCTAGCTGATAATCACATGTATCGCTGAGGTCACGAAACATGCAGCAAATTAGCCTGAACAGAATTTCTAAATGCTATCGGTGTTCCATTGGAGTTTCTTGTCCGTTGTTATCCTCATATTACTTTGCGCCTGGCACACTCGGATGGTCCGCCTTATCCTATCAATGATTTTTGTTCTCGTGATTACCAATAAAACTAATACCGGCCCTCGGGAATCACGCCCCAATTCTATAGCCGGTCGTAGAGATATCTTTTTTTGATTGATAGAAAGATTTATCATTGGACTCTTTCTGCTATGGTGCCGGCCTAGATGGGCTAGAGAGATCAGGAGTTTGTGGGAACACAACCCTTATGTTTCATAAGCCGGAGGTGCTGCAGCCCAGAACCGATATATTAACTCTGGCTGAAAATACCCCTCAATCACGCAAAAGAACTCTGGAAATGGCGCTACCCAAGAGAAAGATGACTCGTATAAGTAAAGTAAATCTCAGAATAGAAGTAATCCCTCCCATAAAAATAATCATTCCGTTTTGCGCCCTCGTACTCCTTTATTCCTTTTGCTGGTGGGGGGCATTTGACGATGATTCTAGACGACTTGTCAGTCTTTATGTGTTTCAACCACGGTGACGGTATTCATTCAATAGTCTCCAATGCCCCATGACCCATTTGCATCCTCATTGTTGGCTTCCATATTCGAAGGAGCCATACCATCGCCATCATTAAATACTCCCGCTCCTCCAAGTCAAACTTCAGACCTTCCCAAACACCCCTTTTGAGCAATTTCTTTACCTTACGATTTATTCGTCGAACACTACACATACAGAACTAAGTACGATCCATGATGGCACTCCCAATTCGCTCTACAGTAAGAGTAACGCTCCCTTTTGCATATCTCTTTTCTAGGATGAAGATGCATTTATTTGAGAATTCCGACAAGAATCTTCCTCCCGTTCTTTAGTCTGTGAAAAGGTTAGAGATCTCATTGCAGATTCGTGCTCGATCATTAATTACCTTCTGTTCCTGCAGCCTGCATTTATATACCTCCTCAGTCTTATATTTCCTCCACCTTCTATATGCGCCCTGAACCTTCTGTTCATCTACCGATTGGCACCTCCGAACCATTCTAAAACTTCTGCATTCCCACGAGAGAGATGCCTGCAATCTTCAAGTCCCAGGACTATCGAACGCGCCGTTCATGTCTCCTACTCCATCTCGTCCCCCCGTTTTTCACAGAAGCCCATTCTGCCCACTTCGCGTATTGGGGGGGGGGGGTGAGTCTTCCATCTCATTGGTCGTGGAAAACAAAGCAGCCGCTTATCACTGGTCTATAGATCGACAGCCAGTCAGAAACGATCCCCATAGTCTCCCAATTCGCACGCCTCCTTCTCCACCCCCATCATTATTTTGCCCTGTCTGAGCTTTCCCGGCGGTAGACCACGCTTGTGCGTAGAAATGGTATAAACGCCGCTGATGAAGCAGCGGGGAACTGTCTTCATTTACTGTACGGCCGGTGGCTGGTACCTTTTTTCAGCCAATGAGCGTCCTGCATATCTAACCCCCCCACCAGCTTCTACTTATCAACTTCACGACCTGTGTGTCCTCCGCCTAATTTTGCCATCCCGTTTACCCCTTGCCTCCCGGCCTATCCTTTATCTTCCCGGTTAAGTCGGAAGTATTCCTACCCCATCCATGGTAGGCCAGACGAGCAGTAAACTGACTACAACACGTTCGCTAGCACTGTTGGAGCCATACTCTCATCTTCGCCCACCCCGATTTTCCTGGAAACCGGTGGAGCGTTTTTTAGATCTGTTCGTCACCCTATTAGTTACGCCTCGCATGCCACGACGAGATTCTTGCCTACTCACCATCGCTTGCGACTTCAATGCCACTCCTCCCCCCCCCCCCCCCCAAATTCTACATTGGATACCCGATGCCCCGTAGCTACCTCCCCCCCCCCCCGGGGCCCTTCTTCCCACAACTACACACCAAGTAGGTGCTGCATCGAATGTATTCCGACAGAAAGCGGTCGGCGGTTTGTGTTGATGATGACACCGCTCGTTCTCCGCCCGCTTAGGGACGACCAGTCTGCCGACTTTACCACTAACCGCTAGACCTAACCACGACGTTAGCTCTAGTCCTCCATCCTCCGGTGGTGTTTCCGTTTCTCTTATCTTTCGGTGCGCCGTGCATACCGGTTTTCCACCTTGCGCTCTGATTCTCTCTCCTGTGCTTCTGGCGGCTTGTTTGGCTGTGTGACATTGCGACCTTCCGGTGTGCGGTGTGCGTCAAGATGGAGCGACAGTGATGCGCGCATTTGGCAGAGGGTTTAGGCGCGCGCTGATGCTGGCGATGAGGGGGACGGGGTGTAGACGGCGGGGGGGGCGCGGTCGTTGTTTGTGTTGGTGATTGGTTGGTGGTTTGTTGGTTGCGAGGTTTGTGGGGTGAGGTTAAGGTGGGGCATCCGTGTCGCTTAACGTCATAGAATCTCACTCGGCGAGTGAGTGTTTGTTTGGCCGGACGTTTTTTTTTTTGGCCTAATTCATGTGTTTGGCCGGACAACTATGAGGCCATAATTCAACATCCTCCATCATAAGAGAACACATAATTTCCTCTTATCTCGCTTTGAGAACAGTATAACATGAGAACTTCGATCGCCGCTATTGCGCTCTGTTTTGGGGTCCCAGCTCAGTATGCTCCCACCCCCAAATCCTGGGGGTCGGCTTTCTACTAGTCCCAAATCTAAGTTGTGTATACCCATTTGGTCTTTAATTCTACTTGATTGGTCTCTCTTCCGGCGATGTTGAACAAGGCGATTGAACTATTGCTCAGTTTTATGTCCTGCGAGAAAGCCAGGGTTAGGGTTGGGCCAAGTTCCGAATCTTTTTATTTTCATCTTCTTTTACTCCCTGGATCCCCCAGGTACGTTCTCCTTTTGTCACCCGCTTGCTTCATCAAGCAGATTTGTGTTTTTCTCCTCGTTCACCCTTTTCCAATTTCAGTCAACGCAACCACCAACTCCACAGATCACCCCACCACCAGACAGACCGCTAACCAGAACAACCTCCCCTACCCCCAGTTTCGACCCTTTCGAACATCGCGGTCTTATTACCCTCAGATTTAAGTTACAACTCCTTCGCTCTCCATCAGCTTTGTACCTCTCCCTACCGACACCCTCCCCCCCCCCCCCCCAAACCAAGCTACCCTCCCTACGCAGTCGGTCGTCCGTAATACACCGAAATCCGCTCCATATCCCCTCCTCCTCCCCACCCACCCGGGGAGGCCACACCCCCCCCCCCCCCCCTCCTGCACCCCTCTCCGCAGCTTCTATACCATACCGGGGCCTTCCCCATCCCCCGGTCCGGCGCATATCAAAGCTCCGCCCTATTTTACAGCATTCCAATTATCAGCTCCAAGCCCATCGGGCAACTGTGTACTATGAATTGTCACCTAATCAGGCTGTCCACTCTCGGATGAGCCCTCCCCCACGGGGTGAATCCCGAAAACTCCACCTCCATCCATTATGGTGATATGAAGGGATTCTACTCATCGTCTTATGGACCAATCTGGGGAACTGGAGTTTAGAGAAAGCGATATGGCGGGATATATACTCGTATGACATAGTATACCAGTCTCATTTGGAGACATTGGGATATGCCCCAGCAGCCCCCATACATACTCGGTGATGAAACGAAACTGATCCAGTAGCAGCTTCGCAGCGGAAATTTAAAGAGATCCGATCACCCGATATCTGCCCGACGTTCCGGAGCTACACAAGCGGAAGTTTTTTTGACTGGCATCCGCGATATTTCTGGACAATTCACTCCCGCGTCAGAATTGAGGAGGACGATGTTATTCTCCAAGCTGGGAATAAACATTCCCGCGCCTAGTAGGGAGGGATATATCGATAAATAGAATTAATGGCCGCATTCCGCCCATAAGCATCCTCAATCAAAGGGCCTAGCAGGTTTTATGCTAAAGGTCCGAATCCCTCTAGGGCGCACCGTCAAATGGCAGGGTCTGGCAAAAAGCAGTCCGGTCGAGATAAAACGGACTACAGTGAACTCTGGGTGTTCCTATCACCTTTTGTGGTCAGAACGACATCGCAGCTACGGACTATGCCTGGCGTTGCGTCTGACCCCGGAAAGGACAAGCTACAACGCGAACCCCCCAAGGCTATCTCTGTTCAGCATTCAACCGGTCGATTCTACCCATTCCCACAGCCCGGCGACGAACAACTTGCTCGTCTCCGGCGTCGCGTCTTTTTCTCGGTTTCGGTCCTGCTCATCGGTGTAGAGTGGAGAGAAACCTGATATCAGGTTGACGCTATCATTATCCCCCGGCTTGCCTGGCGGTATGTTGAGGTGATACGTAGAACAGGACACACGCCAGGATAGCGGCTCTTTGAAGTCTCCGTTTTCCTTTCGGTTCTTATGGATGATGTCTATGTCTCCATTTCTTCGAAGGACTAAAATATACGACCAAAGACATACCGCCCCCCCCCCCCCCCCGCGAACCAACCCGGGCAGACCTGCAATACGGAACAAGAGGATGAAGTTGAGGGCTTTGAGGGACTAATACGACACACCTCATCCTCCTCCTCCGTCTTACTTGGATTTATTATGGGTTCGCATATCAATGCCGTACACCGACACCACCGGAAAAGGTTCGTTCCGCCGGGGAAGAAGAGGTTTAACTCAAGTTTCTCGTGAGGCTAGATGACTACGTGCTAGCTGAATGAGGTGGGCACATGTATATATTATAACGGTGGCCAGAATACTTTACCAACTTACAATGCCAGTGAAATTACTAGTAGATATATTCTACTACTACAAGCATGTTTCCGGTGGTTGTCCTTCACATGGCCACCGCCTTCCTCCCCCTCCCCCTCTATCGGTATCCAAACGTTATCAATACCAACCTACCCACTTGCAATCCCTAGTAACCACCCGAAATATAGTGATACCTCCCCCACAATTCTCGAGATGTCATCCCCCCAAACTGATAGCAGGCCCATCAGCTCATAACCGCCTTGTACCCTCTTCGAGGAAAACCTCGATTCATTGGGTTAGGTTTCTTTCAATCGCAATTTCAATTTCTTACTACCATGTACATAACTGGATTCAAAGTTTCATGCTCGTTCGTGTGGTAATAATGATTGGCTTCTCCGGACTCCCTACTAACTCGCTAATGATTAGTTTACCGATATTTCGATTTTTCGGAATAGCAGTCTCAAATTCAAATTTGTTACCTGCAGTAATCATAATCCGCACCAATAGACGCAGTATTTCTACTTCTCCCCATTCTTATTTTCGACAGCGGTGGTTACAGGGTGGTTTCTTGGGGATATATATCATTACCACACACCGTCGGAAGACATCCCGCAGTCAAAGTCCAAATTCCAAGGGCCAGACCAAATACAAACACGGAGCAAAAATACAAAAAAAAGACAATCTGCGTTAAATATCATCAGCCAAAGTTTGAGTAGAGGCCGGCAACGACAGCGAGACGAAGTCATTCCGTTGCGGGGAGTTGAATTTGATCTAGTCCGGGAGAGGGATGGATGCTAACCACCACAACGGATTGGGTGGATAACCTTCTTACACAATTTAATCCTGGTAATGTATCTATCTCTCGACGAAGTCGCAGCGACTTGCATCTTCTGACCGTCAACCTTCAAACCAGAATCAGACCCAGTAGCAGATTTTGTTATCGAATCAAATCCAAGGATTCTACTGGGCTAAACTTGTAAGAAGTACTTGTATCCCAAAACCGATACGCATTCGGTGATGTTGTTAAAAGAAGAAGAAGAAGAAGAAGAAAATGACTTTCGCTGGACTTACATGCCGCGACGGGATGTTTCAAGGACATTACCGCTCTTCAAACCCTTATGAAGCGTGCTCTGTCTTTAAAAAAAAAAGCTTATAAAAGTTCAATCCGCGGGAAAGGCGCCGCTTAAGGTTCTTTATCATCTTTGTGCGAGATTCCTTAAGTCTCTCCAAAACCTCCAGTCTGGGGCTGTAAATTTGTTAAACATGATATGTATGAGCCTGATCAAGAGGCTTTCCGGAACCAGAAAGCCAACCCTTCGTAAAATTCGAATTTGGCGAACAGGGAGCTTATCACAAAATCAAATCCTGGGCAAGTAAACAGCGGCCCTAGCAGTCAGAACTATCACTCAGAAACAAAAAGCTTTCACCCCACATCAATCGTGATTTCTCACAGCCGATAGGTGGGTTATGGGCAACTCTCTGGCGGGGAATTGAACCCCGGTCACTCGCGGTTTGTCAATGACAAGCGAGTATACTAGCCACTATACTACCAAAGACTGATATAGAAGTTTCATAGGTACTTTATCAGCCTTTCTGTACATCACAAGACTTCTGCCTTCTTTAATTGATTTACAAGTCGCACGCGGACTATCAGAAGAACTCATTCTGACAGAATGAAAGCCTTCAAATTTTCTCTTCAGGATGTCGATACCCGAGTCAGCATTTTCTGTTCGGAGTGGGTGGTGGGAGATTTGCGTGGCAACCAAACATAGAATATCACTCGGTTTAAGCCTCAAGTACACCCGTCTCATAAACGACAAACGAGTAGAACGTAGATATTCTTACGAGCGGTGGTGAGGCTTGTTAGATGACTAGAGGGCGAACTTCTCAGAGGTGATCCTTATAACACCGAGGAATAATAGCGGCAGTTCGCAAGAGAAGGGTTTGGATACAATAGTTAGGCAAGATCCAGCGCGTTTAGTACTTCTTTACTTCTTTATTTAAGAAGATGATGTAGTAACTTATCACAACAACCGCAGCCAATCTCCTCAAGTGCCCTAGACTTTCAACGACCAGATCAACTTAAACGACTCGAGTGAATGCCAATTCGGAGGTTATCGGCGCAAAACCAAATGGCGTTGGCAATCCGAACGCTACTAACTTCATGAACAACCGTCCAGACTGCGGGATGTGAACGGCAACCCACGTGAGTTTCAGCACACTTTCATTTAAACCCGTTAATTATTTGCATTCACCTAGCGAAATACCAATGTCCTCAAAATTCAATATCGCTGAATACTTGACCAGAAGCTTATGCGCATCTCCACACTATTTCGGGCCGAGCGGGGGACCGTCGAAGCGAACATCCATCGGCCCGGCTCTCAACAACCAAACTTCACAAAACCCCGCTCACCACACACCAGACCCACACGAGACACCTAAAACTGTTTGCGCCGCCCCACATCTCACCCACTGCTAAATGTCCATAAGCCCCTCCGACAACAACTGATCACAAGCCCTGATGGTCTAGTGGTATGATTCCTGCTTTGGGTTCTCTTGAATGCAGGAGGTCTCCGGTTCAATCCCGGATTAGGGCCTTGTTCTTTTTTCTCTTTTGCTCTTTCTTTTGTGAACATACATTTGTGCGGGTGGTTGTCAATGCTGTGACTCTTTTTAGTAGCGGCTCGGGGGTTGCCGTCGCTAAGATCCTCGCCACGCGAGAAGTGGGGTGAGACATGCAGGGGCCTATTGAGCTATTATCGATAAGGAATAGGCGGGTACAAGCTGTTTCTCCTAACTCGCAGGAGATCCTATTTTTTTCCTGCTGCAGAATCGATTTGGCGGTATGACTCAACCACAACAAAAAACAAAAGTATCAACAACCAGCACCGACCTACCTTGACAAAAAGAGATGCATCTGAAAAATGATAAGAAGAAACGACATCGGCAGGATTTGAACCTACGCTCGCGAACGAAACAGATTTCTAATCTGTCGCCTTAACCACTCGGCCACGATGTCTTGGTACAAGGATGGCATTGGCCATTTAAAAGCGTCAGGGTAGATGTTGCTGGGATCAAGGAGTCGGAGGAGATGGTGGTGTCCGGGATTTTGGCGGTTGTGGGATGGCGCGGTGGAGCGCGGGAGTGGAGAGATGGAGTCGAGCGCGGTAAGGGAGTGGAGTATAGCACTTGAGCAGTGTCGCATGGAGGACTTTGTGGGCTATATATTGGCCGGGGTTTTTCTGGGTTTTCCGAGGCAAAGACGGCAGAGTAAAGAGAGCGCCGTATCGATATCGTTGAAATACTAATGCGCCCGGAAGTATTCGAGCGATATGCATCGGAATATGAAGAGACAGAGGAAGGCCGGATGAACCAATCTTGGATGCTCATTAAATCGATCATTGACAAGAAATTTACCAAGCCGGAAGATCCGGATCTAAAATCCCTAAACTTTTGGCTGCGCAAGTCGCGCATTTCGTAGGAAGCCTTGGACTGATTAGCTGCATCAGCTAGACGTCTTGTCGGTGAGCGTTTGCGTGTTCAATCTTCCGCCGGCTGGAACCTGTTTTGCGCGTGTGTCTTAGGTCGCTACCGCTCGCAGGAGGACAGAAGCGCGTCCGCTGAAGAATAATGGTGGCGCCTTAATTGCAGCAGCACAGGGGTTCGCGGAGCGACGTTGCCCGAGTGTGGTATACGTGGTGACGGTGGCGTTTATTAATGTCGCTGGTGTCGGGGAAGAGCCCATGTAGAGAAGTAGCTCACAGGAAGTGCATTTTTCTGACTCGTTATTGGTAATCATACTTTCCTTGTGGGCAGGTTTTTCATTTCGAACTCTTGATACCCCCCTCGCTCAGACTCTCGCGGGTGCGGTGGGAGGAGGTCGATATCAAGATTCTCCCCCGCTTGTCGGCGTTACCCCCTCTCAAAGCGACTGCCTATCTGGACGTCCTGCATCCCCTCTAAGGGGGCCCGTGCTGCTCTACTTTCGTGACGTTTGTAAAAGGAACCGCTATTGCATACCATACTAAATTGTGGACTTGGCGCGTATTTGTATGGTATGCAATAGTGGTTCCTTTTACCAACGTCACGAAAATACGAGTAGTGGGAACCAGACATCCCTGAGGTGGGTCCGGCTGCGGAGGGAGTGAGGCAAGGGATTTGGCTGGGGTGGTGGTATCTGTCTCAAGCTGTCCTCGGGCGGACATACTTTAGCCCCCATCCCCGCAATATGCCTCTCTCTCCTTTTACCATCACATCGATTTTCTGCACCACCACCACCTTGAACACCAATCGACAAAGAACGCCCGCAATGACCGACAGGAAGCCCACCGCCGGTGCAGAGATTGAAGTTGATAATGTACGTCTTCCTGCCTCCTTTCTGTCCGGAGTGCGGTTGGATTGGTTATTTTCAGGAATGATTTCCTATCGAAACGTTTCTGGTCTCACAAACCCAATGCTACTGAGGATATCCTGTGGGGCTTTCCTCACCCCTTGGACTCGGTTAACACATGGTTTGCAGAATTACCAACGTCCTGACTACTCCGCGACTGACACCGAAGACACCGCTTCGTACGCCTTACCCCAAAACAGATAACCAATCCCTTGATCCAGATTTGCTAACCCCCCGCCGCATAGACAATACTCCACCGCATCCCTCACTTCATCTGTCTACGCCTATCGCTACGAGAACGGCCGCCGCTACCATGCCTTCCGCGATGGTGTCTACAACCTGCCCAACGACGAGACGGAGCAAGACCGCCTCGACATCTACCACCACATCATATGCATGTTCCACGCTAGGCACAACAAGTCCACAGACTCGAATCTACTGCTCTTCTGCCCCGTAACGGAGAACCCGCAGAAGATTTTGGATCTCGGCACCGGGACGGGCATCTGGGCGATCGATGCGGGGGAGAAGTGGCCGAGCGCGGAGGTGATTGGAACCGATTTAAGCCCGATACAGCCGAGATGGGTCCCGCCGAATGTGATGTTTCAGGTGGATGATGCAGAGAGTGAGTGGACATGGGGGGAGGAGGTGTTCGATATTATACATATCAGGCATTTAAGTGGTTCGATTAGAGACTGGGATGGCTTGATACAGCAGTGCTATAGGTATGCTAATTCTCGGAATGTCGCCCGGTAGTTGGAAGTAAGGTGGGGAAGGAGGTGGGGCGGGGGGCGGGTTTACGTGTTAAAGTGGAATATCGCTCCGAGGGCTGGCTAGGGGTGAGAAGTGTTTTTTTTGGGGGGGGATATCAATCTTGGACTATGATCACTTTGGGCATAGAGTTTTATATTGAGACTCTGTAGGAATTCTCGGGAATTGATGTCCACCCCTGGAGCCTTCTCGCTCTCTATCTACCATGCCGGAGGCGGATGCGGAGGTTTATGTCTGGACGGTCATTGACACTACATACAGGGCACTGAAACCCGGCGGCTGGCTCGACCTCTGCGAATTCCCTATGGAATTCTACAGTGACGACAAGACTCTCGAGGGCAGCGAAATGGACCGCTGGTACAAGCTCGTCCAAAAGGGCACCGAAAAGACCGGTACCGCACCTTCCACACTCCCCCCCACACACACACATCAAAAAAAAATGTGGCGCACAAATCCTAACCCCGTTATATTAGATCAACGTTTCACCCCCTCCGCCCTCCCAACAATAATGGCCACCACCGGCTTCACTGACCTGCGCATCAAGCTCGAAAAGCAGCCCATCGGCACATGGCCCAAAGACCCGTTCCAGAAGAAGCTCGGCGCCTACTCGCAGATGCTGAGCGAGAGCGGCTTTGAGGCGCTGGGGATCGCGATATTTACGAGGGTGCTGGGGATGAGCGAGGAGGAGTGTAGGAAGATTATCGATGACTGTGTGGAGGAGGTCAGGAGTGGGAAGGTCCATTCGTATATTGTACAGCATTTTATGTGTGGGAGGAAGCCGGAGGAGGATTAAATGTGCTGGGGGAAGTTGGAAAGGGGGAGTGGGGGACATGAGAGTGGGATGAATACATACTGGGATGGGTGTGATTGGGGTATATAGTCTTTTCTTTCTTTTTTTGTGCTAGCAATTGCACGATTGATGAGCTTCATATATAGCGGTAGGTAATAAGTGATGGAACACAGCGATACCTGTTTTGGTAAAACGCCACCAACATTTGCTGTTTGTACTCTCAGGGCGTTCCATCACTTATTACCTGTCGCTGTACATATGTGGTTTTAATTTTCTTGGAGTGTATTGTGTGATTTGGGGTTTACGTTTGTATCGATTGCGATAATCCCTTAGATCATAGGGATTTTGGATTGAATTCTGAAGATCTTAAAAATACAAACCCAAGGGGAGAGCGGTTTTATCAAACGCGGGGTGCCGTGTATCAGGGTTTGAGGGAAAACACCGGCAGTTTCGTGTTATATATATTCAAGAGAGAGAGAGAGAAAAAGATAGAGCAAGTACTGTGAAGTCGATAAACAAGCAAGCCAATAAATAAGTGGTATAAACTCTCTAGAATAACTCCCTCACCACTTGTGCGCCGATTCTTTCATAATCATTGTAGTCAAAGAAACCCTAACCCTATATTAACTATTAGCTTAGATTCATCAAGACGGCTAGAGAAAATGGTACATCGAGTGAGCGGTCGGGGGTATCATGTGAGTGAATGAGGGAAATTATTCCCGGGGAACATAATCTTTAAAAAGATGGCTTCCAGATCTTGTTGGGCTGGAGGTCGGTAGATCGTGGTGGTTCTTGCTGGAGGTGAAGGCGTGTTATTTGCTGAGAATAGTGAAGGCTGCGCCTGTTCGTCGTTTTAAATTTCCCATGGCCGCGCGCTAACTCTCTAGGAAAAAAATAGTTTAGACCAGGAAACTACGGTTCTCGAGACACCACTGCAGCTAGATGTGCGGTTATATTCCCGGGAAAGGACGAGACAAATACCAGCCATCAGCTGAGCTCTTGTCTCTATAATGATACCTGTATCTATAGATACAGAATTTTCCGCTGTCGAGTAACCATTGCAATTACCATAGCGGTTGATATGTACCTCTTAAGCTCTCTCCGCCACATGACCTGAATAGGACAGATCACGATGCATACGATGAGAACAATATTTGGCAATGAAAGAAAGATAAGATAAAAAAAATAATGGTCTTTCAGAGGAGGCTCAGGTGGCATTAGATACCGGATGTATTTCCGCTTGAGGTAGACTCCTAAACATATATGTGGGGAGATATAGTTGGTCTGCTGGATGGGGAATGCACGTGGCTCCTAAGCAGAGATAGTCCCCACCTCGATGATGCCACGGAAAGGAATATCGGGGAGCTAAAACAACGATTTCTGCAGAAAACCCCTGTAGAAGTGACATTGTGTTGCTAGGGGTTTATCGAATTGATTCCCCCCCTTGATCCAGCTTTTAGGTCTGTGTCCGTGGAGATACCCGGTTTTCTGCCTGGAGTGTTCTAGACTATCGCAACCCCAGAAGCCACCCGCACCAGCTTCTCCGTGGGACTATGACTGGTGGTATATTCCACCATGACTGCTCAATCATTCAATGTCATTTTTCTCTCTTGGCTATGCCCTTCCCTGGCCGATAAGAAGAGAGAGAGACGTATCGCAGATTTTGGTATCAACATCGGAACCGTATAGACCTGGGAAGTCTAATTGAGCATCTGGAACTATGTACGCTTATCTTAGACCCTTGCAATCGAATTCACCGTACTCTAGGTACCGACGCCATATGCTAATCATACAACCTCAATATAGATTCCACAGGAGATATAGTTGATAGGAGTTTTCCCTCTATCTTAAGCTTTACAAGAAATGCCTTGCTGTGTTACTGGATCGCCTGGTGGCGAACAACCCCTCCGTAGGATGTAATCATCACACCTCTGCACCCTGATTCCAGTGCAAGGTCATTCTTTTGAATTAACGCCAGCTACTGCTTACCTCACACTGTACGCCTGCTCCTCCTGGGCCGGTCCCGACGAATACCCGCCTGCGAAAAGGTTGTGCACCAGTGGCGGAGGAGCGGTCGGTAAAGGGCGTACCACCGAGTACAAATAGCCTGATATAGATTTATTAGAGGACTAAGTGCTCTAGTGCACAGAGGCGAACTCGATATCTATCTTGGCTTTCTGTTCGTAAAGTAATGGTCATCCACGAAGCTCAAGATCCGGGCATTTTGTTTCTTTTCCATCCGATTTGAGGTCGAACTATGCTTCGGTGATTTCCCCCCCGCGAGCGCTCGCAACCTCGGCCTGAGAGTTAAGTTGCTGAAAGGGAGAAGGTTTTTATACCTATGAAGGACGTGATTGGGCGTTTGCAAGGTCGAAGTACCCGCGCAAACGTTCGGGTGTGACCAGCGCCGCCAGTAGTCCGATTAGACTGCAGTCCGGTGGTAGTCGACTGTGCCAAGCCAAGGACAGTCCGCTGTTGCGACGGACTGCATGGACTGCATGGACTGCAGTCGACTGCGGTTTTCCAGCCAAGCCAGTCCGTCTAAAGTGAGGACGGACTGCAAGGACTGTGGACTGCATAACAGCCAAAATAGGTTTAGCTTAAAAACTTATCAGTATAATAAATGTAGAACTATAGACTCCGAGGGGTGTTAACAACAATCACTCTGGACTAGAAAACATCCATCATATAAGTCGATTTTTTTGTTACAAAATGTCTTTCACGGAAAACAACTCGCAAACGGGAGCTAGTTTAATCTACGAACCATCCATAGCTGATACAGCACAATCCGCCCATGATGAATTTGTCCATCCCAATGAGGGACGCGTCTCTAATGAGGGACGCGTCCCAGCAATGTTTCTACCTAAAGTCAAAGAACGAACTAGCTGGGTTTGGAAACATGGTTTACTATTTCAGGGACCTGACAAAAATGGGTTTCTTAGAGACCGTTGGCGATGCAAGTTATGTATGACTCACATAGGAACCACACTCTTTGCCCCCCATAAGTAAACGAGATTACTAAAACAAAAATATTTACCAGGTCCTAATCCCGAATCAGCAGCACACTATTCGGGTACAACAATCAAAAGTGCAATAAATCATTTGGTGAAAGTACATCATTTCCACAAAATGGTGAACAGCAATCAGATCTAGCCAGCTTAGGTTCCAGTTCTTTTGTACCTAGACTAAGCATATTGTCAAATCCTCCAACAAAAATTTTGTTCAACAACGACACGTTCAAGCAATTGTATATACGTTGGATTGTCACAAACAATATTCCCTTTCAGCAGGCGGTATCTCCCAGTTTATGGTTCTTATTAATGTATCTCTGTCCAGTGGTAAAAATATTCCATTCGCGAGTCTCGTGTTATAAATAAGTTAGTTGATAGTAAAATAGCAAGCGTCATATACGGAATTAGGAAAAGCAATGCCTAAAGCGTCAAGCACAGTCAGTAGCTGGGTACAAGACTCATTTTTGAAAAATAAAATCAGTATTAAGACGGTGTTAAATAATGCTGTTTCTTCGATTCACTTGAGTTTTGATCTTTGGACATCACCTAATAATATGTCCCTCCTTGCAATTGTTGGATATTGGTCTAACGAGGAAAGAAATTTTGTGTCATGGGCTATTGGGTCTCCGTCGACTTTTAGGCGCTCATAGTGGAGAAAATCAAGGTAGTATTGTGTTGTCGATTATCAAAGATTTTCAACTTGAAAAATCAATCGGGTACTTTACATTGGACAATGCAAGCAATAACGTAACAGCACTTCGATTTATACAAAAGCATATCAACAATCTCTACCAAAATATTCCCAAACAAGTTCCGGATACAACTTTGGTTAATAAATACCGCTATGTATGATGTTTTGGACATGTACTAAACCTCGTCGTAAAGGTATTTCTCTATGGGAAAAAATCTGTTCAACTGCTTTCCTCAGAAGAAAAAAAGAACGTTGAGAAAGAAAATTTGGATATGGAAAGATGGCGGAAAGTGGGCTCTTTGGGAAAACTCCGTAATATTACTGTCTGGATTCATGCTAGCCCATAAAGGAGAGAAGCCTTTTGCCAGTCAGTAAATACTATACTCGGCAATGCAACACAAGCACGGACATTGATTTTGAGAAATGTAACCCGTTGGACAGGCGACTATGATGGATTGGAAAGAGCATTGAAGCTTCGTCATGCTATTGATTTCCATGTCCACCAAATCATACGTGAAGCACCTATTGGGAAACCGATCGCAATTGAGAAAGATCAACTGAATTCAATGGATTGGGTTACACTCCAACAGGTGTTTGATTTTCTCAAACCATTCAGAGATGAAACTCTTATCTTAGAGAGTCACCGAACACAAGGATCTTTGTACAAAATATATCCATCATTAGAAGCTCTAAGCCGTCATATATCCCGTACTCAACAAAGTTTATCTTTGGAAACATTACAAATTCCTTTGGCCGCAGAAGCTTTGTCCCTCCCTTTACAACTCGCATCACAAAAACTCCATAAATATTATTCGCTAAATGAGCTTTCGCCGATTATTTGTGCATAGATCGTACTGCACCCTGATATGGACAATTTCTTTGACAACAAATCTGGATGGTGGAACCGGCCAGAATGGGGAAACAAAGCTCGAGATCTGGTGAAGAATTTGTGGGAAACATCCTATAAAGGCATCAAATTACATACGGAGTGCACGGTTACGGCTGAATCCCCCAAGCGAACATTGGACCAGAGTCATAGTTCTATCACTGATCTGAGTTTTAATTCTAACTCATTCGAAAGATTTCGCAGCTTTAAAAAGCCCCGAATCAGTTCAGAATCAATAGAAGACGAGCTTTCTCGTTACATGCATTGGGTATCACAAAATCGACATGAAGTTGGACAGCCGATAGCTTGGTGGATCAAAGCTCGTCCTCTATATCCAAAGCTTTCAATTCTTACTTTGGACGCATTTTCCACACCGGCAATGTCTGCTGAGTGTGAACGTGTTTTTAGCAGGTTCCTATTTCTCTAATTTGTTCTCTATATCATGCCTGATTGCTCTATAATTTACTAATAAATAAGTTTTTCTAGTGCAAAACAAAGTATCACAGATCGTCGGAATAAATTGGACGTAGGTATAATTGAAGCTGGAGAGTGCCAAAAATCTTGGGCACGAGCGGGTTTGATTTCTTTTGACGGGGCTGGAGATACGTCCGAATATCTCACGATTACTGAAAGAGATACTTTGACCCTCTCGAGGATGGGGACAGAATTACTAGACTGATTGTTTTTCATTATTTGCATTGATTTAGTATTCCCTTGATTCTGAGTACGATTTAAACAAATGGGATCCTGTTGAGTACTGCCTACTTGTTTTATATATATAGAATAGCATTGTCAGCATATTGGAGTAGTTATGTGTCTCGAAATTGAAAATTGAATTGTTGATGATTATATCATTAAGCATCATGAGAATTGCGTAGTTGCGTATGAAAAGAATCCTGTCGTTGAGAATCGTGAGAATTACATAATTGCTTATCATAATAATCGAGTTGTTGAGTATCATGAAAATCACGTTGTTGAGTAGTAATATAGTAATGTAGGAATCGTGTAATTAAATATAACGTCGTTAATCGTAATATCATTGAGTATAGTGCAGTTCAGTATCAAGTTGCCAGACGACTTATCGTTGAGTATCGCGTCACGGAGTACGCGTCACAGAGTACGCATCACAGAGTACGCGTTCAAACAGAATACGCGTTCATTGAAAACCGCTTCCTTGAAGATTTCATTAACAAAAATATATTGTTGTAAAGAAAAACACATCCACCAACAATAGAATACATTTTTGAAAATGTCGTGCGTTTCATTATACATAATTAATCTTGTTACCATAAGCTAGTAAAAACTCTTTACCCCTTTCTCTACTCACTTCCGATTCTCTTCTCTTCTCTTCCCCTCTCTTCTCTTCTCTTCCGCTCCCTGCTCTTCCCTTCTCTTCCACTGTAACGGGGGTCTATGGACGTAGGGACTATGGTGCCAAGGAATACAACCGAGGCAAGTACGTGGCAATAGGTATTCAAGACTATGGGCTATGGAGTGGCTCTACCTAGTATGACAACTAGTTGAACCCTATGACGAGGCGTAGAACAAAAGTAGTATTCGTGGAGTAAATACAAAGGTTCCGTGAAGAGAAGAGGAAAGGAAGGGAAACATCAAAAGGAACGAGACAACACCCCCTATATATCCAACTCCTAGTCTGTTGATGACTAATACCCCGCATAATGGAAACCGAAAGAACATAACAGAAACACCATTACAAATCATAGTTCAACTGCGCAATACCTCCTCTTCACAATCCAATCTATCGGCTTGGCCGAAATACAATATTGCCATTACATCCACTCCCTTCGCCTCTCTTCTATTCCTTCCTCTTTCCTGCTCCAAACAGCTACAACCATAACCGTCAACTACACCAGGGGACATATATTGTGTAAGGTTACCAATATATTATCCTGTACAAAATAATTTAGTGTATGAAGCCACCTCTATTTTATTTTCTTGTAGTGGAATATGGAGGAACAGTCTTATCACTTATTATTTCACTCAGCCGAAGCTCTTGTTCAGCTAGAACAACCTAATTCCAATGAGATTCCGGAACAGAGGAGAATTTTAAGGGACTGTTGGAAGTCACTCCAAACAATACCTACTCAACTTTCCAGGCTCAGCTACCCATTTCTATTTCAAAACTCCAGGCATTCACTCTCTACCACAAGTCCGCTTTTTAATGCCAGTGATCAAGATATTCTTCTCTCTGCTGCATCATATACACCCATTACCAAAAGCATAGCGATAAAATCATCTGATGGTGATGAAAATTTACTTATATTTTGGAAAAACACATTTGCTGTTCCATTCGGACCCACACTTGGAGATGCATTAGTCAACACACTCAATTCCGCTATCACTGAACTACAATCTGTTTATAAGCCTCCCAAACCGCCTGTTACGGACAAAAGACACAATGAAGGAATGAACTCGAAAAAATCCGCTTCTAACCCTACCATAGTGAATAAGCCTGGCGTTTGTGGGCTCTGGCATTTCGCTTGGTGGTTCGCTAAAGGTCAAAGCTGGTCAAAACCTCCGGTAATTTCAGCTCATCTAATTAATAGCGCATACAAGTAGGTACCGCTCTGTGGCTTTGCCTATATACTGTTGCTAACCAAATAGACGTCAACCATGCCTTAACTTCTTCAAAAAAATCGCCCCTATGCTACAAATAATTAGCTTGCTATACCAAATAGTAGATCCACAAGACAATTGGAGTGCGCTGTCGCGTGCTCGCGTTACTCGAGGCGGTACATGGGGTCAATTTACTACAAGCCGCCGCTTTCCGTTCCATGGTGTCGCGATTCTGCGCAATCTCAGAGTGAGACCTCATAGAGATGGAGGTGATAGAAAGGATGGCTATACTATGATGATGTGTGCTGGAAATTTTACAGGTGGATACTTGGTACTGCCTCAATTAGGAATCAAGGCTGACTTTAAGCCTGGTGATATCATCATGTTTAAAGCTGAATTGCTGGAACACTTCTTAAGTGACTTTGAAGGTTACAGAACTAGTATTGTGTTCTTCAATCATCAGAATATATGGGACTACACTAAGCTAGTCTAGTTCAATTATATACATAGAACCAATTCTGAACCGTTGATCATGAAGAAAACCCGTGAAAACTGCTCCAAAATGCCTGAAACCGCTCGGGGGGAGTGGCCCCGCATCCACCCGCGTTTCAGCCTAAGCGGGGGCGATTTAGGGGACACCCCTAAAGACCCCGTCCTCCCTTTCCGTTCCATTCCCACTCCCACCCGCATCCTCCACTGGCAGCCTGTCACCCTAACCCTGAGAACCCCGACCCATAGTCGACTGCAGTCCAACTTTGCTTGACTGCATAGGACGGCGGACTACGCCAGTCCTTCCAGTCAAGCGAATTCGGTCCAGGACTGGTCCGTTCGCGGCGTTGGGTGTGACGGACAAAGGCTTGGCACCAGGGTTAGGGGAATTACATGGCAATGATCTCATACCGCATTGGCTAATGAATATATATCAGCTCCTCTTGTTCTGGAGTTCCATTTTTGATGAACGATATCTGGCACATTATTGATCAAGGATTCGGGATCAAGACTGCGCGCGGAAGAGATAAAATATGCCCGTCCACTTGTGTATCGGGTATAGTAGAGACCACTTCTGAGTTTTAATTGAGCTTTACCACTGCGTGTACGGCTCTAAAATGCACATAAACGTATCCGTCCTTGTGTACGCCTCCAATACTCACTTTCTATATCACGCTTTGTCTAATTCTTGGAGTTCCTTCTACCCGGAGAAACGACTCCCGGCTATATAGTCCGGAATTCCAGGGCGTAAGGCGAACGATTCGCCACACTTCAGACGAAGCACTTGTAACTATTATAGGTGAAGATTGCGTCGGTCTTAATAATAATGTTGTTTTGCAACCTCGATACCTTTGGGAGGCATGAATGCCGGTATGAGTCCGGCGAGGCGCGAGAGCTAATTTTATTTCCCGAAACAGGAAAAGGACGCCAAGGCAGCCCGATACGCAACAGACGGTGCTCTAGCCTTTTCAACCAAGGAGGGAATGGTATTAGTAGGATCTTGTGATCGAATACGTTGCAGAGTGACGCTTGGAGCCCTAGGAAGGGACGCCCCGTACCATGTGCGCTTTGCCTTCCCCTCGAGAGGCGGTATAGAGAAAAGATGTGAAATATAGTCGTTTTAAGCTCTTTAGAATCTGCTGTGATGAGAGCTACGTCCTCAATACATGGGCCTGGTGGTTCATATTCTTGCTCGTATATAAGGAGCAAAACCCGGGGTGCTGTTGGAAGAAATTTCTAGAGTTAGAAGCGCTCGTTTTACGTATGGGATATCTTATTCATGTTACCAAAGATGAAAAATACCTCCTTTGAAGAATCAAATATATACCCGGGTAAGCACTAGATCGATCTCCGTTTGGGCGGAGTCGGGCCGCTGCGTGTGGCGGGGGGGGGGGGGGGGGGATGATTTTTGTATATCATACTGTGTGTTCATAGACACTCTGTAGAAATATCCGTGGGAGAGGGGGACAACCCATGTATTAAACTCACGATGCCATACGGTGTGATCAGGTGTGTGTATATAAGGAGCTGTTAAATCCTACCAACTGTCTGGTCAGGTGCCAATGGGATGTACCCGGTCATCTGGAGATGTACCCATAAAGGGATCGTGGATAATAAGGTTTTGGTTGGCGGTGACTATGGAGGGTTATAGATCGTATAGAAGGGAAACTGTGGGTATCAGAGACTCGATGTGTGCTTCAGGTACTCGTTGGTGTATAAGGCGGGGATATATATCTCTGCGTTATTTGGGGGTATGCTGACCTATTGCATAGGCATCACTATGGTGAAACAGAACGTAGTTTGCCAAATCGATATCCCTCACTTCAGAAAACAATCAAGCAATGCAAAGTATCTTCCAGTAGTTACTAAGAAGACAATGGGGCCGAAAATGTCAAGCAAGAAAGTGTCCTCATGGGTCTTTTTCAAGTGTAAGTACAGTGGAAAGAAATGACTAGCATAATATTGATGTGAGATACAGTCAAGGAAATCCGTCTGAAGTCATGAAACTATCCCACAGAGTAGATAGAAAATTAGAGGAAGAGAAAAAGCAAAAATGAAAGCTTGGACTATTGCCAGCAATCTGAGATCACACGGAACCCATTAAAGTATCCCGCAATTTGTCTGCTCCTAGCTCATTTAATTTTCGACTAGGTATATCATTCGGTACCTGGATGTAGCGGATCGGGACCGCCGGAAATGAAGCCCGGGCTATCATCCATGTCAGAGACACAGGGTTAAAGCAAATATATGTAGGGTCTCTCGGCACTAAAGGGAACCAACCTTCCAACTTTCCGAGCCCTTCGTCCCACTAGTATTCATATCCAGCTTGAAGAGGAACTCCCCCTTCTTCTTCATCCTTATCATCGTCTACAAGAGCCATCGCCTGCAGCTTAAGCTTCAACTCGACTTCGAGTTCATTCTTGGTGTTGATGGCATCATCCGCCTTTTTCTTTCCCTGCTTTGCCTTCTCCTCCTTTGCCTTCTCCTCCTTTGTCTTCTCTTCCTGAATGGCTTCTGTAAGCCCTGCAATGTCGTTCTCAAACTTCTGCATGATCAAGAGACACTTCTGATGCTTCCTTTCTAGCTCCGATAACGCCGCAGACCGTTCCGCAGGATGATCTGCAAGTTCATCGGCAACACGACGAGTAGTAACCTCATGCTCGATCAATGCCTTGCGGTATTGATAGTGTAGGGAGATAAGTTGAATACGGTACTTAATAAAGACCTCAGACTTGACGGGCTGAGAGCTGAGGTCGAGGTGGGCGGAGCCGGTGCTAGGGCTAGGGCTGGACCTAGGAGTCCTAGCAGACTGGGAGAGGGGGTGTTTGGAGGCTTCCTCTGGAGAGAGGGGAGATGGAATATCGGGACCGGATAATAAGAAAAGCTGAAGTGGCAGGATGATCTTGACAGGGCCAGGAAGGGGAATAGCGGATCCAGACATCTTTGACAACGGGTTGGATTTGAAATAGTTTGAAGGATTGGGGTGATGGAAATATGTGCAGTTTGGAGTGCTATCAGGCCGATGATGGGTGAAGAAGGAAAGAAGAAAAAGGGAGAACGGTGGTAAGTTATGGGTGATTTGGTGCTCAGCATGACATAAGGCTAGCGTAAATAAACTTTGGGTGCCTCGGCACTGGAGGGGGTTGACCACGCTGAACATCATTAAGATAGTCGCACACAACTACCCGGGGTACGAAGCTAGCACAAGGGTGGCAACGACTCTGCATGTTCATGCGCGCATCGTAGAAATATTAAGGATCCCAGCGACCATTGGAGTTTAAGATAACCCGACTTTTCCTCTTCTTATCAAACACCTCGTTTATGCTAGCTAGATATCTTTCAAAGGGAGCTACTCATGCTTACGGTGGATAACTAGACTTGACCCCGAGTGAGATACCATGAAGCGAGTGATTGGTTATGATGCACTCCGGAAATCTTTGGACCACCGTCTGTCAACGGTTTTTAATAATATCACACACATTGATACCCCAAAAGCTACATAGAAATGCATGATAACTGCGATCCCCTGCGCACCAGAGTAAAAAGCGAAACCTAGATGTAAAAGCTAAAATTCATTAGTATGTAACTTCTAGTCAATCTTGATTTACCCATATGGTTCTCTCCTACAGTGAAAATGAAAGCTGGTCTAAGAGGAAAGGGATGAAAATTCATAGAGATAGTTCATAAGGAAGGAAAATAGCAGAAACGAACTTCACACCGCTTAAATCATTGTCACATGAGTTTTTCTGTTGTCCGTACGTATCCCAGCTTATTTGCCCTTCCAGCTGCTTAATCATTGCCTCAGCTTTAGGCCAAGTACGCTCTAGAGGACAACTGTAAATAACTACGTCGTTTAGCTAAAAGACTACGTCGTTTATCTACATAAATCCGTCGTTTAGACTGCCAAGAATTTGAAGATAATAAGATAGAGCTCAGCTAAATGACTCCTGCCCGCAGCCAGCTATAAACGCAGCACCACAGGTGGCCTTCCTCTTTTCCACCACCAATACCTCAACACCATTAACACCTCCACAGGAATAATCACCAATGTCGTCACCATCATTCCTTCGCCGCCATTTACATCAGGCTTATCATGTTGGATCAGTGCCCCATCTATTCCCCTCCTGATCCTCTATGTTCCACACCCGTTCCCCTATTTTCTGTTCTTTTGGTAACGTATTTCAGTGCTTGGGATCACCATCACTATCACTATCACCAGTGTCAAGGTATGTCATATCCAGCCCATTGATTGATATCGCCATTACTAATTGGCAGCAGCAGCGGGGCAGCAGCAGTGGTATTAGCATTAGGAATAATAAAACAAATTGATTTATATCTATATATCTAAACATTGTCACAGTTTTAAGGCTGCATGTGATCAATCAATTAAATTAAATAAAAAATATATCTAAACGACGAAGTCGTTTATGCTAAACGACTCTACTAAACGACTTCGTCATCTATCACTACTCCATATTCTTCCTCCCTTTTTTATCCTAGCTATTGCGGCCTCTACCTTCCCGATATCCTCCCGTGCCCACTCAAGCATCCTTAATGTATTGGCGTTTTCTTCCCTGGATCGGCTCTGCTCTTTGAGGAGCTGCTTTTTCTCATCGGCATTTGTAGACTCCTTATAGCGGCGGCTGAGCTCTTCCGATAATGCTATCCCGGAATCGAATCGCTCGTATAACATGTTAAGCTTTTTCCCTAAGCGGACGAGTTTCGAGGAGAGTTCTTTAATTTCTTTTTCGTTTTCCATTGGTGGGATAGCACGGAGTATTCTTGGTATGTGAAGCTGGGCTATGGGAGATAACTGTTAGCCCTCCATTTCCTCTAATCGACATACATGCAGTACGTACTATTAATTCTAAGATATTATATATGATTGATAGATTTAGGTATTGGTGTGGGAGAAGAGATGTGGTTTACGGATATTGACGGATCTCAGAGGGGGTTATATGCAGACGATCCTATGGAAGGGCGGTGGCAAAAAATGGAATGGTATTCCTACCTTCCCGGTCTTCCTTGCTCGACTTTGAATGATGCGAAAGGGAGGACAGGTACATATAATTAAAGAGAATTCGATGTCTTACCGTGTAGATCGTGGGCTAAAGTAATTTCATTTGCATCTCAACATACCTCAGTGTTTCCAGTGGTTCACCCGTTCTTCGAACCAAACCGGTTTTCTAGAACGGTTGTAGCAGAATTTCGGTTCAGTTTTTACCTTTCCCGCTATTCGGTTTAAACGGTTATCAATTTTTCCAAACCGGTTTAAACCGGTTTTTAAACGGTTTTATCATGCTACTACCCGCGATACAAAGACTCATTTTAGATCAACCTATTGGATGCACCAAGGGTTACGAATTTCGGAAATGTGAAACTAACGTCTGAAACATTGAACTAAATGATAGAACGGTTGCAGGTACCAAACCGGTTTGCATATTGAAAATACAGTTAAGTTCAGTTCAGTTCAGTTGTGGGCGTAATTCAGTTCAGTTTGGTATGGTACGACCCCTTATGGAAACCGGTTTCACCCGTTGGAAACACTGACATACCTCAAACGTCGAAGCTCCAGTACTCATGTAGCGTAAGACGTTATCATTCGCCAAAGCCCGAATATATTTAATATAGGCAGGAGAATCGCGTACTATTAGCCAATTAATGTCTGATATCCCTTAAACCGTTAGGCTGAATTGTAATGAGACATTCAAACTCTTTATGGTAATTGTGATATAGGTATAAGCGCTGGATCTTGCAACCTGTCACGTATGATGAAGACTACAACTTGAAGTCTCTAGGCGTTGACCCTATCATGTTTCCGGAAAGGGTTTAAGTGTCTCCCATTGTAATTCGGCCTGACGGTTTAAGGGATAAGGTCTAATATTGTTATCGGTATGTATTCACAGGATCGTACAAACAATCATGAAGCTAGATCCATACAAACCATCCTATACCCGCGCATTATGTTAGCCCCGTTATTGACCTATCACAGAGGGGGCAAGCATAATATGTTTCGTAAACTTCTTTTTGCGTCAGCACGGGCGGGATTTTCCTCACAGTCGACGTCTATGAGAGCTGTGTATTCTATGCATTCTCCAATCGAACTGGTCTATTTCCGGAAATAAAGTATTCGTTGATCATGATATCTCAGGCGCCAATTCTATTGGGTCCTTGAGCCATTTTAGCCCAGTCCTGTTTGTAAGTTGCGGGTAATAGTGGGTGATGTTTCTCTCCTCTGTTCGTGGGACAGGGATAGGAATCACATTTCTGCTAGAGCACGTTATCCAACCAATAGCATGAGTCACCAGCACTCTCACAATCTCTTTTTTACGGTTTGTCACTTTCCTAACAAAGACAAGCATTATTGCACTTTGCCTCTGTTTATTTCATCTTTTTTTTTTCCACCACATCTGATTGTTTACTGCGAGGATTTTACATATCCTATAGCGAGAAAATGATTGTAAGATTTTATCACTACGAACGGCTGGACAATGTCGACAGCCTATCGTGAAATGACGGTTTCTACGGACAGTTTTTACCAGTACTTAAACTATTAGTTCTGTCATCTCATGAAATCCTACTGTACCCCCGCTATGGTGTTATTCTACTTAGAATACACTACATCGCCCTATTCACCGATCCATTGCCCCCGACTAACAAAGGCCATAAATCTTCTTCTCTCCCTCCGCCCTCCAGGTAAGAATCTTACTCTCAAGAATATTGATATCTGCCAGGATGTCCTTTATCTTATACGTTATCCTCGCCTTTTGTTCGACGAAGCATTCCGCGGGTTGCCTGCCTTCGAGCCGGTCCAGGGTCGCGCAGTACCGCTCGTATTTTTGCTCGAGTTTCGAGATCTTGGCCCGCAGATACTTGATCTCCGCGGCGGGGGACATGGGCTAGAGCGACAGTCAATATTTCAATATTTAATGGATTGGACTTGGGAGTTTGAATGATTTATGGAAATGACCGCTCGTATATGTTAGGGTAGATTCGGTAGCTACTTACTGATATTGATAGTTGAAGTACAGGTTATACGGTTAATAAAAATTACGGTATTAAGTTCGATGCAGGACCTCCGATATTGTTGACAGAACTCTATATAGGCACTGTCCAATCATAGAATCCACAAGGTACCTATTGCGCTGCGTAACATCCAGTTAGCAAAGCCTAGCTGTGAGATCATAACTGTTTCACATCGACCTATCAGCGATCAGGTTGGGGGATAGAACAGCATATACCTAGTCTCGCCGCCTGTGCGTTAAAATAGCCGGGATACGGTGGTCTAAATCGAAAACCATCCAAGCTTACTATATACAAGCCTACGGGTCGGGTTGGTGGCTGCGCAGCGTGGACATAAACGTCTTGCCTCTGTTTCGGCATACCGAGGGGAAACATCGAGACTCGGGAGGGGAAAAATTCTGACATGTACCCCTGTTACCACGCTAACAAATTGTGGGGTAAGCTAGCCAAGCCTGCATCCCTCGGCATTTTCGGGCCGTCTACAAGAATGGGGTTATTCGCGCCCACGGGGGATGGTGAGGGATGGTGGAGGTTGTTTGTGAACGGAACAGGGTTTTAAGGAAGTAGACAGCGAGGTAGCAGAACGTGTTGCGTTTGGCTCTATGTGGCTTCGCGGTGGCGGGTAACGGGGTTGGGCAATCCCGGGCTGGTAATGGAATGTATAGACCCAGACCCAGAGAGGTTTTCGGGGGTGGATCACCGGTTTTTACACGCATAATTTATGATTTCGTGGTTTAGGTATATGTTTAAAAACTCTATATGTTCCCCTTAGCCCAGACGGAGGGCCATTGTTTCTCGGTTAGAAGGTGCGCCGGCAGAGATATCTTCACAGGCAATTCGAGGTCGGTGGGAGATCTAGAATATCTCGCAAAATTCTGGATGAAAATCGGTCGACGGTTTCAAGGGAGGGAGATTTCTCACTAAATCACAGAACGGACATTTGAGGTTTGAGTTTAACTAAGGATACAACCGAAGAAAACAAAAAATCCAGGAAAGAACTCTGAACAATAGCGTCAGCGAATCACCCCCTGCTGGTCTTTCCCGGGCGGCGGTTTGCGCGTCGGAACCCGTTCCGCTACCGCAGCCTCTCACTCCCTCCATTATCGGTTCATGGACCGCCTCGTTCCCGGCTCGGAATGTTCGACCGTTTGGTCATATAGAAAGTTTGCTCGATTTTGACAATGGATACGTATCTTTTCGACCCATTTCAGAGTATATCACCCGACCGTATCTTAGAACACTCGATCATTTTTTTACGATCACTCTGTTGATAAATTCAGGCGTTTAACTAAATGGTCAAACTTGGAAGTAGCTCGAAGCGGAATTCATTCCAATATACACGGAGGTAGGCGCCTGGTAGTCAATCTCGCCAAATGCATAAGCCTATAGGAGCATAAGATTCTCCTTCCACAGCGAAAGGTCAAACCAATTCTCATTTATTATATCCTATGATCCCGCATTCTCGTCAAATCCGACCGACTACAATCTTAGGACTATACCGCATGTATCCTTCTCTTGAGCATCGCAAACAAATCTTCTAATACCCCTCCCTCTCAATCACCATTTCCAAACTGATGATCCATATCTCCATTTCATCGATCTCGATCCTGATATAGTTCATATCCCTACAAATCTTCCTTTTCTCCTCTCGCAGTCCCACTTATTCACGGGTCCATCTACCGCCATATAGGATTTTGCTGATATCAGAGCTCATGACAAGGAGACCCCTGTAGATGGCTCGTTTGTTGGTAATCTCCTCACTCATCCTTTCGATTGCTGCGGTGAAGAGCATAATGTTGGATTGTTGATAGGTTGTATGTGGATTTTTGATATAGTTGTGCGTTTTATTATTCCTGGTGATATGGAGGTGTAGACTAAAATACAGGCAACATATAGGGTTGGTAGAACTTTCAACATGCGCGCGCAAAGTTATGTGAGGCTTGACCTAGTACTAGATTAGCCTTGAGAAAATAGTTTAAGAGTGCACGCCTACTACCATGAAAGTCATGTCACATGAACTCTTCAAAGGTCAAATATGATAGATTTCTGTGGTAATTGCTCTTCGCAAATTTGCGGTATTTCGACCATATGATACCGTTTAGAGAGTGTGTTCGAAACAGGATGAAGGACTCTATGTGACGAATATCAAACCATTGTGTATTCCCAAAGCCACCGGCCCAAACGCTTCCCCAATTGTAAAGATAAATCCAGTACACTTTCAAGAATACAACCAGACTGCTATGAACGCTCTCCGCGAAACTCGTTGTTATTGCTCATAAATCTTTTTTCCTTAACGCATGCTGAGTAATGGTATCAAAGTCGGCTATCACGTAAGACACGACTCAGGAAGCTGGAGAGAGACCGCTCCACCGCTACGAGGCCAAAATCGCGGCTGGGTGCGAGGATGACTTCAGCACCGCTTCCCCGCCCTGACTTTGCCAATCGGTGTTCTATCGCGAGATAACCACCGTTTCCTGGGTGGATATTCGTTCTGCCTGTTCTAGAGTCGTGGTCAGTACGATGTAAGGGTCGCCGGAAGTGGAAGGAAGTGGCGCTTACATTAGCATGACCTCAGGGGTTGGAGGAAACTTCAGTTTCAAACTGTAGACACTGCTTTACGGGAAAAAGCTACTATGAAGTTGAAGATTTCGGTAGGGAAACTTGAACTACTTCACGAGCCTTGGGGGTTGTTTCGAAGATCCTGGATGCTCGGATGTTGTCTGTATTTCGGGGGGTCCGTCGATATCTGTCCTTCCGGGCGAAATCAAGATCACAACCTCATGAATCCTCTACATACTGCCAATCAAAGTAAGACATTCAAATATCACATAGATTCTTCATTGAAAAGTCTATGATAGCTCCAAAATGATTTCGCAATCTATATGCCTTACCTAGGATATTTTATCCACAACGAAACCATAGCGAATCTCATGAAGCGAAATATTTGTTCACAAGGGATAGAAAGAAACTTCTAAATCCACAAGTTAATAAAAATGTACAACAGGTGAGCGCTGATGATTCAACCTTTTGTTGTCGGACATCCTTTAACGGGCGCACCAGCAACTTCCGCGGAGCCGCATGCGCTTGTTGCCTTGAAACATTCGTTCACCTGCTCCAATCCTTCCAGCGACCGACAGAAGTTGTTGCATGACCCAATCCCGTGAATCCTTCCCTGCCAGCCTTATACAATCTCCTCCCTTTCACCTGCTGCCTTTCTAGGCAAACTCGCCGCGATGGAGAGAATTTACCTTGGGGTCGAAGGTAGCATGTATTACGGCGGATGAAGTGAAGGAGAACTATCTAGCATAGCGTGGGTGTGTAAGCTGGGGAACCAGGACAACCGTAAACACCACGAATAACAGCGCAATCGCCGGGAATTCACGAACTATACAGGCACGTGGAGAGGTGGAGATAAAGGAGAGACTAGTTGTAGGAACCGCGATCATCGGTTAGGGGTAGGAGGTCTCCAGTTTTCACTAGAAGAGGTTTGTGGGGGCTGAACAAATTCTGTAGCTATCAACTCAACCATTATATTGGCACACTGTCTAATTAATACATCTATTGTATGATTTACTATCGATCAAATATTATAAATCTCGCACTCTGGCGCATTCGATGTGGGAAAAACTACGGTTGGCTTCGCGCCGGCGATAGCGCTTTTCACCGGTTTTACTTCCCAATGTAACTACCAACACCGGGGATAGGCATATTCTAGGATATACTGGAAGATATTGATATTTGAAAATTCCGATACGGCGAGCAGAATCTTCTCAGCACAGCAGAGGTTTTCACTCCCTAGAATACAAACATCAGAAGACAATCATGCCACATCGACGGATTACACGCCCCCTTGAAGTATAGGAAGGTTATAGAATCCCTCCACATTGTTGATTATATCTCAATTCTTGATATCTTTCAAATAGCGGAGAGAGATAACTCCCTTAACTCAGCATAGCCGCCCTCACTACACCCCCGATATACCAAGCCTTTCCTCCGTGATGGCTAAGTTTTGCGGAGCGCCCATTGTTAGAACGAACCCACCATTGAAAAGCGAAAGTATCCCGAGCCCGATGTTGCGAGCAAAACTGCACCATAAACAACGAAAGTCGATGATCTTAAGGCTAATATCAGGGTCCTCGAAAAGGAACGCAGGGGCATTGATTCGAGGTACCAGGACCTCCCTGTAGAGGTCTCAAGGTGCCGGGAACATCTGCTTCTGCGTGAGTAGTACACAAAGAATTTGCCTGAAGATAGGTTTATTGCCGGCATTATCAGGAATCATATCTATGAACTAAATCAGGAACGCGTCAAATCAAGGGTTGATTGAATCAAGTCGTGGCAAACGATGGAGATCCTAAAGGCGAGCAAAGGAAATTTGAGGTTAGTAAGATCGATATTTAGAGGAAGACGGAAGTAAGAATAAAATGTAAAATAATAGAAAAATTCAGTATTCCCAAATATCACTCATACCTCATCTTTTGGAAGGTTTTGTCATTTATAGTAGAGATTTGTCCAGAATGCTGATAAAAATCGCCGGGTCCAGACCTATCTAAAATTCACGTCGTTCTTCATCAAATAATGTAGCAAACTTGTCACCCAATTACCTTTTACCCAACGCGTGATCTGTCCAGAAGCAGGGCTACTACCGAATATTCGGACCTCCGTCTAGTCCATTCTTACGTACAATTATGGATGAGAAAACATCTGAGATTGCTAAGCAAAGCCACCCCTTAGCGTCCTCCGTTAACTCTTGATGATCTGGATTGCTCCCTACAACCCCAAGGAAAACCGGGAAGTCGGTGGCCGTAACAAAGATCTTAAAGGAAGAACATCGGGTAAAGAAGGCATCTTTATATAAGGCGGGGGTGATATCAAGGAAGTAGTGGCACTCCGGAAGAGCTAGAGAGAAGTCCTGGTGCGGACTGGTTATTGCTGACAGTGTTCGGGCTTGGGAAACAAGTGAAGCTTTATCATCTCGTCAGTCGCATGATAACTTGGACAATACATGTAAATAGCTGAGCTTCGTGGGGGTCTATCGCATGAATAATAGGGGCCAACGGTCTTATTGAAAGCTCTTCTGGATATACGATAAATCGCGCCCCTTTTCTTTACTTCGAGGCATGGCCGGCATTGAAGCTTATCAGTCCACTCCATCCGGGCGAACTTTCAATTCGGATGGAAGGAACTAGTGGAAGATCACTTTATCGAGGACAATCTTTGACAGTGAGTGGCGGAAACCTTGATGAGAAGTGGAACTCCAAGGTACGAGTTTTGAAGAAACCGAGTGATATTCGTTGATGCAACCTCACAGCCTCAAACGGAGTAAGGACTCCGACGTCAGCAGGTATAAATCTAGTCAAGATTCAACGACCGCAAAGTTCACTTCTCTTTGTAGCATAACCCACGGTGAATGTATCACTATCGCTATGTGGATGATTTTGGATGAAACAGTTGCATGCTTTTCTTGCCCCTCCCAATCGTCTACGAAAAGCACATGAACGTCTGTCAAGCAACAACCGTGCGCTAACGCTAACCTCCTACCGACTTTCCCTCATCTCAACGACACACAAACATCAACACCCAGCAAGGGGAACAACAACCCCACCAGCCACTCCCGTCATATCTCCCAACAAGGCACCTATCTATAGTACTTCTGTACTGCGATCTCTACGGACACGCTGTCAAGATGGGGAATTCACAATCAAGACGCTGGCAGGAACAGAATCTTCCCCCCCACCTGGTGAACAATCCAGAAGTCATTGCCTTCCTCGCAATTACCCTCCGCGACGACGGCAGCAGCGCGAATTCGGCAGAGCCCGTTCCTGTCTGCGGTATTCCTTTCAAGGAACTGTCTTCCAGCTGGCTGGTAAGAGCTTACCTCGTTTCCGCACCCCAGTTATCCAGACAGTACTCACGAACTCTACAGCAAGCAGCGAGCCAGATCCAAAAAACATTCCTCCGCGACGCCCCTCCTACCTATGTCCTCTATCAGAACAAGCGCATCACCCCGCATCATTGGACAGTAAAAAAGCCAAAAATGGCTGGGAATGTTGCCTTTGCCTACTTCGACGAGCGTACGCCCTACCAGTCGCTCGACACTAGAGTCCTTGTCAACGCGGCGTTTGAGGTCAATGTCACTATTATTTCAAGCCCGTTTCCCGGCGTTACCTTTCCTCCTCTCCAACTGCAGATCCTACCCGCCTCCACTCTAGAGGCATTACGTGCACTACTTGGAAGATGGATCGAACTGGAGGTCAAGGAGGCGTTGCAGAAGGATCTTAGGTTGAATGAACAGACGCTGGCTTTGCATATGGTGCAGAAGCGACCGACGCATCTTCCTATGGGAAGGAAAAGAGCTGAATCGTCTCCGGCGAGAGGTATGCGGGTTGAGGGAGTGACCTATGAGATGCTGGCACAGTCTTCCATGGCTCAGAATGGGATGGGGAGAGTTAGTATTGATGCAAGGCGTGCCAGGGCGGAGCCAGTTATGCTGCCGGAAACTGGCAAAGTTGGAGAATGGACTGGCTGGTCCCTGTGCGTCTGCGTATTCGAGATTGGGGTGAACTGGATTGAAGATGGTATCTAATGGTAATGGGTCCTGGCGGGCACTGGGGTATTCCATTGGCTTTTTTCTCTCTTTTTACTTTCCCTTTGTGTCCCCTATCAACTGTCCCGAGCCTCTGGAAGACGAAGGTCCTAGTCATAGTGGATGGACTATATACCCTAAAATCATATCCCATTGAGCCCAAGTAACACTTTTCCCTTTTGTGTATCCTACTTTATTGTTCTTGCTTAAAAGGAATTGACCTCTGTCCGTTATTCCCGGGCGCGTTTCTTACTCGGCCGCAAAAAAAGGATATGGGTGTATCTTCTAGCAGTAGTCTCCCTTTTATCCGATACCTTTATGAACGTTTTATAATGACATGAATAATTTACATCTTGAGCACCTCTGCCCTTACATAAACTCAAATACCGCCAGGGATAAGTCTTCAAAAATTACTTGCTATTACATGTCCGGATTTCTGAGAAGATTGCTCGAAATGAATATCTTTTTCTCTTTATAATCTAGAGGGTGTTAGTATAGAAGACCTTGATCTGCCATCTATTTTGTTTGAATTTTGACTACATAAAATTTTTGATAGTCCTTGATAACAGTAGGATTAGGAGAACATTAATCTGGGAAAGTTTAATCGATTAAGTATATTTTTTAACAGACGGTGATAGATTTTACTTTGTTTTAACTTATATCGCTGCTGGGGAAAGGGGTAATGCTCCGGAGCTCTAATATCATGTCGTGAACACTCCGGAAAAAGGAAAACATAAATAAAACATAATTATATCAATAAAAACCAACAAAATAGGAGATCTTTCATATGGTACGAGAGACTGGCTGAAGCAGGATCGAGTGGCATGGACAGTAGTTGGTTAGGAAAAACCTGGTGGAAGGATTCCGCCGGAGAAATATACCTAGAAACGAATCAAATTTACAGGTGATAGCATGACCAGATATCTCAAAGGTGTAATGACCAAAGAAGTATGATGAACACGGCCGCTTCTTTGGCAACGCTGGCAAGGTGGATTCCTCAAGGTGCTGCAGGCCCCCTTTCCACCAACGCTGATTTGCCCATTGATGTACATGCACCTGGCAATATGCCAGCTGATTCTATGCCAGTCCATAGCTTCGCGCCAAACGGGTCTGCCATGTCTATCAGAGCTTGAGGTTAGTTTATGTAGTGAGCACGTGAATTGAAATATAAACTTGGAAGACATACCTTGGGCCACGGGTTGTTGAGAACTCACGGGCAGTGCTTGTATTCAGCACTACAACATTGGGTACCAAGGGTTCTGGGGCTACGGCTTCTTTAAACGCGTTTGACTCTCTGGGAGCAGCGTGATCCTTAGCCGCGGAAGGCTCGAGACCTTCTTGGGTAGTGGTAGGTGGGCTGGGGAGGTTGGACATGTACTCGGGAAGTGCAGGACTGGTGGTACGTTAAGAAGTTTTCGAATCGGTGAAGAATATCTTGACTATTTAGTCTCCCTAACTTGTATCACTGTGGCCTTCCGAATCTTATCCAATTTGGTAAATAATGTTCCTATGTCTGGCGTGTCTTAAATCAAGTGGATCATACAAAAGAGTGTTATTTACCTTGAAATTCAGAAGACAATTGACCCCAGGAACCCGACCTATTCACAGTTGTTGAGCAGTAACTATCTGGTGTTGGACAAATCCAAGATCTTATCCTCACACGTGATTCATTTCGGATTGTCTGGGATTAGGAGCAAAAAACACCCAAGCTACCAATTTTCGACGTTACCTCCCGTTGCACGCCGAGAACAACGACATAACCTTAACCACCAACACCCATCAATTTCTCCCTGCGTCTGCCATAACTCAAAGAACTCACAAAGGGTCTGTGCACCGCATAAAAGCGGAAACCTATCACTATGCGTAACCCCCCTTTCGAAGGATATTCTATTGCTCCTGGCGACCGTTATCCACACCTCATTGACCCGAGCCTACCACGACCATCATTGTCCTATATCAACTCACTTAATGAAAAGGCCTATCATCCGAGCATGCTGAATCCGATGCATATGTTGTCAATCCGCCGTGAGCATAAGGATCTAGAGGAACTCCTTGTTCCCGATGTTTATCCGATTATCACTTATGATCACATCACCAACAGGCCCCCATCATCCTCTCCCACCTCCTATGCTTGGGCCAACAACTACCCAGCATCAGCTACCACCTCTGATGAAAGCATACACAATCCTGCACCCGTCACCACCTCTTATGTTAGCATAAAAAACTCCGCAAGGTCCGACAGCATTCCTTATGTTAGCATAAATAACCCTACAGGATCCATTGGTACCTCTTATGTTGCAATAGACAACTCCTCATCATCCGTTTCTTCTCTTGAGGACACCGTCGCCAATCACGAAATATGCGTTAGCACATCGAACCTCCCAACACATCTTATCCTTCCCGACCAATCCACCATCAACCCTATAACCCCCGAACCATCAGCCTCAGAGCGCAGTGAAACCTACGCGTACTATCTAAGCCATCATCCGCGCCTGAGTCGTCAAATGATCCAAGAGTGGTTTTTGCAGACATACCAGCGCCAAATCTCGACGTCACAGGTGAACAGTATCATCCATACTTGCGGCGGAGTTCCACAACCTCGCTCCTCACACCGTAGAGACATCCCGAGGGGGGAGCTCAACTACGAAGAGGCAAGGGAACGTGAGCGTGTTCTGGTCTGGAGATGGTATACCAAGACACGGGGGCTTGAGGGCAAGAAGCCAGGCATGAGTAGGATTACGTCTTGGTGGGAGGGGGCAGACGGAGGGAGAATGTTGGGGATATCGACACTCTCGGGAATTTTGACGATAATGAGACAAAGACAAGACGCAGCTGAGCAGGTCGGAAAAGCAGCGAAGGAAGAAGACAATACAAATGAGCCAGGATCGAGCTGCGGTGAAGAGATTAAGTCAGCAGCTCGCGACACCTGGCAAGCCACCAATAGCTTGAAGAGACTAGCCCCGGAGGATTGGGAAGACAACGAAGATCTTGTTGGTCCATGGTGTAAGCCTGGAAAGGAAGCCGAGGAAGCGCTTGAACAACTTCTCCAAAGGCAAAAGGAGACAGGGCATATGTATCCCGGTACATACATGCTGCAGCGTTTTAAGCCACGGGCAAGGGCGCAGGCGAAGCGCGTGAAGGTTACTCCACCACCAAAACATGACCAGGTCATTTCTGACCACCATGACATTGAGATACGAACATGGAATTGGTGGCGCAGGCATCGTGATAGGAGGCGTATCTCTACTGCTAATATTGTTACTAAGCTCAAGTACTACTGGGTCGACCTAGAGAAGAGTATGCATTACCTTTGGTTCAATGTCGAACTTCAAGAGCACTAACTCTACGTAGCCGGCCCTACTCCTGACTTTGACGAGTTGGCAGAGTCATTAAGGATCAAGCACAACCTTGTGACTAATGAGGGAGGTCCGTATCCACTTGATATGGTGAGTCTTGAAACATTCCTGCGACGGCCCTATGGCAGAGATGCTGATTACTCCTAGCTTCATATGTACCAGGAGACCGGTCCCACCATGTCCACACAGACCAGAAATCGTCGAGAGCAAGCCAGGCCGTGGTGCTAGATCCCCGATACCAGGTCCTTCCTTTAACTGCAACCTTGCCTACAATCGATATGAGAATAGGTTATACTCTCTTCCAATGTTCCTCTTGATCGGGAGCCCACAGAAAGACTGTGGGTAAAATAACTTGGCTCTCATTTTGTTTCTGAAACTCTATGTGTTCCGGGTTCAGCTATATGTGTTTGTCGAGCCTAGAATCAGCAGGGAGTGGAATAAATTTACGTTCTTTATGATATCGATTTTCAACTTAGCATTTGGGGTATGGAGGTTACCAACATTTTTATACCAAATATTCCTGTCATACAATAGTATTTTATAGATGATTGAGATAGGTGGATATTCACCTTATATTGACATCGCTGAAGATTTTTCCTAGAGCTCCTCCCGGGTCGATGATTTGATGTTAGATGTACGTAGAGCAGGCGCCTATGGTCTGGTCCTTATCCTTGATAAAACCCCCCGCATCGGATAGGAATCTCAATGTCTTGACGTTTCTCGGCCATGATACATTCCAGAAATCACCCGGCTGAGTTGAGACACATGAACCTTGAAATAAATATGACGTGTGGCTTTATGACGCGGATTATCGGGGGAGCGGGCTGCCATCCACTGCAGTTGAGATTAATTTAGCTAACTAAACAAAGGTCCCTGCGCTAATCAACCATAATTCAGGACGGGCGGTGGTAAAAAAGGGAATTCAAACTACCCATATTATACTCGGAAAGAGGTTTCATCTGGCATTATGTCCACACACTAATCCACCACTTCCGGCAAACTACCCGTACACTGTTTGATGAGCATCACAATCCCGAGGACGCGGCGCCGTGCGGGCTCCAACCTGCAGACTCTGGATCGACTAGAAAACTCAACGCATCCGTCCGCGACCGGGAGCGGGGTGCAAAGACATAGATTTTGACAGCTTCAAAGGTGGGAATCCCGACATATCGCGTGATAGAGATATGGGTGAAGAGACACGAGGTGGGACGGCTTAATGGGCATTATATCACACGATATTTGTCATCCGCCAAGTCCATGAATACGCATTGATATATGGACACTTGTACTTGGCGGTGACACCACTGGGACCCGCGCGGGTCTTACAGCTACGTTCCGCTTTGTGGTATATAACGCACATGCGTCCGGCTTAGTACTACATGTATTTAGGGATGAAGCGGGGTGCATACGTGTACCAGGGAGGCAGCCTACGGTAAAGCAGTGGGGAAACTTCATATGATATGTATCCTTTCCGTCTCTCTAACACGGAAGAGGTTTGCTGACACAAATCATTTTTCAAGTCATCAACTGCTCCGTTACCGCCCGTATCCGGGAATGGCAGGTATTTAATGGATACATGCCTTCTTCCCGCGCGATAATAAAAACCCCCATATAATGGTGTTCTAGTCGCCGGCAATCTCTCGAATCACAGCACTCATAAGGACGGTACCTCGAAAACCCCGACGGGCCCGACTTGGCGGCGCTCGGGTTGTGCCTCCGGGTGTCGGGGGTTTGTGTTTTTCGGTTTTTGGGTTTTTCGCGGGAAGCGTTCCTCAAAGCATGCCATACCAGGTTCAATTGATGGTTTCCAGAGGCTTTGGGGTTCCAATTTACGTCTACAATCTCCAGTAACTGATTTCAGAAGGGTTATCATTGGTAGATTGTTAACAAAAATTATGAACGAATGTTCTCGTTCAAGGACCTACAGAACTACATGCGCGCCCCTCCAATAATAGCTGACTGCCGCGGGCCCGGGGCCGCAACGTCCTGATCGTTTGTCACTACGTGGTACAAAACAGTTTGGCAAGCCACCAGGATTGTCATGGATCTGAATGCCACGAGTGATAATGTGTGCTCCTGGGCGGTCTTTACTGCCAAGACATACCATATTGCAATATTTGCTCTTTAATGAAACTTAGATTACCGGTGTCCGAGAACCTACGGGATTTACTCAACAGAAGTGGCTGACTGTCGATAACCCCAGCCACCAAGTTCGAGTTGTCCTCCTGGGATGGTGCGCCACATGTATATGGCGCCACACTGCTGGGGTATTTCTTTTAGCGTACATTTGCGGTGTACGCTTTTGCTAGAGCACATTAAGACTTGATATTCAATCTTGAACAACCTGATAATGATCAGATTCTGACATCTGCAGTCTTTTGGCACAGGACGGGCAAAAGAGGACGATATATCGTTCTTCGTTGACCACATGGTTTAACCCTAGCCCTGTGAGAATAATATCAATGTCAAACAAACCCACTACAAATGGATGTGTCTATTGGAAAAATTGCTTGGGTTGTCCTATACGAAGTTGAACTTGAATCCCTAGGTCCTCAGAGGAATCTGTCCATATTGACGTTTTGGTGTATGAAACCCCGACCTTCGCTGCCACGTGATGCATTAGGCAACTCTCCCCGCTTTCGAGCTATCCCAAGTGTAGTTTATTACTACCACATTACAGCTTATTTAGCTACTTTCCAAGGACCACACTACGCTCAATCCCTTAACGACCCACCATGGCTGATAATACCGATGTTCCATACTCACCTCCGCAATACATTGTCAGCCGCTCCGTGCTTGACCGCGAGCAGCTTATCTCCGAATTTGAATGTACTCTACCCCTGATATATGCAGTGTTTGACGCGTGGAGGGCTGATGCATAATAGCTTTCAAACAGTCGCTTCACTATGTTTCACGGGCGCCAGAGGTGGTTTTTGAGCGGCTGATTGGAAATGTAGGTGTCTATCGTCGGCCTAGGTACAGGAGAGCTACTTCTAATCAAAAAATCTAAAGATAAACGAGACTATCCTCTCGCGACTTAGCAAACAACGCGCAGCTCAGCTCGCGGAACGCCGGGAACTGGAAAAAAGTAATGAGGCACTCAAGGCAAGGGTGGCGGGTTTCGAGGCGATTACCTTGCGAGAAAAGGACCAGCATGCGGGGCGGCTTGCGGAGCTTCAGGAACTTGGAAAAACGAATACTGCACTCAAAGAAAATGTGGCAAATCTCGAGACGATTACCACACGACAAGAAAAGCAATGTGCGACTCAGCTCACCGAGTTTAAGGAACTTGAAAGAAGTAATACTGCGCTCAAGGAAAAGGTGGAAGCACTGGAGAACGTTGAAAGGACTAATGCCGAGCTCGAGGAAAAGGTGAAAACACTGGAGAACGTTGAAGGGATGAATGCCGAGCTCAAGGAGATAGTGAGAGCTCTCGAGGAGAAGGTGGAAGTTCTCGAGGCGGAGATTCGACCTTTCAGGGCGGCGAGAGATTTCAAAGACGTACAGTGCCCCCAATCTTAAAGGTGACGGAAATTCAGTCGCTTATAACTTTGCCGCCAGGAGATGAGTCGGGGGTCTTTCCGCACAGCTTTGGTGAAGGCCGCGACGCAGTTCAAACAAATGTCTTGAGAAGTTTTCAATATCTATTTTTGTTATAGTTCCAAAGCCTTAGGGAATTGGAAGATTGGGTTTTTGTACATAAAATCGAGAAGAGTTCATACGCACGAGAACCGTCGGAATGCGAAAAAGTGATTAGGTTTAGGGGAGGCATAGGCCCCCTGATTGGCTCGGTGGGCCATACCGCAGCCATGAATCTTCCACTTCTAAATAGGCCGTGTCACCTTAAGAGTTTGTATATTTGTAGATTATTCAATCTCTACACATTCCAGATGTCACGAAGTTCATATCCCATGAACCGTAGAAGCCTGAGGTCCCAATTGGGTACTTTGCAACTCTAACCTAGATAAAAACACAAAAACGATATAATCCAGCCCTGTTCACTAATAACAAAGAAGCGGGAAAGTTTATCAACCGATCCCAATAAGAGCTCCTAATATAGTACTCACGAAGCTGGTGTTGCTGTGAATTTAAGAAAGGTCACTTTATTTCAAGTGGGACCCAATCGGGTCCTCAACTCGGTTGCTACGGTTGATGGGATAGGACCATTAATAAGAATCTTGGCTTATTATATATACATTGATGCCCTTCTCTCTGGTGCCAACAATTCTAAGACCAGCGTGTTTAAAGCCTTGTAAGCCGCTGAACATAGAACGATTCCCAAGCGGCCCGAACGCCTTGCACCTACCAGTAGGATACCCCTACACTCCTATGTCAGTTTACCTCCAACGGGCTCACCCGATGTACAACCTTACTTCTCTTCAGCAAAATGGGTACTCGGCTGGCCCTTGCATTCCGGATCTGACTCTTGCGCGTGAGGCCGGGGACCAGGAGACTCCAGGTCAAGAGCACTGCCGCCTCTTATCACAGAAACGATACAGCTGATTCCACAGCTTAACAGTCACAACCCTCCGACGGTTTTGGTCAGGGGTGGTGACCGGATGTCAACTGCAGAGTCTTGGAGAATAAGTGTACATATACTGAAGTGCACAGATATAAAAAGAGATCAAGCCGTGCCACCGATGGCTAAACCAGAACTGGGGGGCCCAACTCGACAAACCGGAATGGGGCGTAAAATCGATACGACATCAGTATAGAACTGAAGGTAACTACCACACACACAGCTCGCCGCAGCACCTGCGCAGATCTGCGGCATGGTGAGAGGTTCGGCATGGACCCTGACAAGATCTTGTCGCGGTATATCTTATGCGTGCTCTCCAATTGCGTAGGCGCTACCTGAAATCCTCCGCCGTGACCACTTCCCGGATAATGTTCCTCGGAATAGTCGTGCGGGCTCGGGTTCCTTGGGGTAAAGATACGATTGTCGCTGGCCTTTGGTTTCTGTGCTGGGGTTCATTCTCCGTATTGAGTTTATCAATGGGAATGGTTAGGAATTAAGAGCGAGATTTGCTCAAGGTCGGGGTTTTATGGCTTAGCTTTTAGCCACGGTATTTGGCTGCAGGTGTTATATACAGACCGGAAAACACCATACAGTATAGAGATCAAGGATGTCCTTCCATGGTTTGAAATGCCGAAGGTCGTTGGTGGTTAGGGACGGTGGGTGTAAACGCTGCATGGAACGGGGTCAAGATACCCTGCAAAATTTAGCATTCTCCGTCACCGAGGGCCGAGCTGCGCGTTCCACCACCTATTCCAGGAGGCGCGCAACCAGATGTCCAGGCCATGACCACCTCTCATGAGCGCCGAGTGTAACCATGCCGTCTATCACAGGCCTAGGATCAGTGCTACCGTAGCTACGACTGAACAGGAATGGAGTGACAGATATCGGTTGAAGCTCCCAGGAGGAAGGATCACCGGCGGTATGGAACCGGGGTTGCGGCGTGACTGAGAGTGGTCAAGTACTACACAGAGTCCACGGAGGGAGCCCCTAGTAGTAAGGTTAGCGCTTCTCCGTCCTGGGGGCAGGGGATGTGCAAACTCGCTCAACAAGGTCGTTTGCCGCGCAGGGCGGGGGAGTCGCGACCATAATGAAAGACAAGCTCCACTCGATAGGACCTTTCAGGTCAGAATCTAGCTTGATCCTCTGGTTTGAGGGGGTGCCGTTGGTGATCTGATTCATCGTTATTTGGCGAGCTCCATGGGACCCTGGTAAAAGATTGTTGAGCCGCAAAGCTTGAAGCAATGCCTCACAACACAGTGTGTGAGCAGCCCATTACAAAAACAGCTTGGAAAAAATGCATCCATATGGCCAAGTTCGCTTTCTATTGACCAGATAAAACAATCCTGATCCTAAAAGAATACCCCACCAGTGTGCCTTACCCAGCCAGACAAGGAGGTCTGGTTAGCCATAGCGCTCATAGATTAGATCTTGCCGATTAGATAAGATGTGATAGTGGCTGAGGAGGGTCTTGGCACAGCAATCACAAACTATAAGACCGGATTTGAGGTCAATTCTTGTGAGGAGCTACAGGTGCTCATATCATGATTTGTTGATTGTGTTCTATACCCTGACCTGGCTAACCGATAACTTACGAACATTTTATCTCATTGAACCTTAGTCAAGATTAAAATAAACGGTAAAAGACATAAATGTCTACAACAAATTGGTAACAACTCGTTCGATACTTTAGTTGCTACCAGGACTCCAAATTTTATGAATTTAAAAGAAGATTCTAAAATTATACCGGCCCCCAATCATGTTTGATCATGTTGCTCCTTTGAGGTTATCGATGGTATTTTGGTTGATTGTTAAGGTTGTTAGGGTTGAAGGAGGTAGATAAGTGCCACAGGCCAACAAAATTGATGCAAGAACTACGTGTATGTAATAAGTTCACAAAAGCTTACGAGAGCCCTGAGCATATGGCTAATAATATGTATCCCCATTCAAATCTTTCTCAATTTTTTAAGTTGAAAATAGGTAAGAATTTGCCTGTGCTGGCTGGTTGTTGCGAAACAACGGTAGGAACTGTGGATGGGTGGGTGATGGTTTGTGATCGCACCCATTAGTGATCCACTAAACCCCGGCCCTGAAGAACCCGTGGTTCCTGCGGGAACAAGGCTCGATAATACAGAAAGCTGATTAATAAGTCTTTTCTCCCGCCAACGAAAATTTCCTTTGATTCATTTTCTTTCGGGAAATTCCTCATTTCCTTTTGTCATTTCTTCATGCCATCTAGAAAATCCTTTATGCATTTCATTTTTCATTTCTTCTGGCGATTTTAATTTCCTTTTACGCAGTTAGTGATGGCCAGGAGGCGAGCGGGCTCGAACAACACGAGCTCTGTTACCAACGAGCCCGAGCCTAGGGTCGAGCCTTGGAAAGTATTACTAGTGGTAGTAGAAGATTATAGCTTGGTGACATATATAAAAGTATATCCTCCATCGCTCATCCTAATAGGTATATATTTATATACCGACGTACTGTGAGGTCTATTTTTAGGCAGGATCGTAAGAGCTCGAGCCCAGGCTCGAGCCTAACATCAAGGCTCGAACAGGTCGAGCCCCCCTCCCACCACTCGAGCCGGGTGGTGGACATCACTACACGCAGTATAAACAAGGGCATCATAACTTCACTTTTAAGAACCCTCTCTAGTATGAAAAGATATGGTGTGATAGTAGCTAGCATATATTCTATGATTTACGTATAATACCAAGTAACGATCCATTCTCTTTGAGTTCCCCGTCATCTACCACTTGCCGCAGCTGTGCCGCGGGAGTCGTTACATACATCTTTCATTTAGCAAAAGTCTTGAAATGCTACAGGATTTATCTGCGTGCGATCCGACTGCGGTTCTGATATTGATACTGTATTTCTAGTATAAGTGTGTGAGGTTACTTCGATATCCTCAGACTCCACTGACGCAGTAGAGGCGCGGATTGTGTCGAGCCTTCTTGTCTAGATATTTAGGTTCAGCGACTCAATTAATAAATACCTTATTAGGTGGATGTAGAAACCCTAACCCACGGTCAAACAACGGCTTAAAACCACATGTCCGCCACGCAGCGATAGGGCTTAACTGGAACGTAGTGTCACAGCGCTGTTTAACCCGTTCGGCTAGACTTCTAATATCTTCCTCGCCACGTTTCTTGTGTGACCCGGTACACCGGTTGAAAAATACTGCTCAGCCACTACAATTCAATTTATCATTTAACCTTCCTCAAGCATAACTAAATACAGCCAATATCACTGGATAACCTACAAAGAAATAAATAAACAACCACAGACCCGCCCGCAGGCACCGCCGCCAGCCTACCCCCACCACCAATCAATCACAATCCATTCATTCAATTACACTTCCAAGAGCTTCATTATCACCCTCACCTATCTGACTCCCCAGCTGCGAGCTCTCTATCGCCATCACCAACCTCCCCCTCTTCCCCGCCTGCAGCGCCGCCGCCTCCTCCGCCAATCGCACATTCACCGGCCGCGCATCTTTCTGCGCCGCTACGACCTCCAGAAGGCCTTTCACGCAGAGGGCATATTTCTGCCAGATGCTATCGATGAGCTCGCCGTCCTCGATGGTCTTGTTGGGCTTTGCGTTGTATAGGACTGTGAGCTCGTCGCAGGAGTCACGGAAGGCGTGGAGCTTGGCCATGCGGACTTCGAGGATGGGGGTCCAGGTAACGGTTTCGGAGCCGGGGTTGGTGACGAGGGAGTGCAGGATGGGGAGGGAGATGTGGAAGCGGTGGAGGCCGGTGGTGAGGGGGTGGTTGTGGTGAGGTCGAAGGTGGAGGCATCGCTGGGGGCACTGCTGGAGGCGCTGCTGGAGGTGGTGGACATTGTGTGTGGCTGAGTGGTGGTTTATCTAGTTGTCTGTGGCTTGGAAATTCTGAGTGTGGAATCTATGGTATGGTAGAAGGGGGTCGAGCGCTTTATAAATAGGAACTAATACCGGGTATAGAATATAAATCTAGCACGCTGTATCCCACGTTTAGAATTATTTTCTGCACATTTTCAAAGCGCTGGAAACATTATTCGATCTGCATCTTCTTTGCTATCGGATAGGTTTATATCCTTGGGCATACAACCTAATTCGTTTGAACACAGAATTATTAAAACACTAACACTTTTGACTTGAATCTTCATTCAAGTTTCCCACAACTACTACCAGCATCCACCGAGCGGAGTGCCTTCGGGGCTGAGTACGTTATGCTCTTTACCGATTAATCCTCGGCACAGTAGCTCTTCCTATACTATCGGCTAATATAGCTCAAGATATGTACACAACACAAGTAGAATCTACAATTTGCTAGGTGAGAGCGGAAGCGGTAAGTCAACGCTATTATTTTGTGTTAGGGCTACGAGTGAGAATCCATGATGTGATATGATTAGGTGTAGTATGATTTTTAATTTTTTGAAGGAATACAGGGGGTTTAATAGATTTGTATGCAGATGGAGAAAAGTATATTAGTTGACCGCATGTTCAAGAGTGAAGTCAGTCCGCTCCCTAGGGCTTGCGACTAGTTTTTAAAAGGTCGCTACTGGAGTCTTGCGTGGGGACCCCATAGGGGTTGGGATTACCCTCGTTGTAACTAATACTTTGTCTTCGTATTAACAGTGTACTTACATGTAGCCAACCGTGCACATTGCGATGTCCCAGTGTGGGTAATATGCTGACAGCGGATGAACGGGGGTGTAGTCACGCTTGACATGCGGGTATCCGTCGAGCTGCGCCGGTGCGCGTGGCAAAGGTCCGTGTGGGTGTAATGCTACGTGCTTCTGATCTATTATATGTGGTTTACGTGTAATCCGGAAGTTATAAGTACAGCTGGCCACACCGAGATGAGAGGTCTCGGGGAAGACATGTTGTCTGGTACGCCATCTGACCTGTCACTAGTTCAACCACGAAGATGATGAGGAACGTGAGCTCATAATATGTCCCGTGAAGTAGTATTAGTCGTTTATATCGCTAGTGCAACTTACTGTCTGTAGCACAGGTCTCCTGTCCTCGTGTGCTTTGGGTGTGTCTTCTGGTCATGGAGTATCACTCGCGTTGTCAATCATCTTCCGCTGGTTTTGATTATGACAGGCTGAATTGGTCCATCCATAGCTTGGTGATATATCGATGGCCATTGTAAATGTGTAAAGAGGAGGACAGAACACATATACTATCAGCTCTCTCAGGTCATCCCCTGCAAATACACTACTTGCGGAATTCGCGGTCGAGTCCCTGCCACCTCTACGCCCACTGCGTACCATGTAACTAGATATACTTGCACCTCTCCATGCGGAACACGCACGTATGATCAAGACAACACTCTTTCCTGTGCTACCACTCGGAGCACGCACCATATGCGCAATGTCCCGGCGGCTATGCGCATCTGGAAACCAACCTAATAGCCACCTGTCCTTACGACAGCTAGTGAAACATGAATACCGCCCCTTGTTAGCTACCCCTCCCTCCGCACTCTTCCTCAGGTTCTGAATTGACTCCGCGGAACGCATATATACCCCCACATCACTGCACCTGGTTCGTACGCTTTCTGATCCTTAAGGTTGACATCGAAGTAGACGAAACGTCCTACAAATACAGCAGCGCCGGATGATATGAAAACACCAAAGTCTATTGCACCTCGAGATAGTCGGTCATCTCAATGCCTACATAGGACAGCATTCTATGTACCAGTTGTGGGTGGAATAGGCCATTCTACACATGTACCACGCAACCCCCCACGCAATACTATGGTCTTTCTAACACTCCAGCAAGACCCGTTGAAAGGTCATTTCCAGGTACGGCGGTACATATAGGCAAGTATATGTACAAGTGCCATGAGGCCTCCTCCTCCAACTACACCCCGCACAGTATCCGCCACCGACACCTACCAAACATACCCAACCATAAAGAACCCCAATCTCAATGTCCATCCCCCCACCCCCCACCCCCCTCCCCCTCCGCCTCCCCCCCGCTCCCCCTCCTCCAATGCGACACCCTCCACACCCAACTCACAAAGTTCCACTCCACGGTGTCCATCTACCGGGAGCTGTTCTCCAAGCCCGGCGCGCGCACCGTCAACTGGGCGCCGCTCATGGACGTGAAGTATACACAGCTAGTACAACACAACGCGTCACTTAAGGCTGTCAAAGCTACCCTCGACGACAAGGCCGACCGCACGGCGGAGGAGGAGGAGGCGTATAAGGGGGTGTGGAGCCTGTATTTGGCGGCGCTGCAGGGGTATGGGGACTTGTGCGAGGTGTTGAAACCGAGGGCGGGGGCGGCGGTGGCGACGGTGGGGGTGAGGGCGTTGGAGGGAATGAGGGGGGAGGGGTGGGTGGATTGGGGGGTGGGGAGTGTGAGGAGGGAGGGGTGGGGGAGGTAGGAGGGTGAGTGGGGAGCGGTGGTGGGTTGGGGGGCGTTTTCTGGGCGGTGGGCTATCTAGTTTGCATGCTTATTTTATTCTCCTGGTCAAAGAAAACTATGTTTGGTCCGCTTTGTGACATGGATTTATCAAGGCGCCCTGGTAAAGTCATATCCAGTTTTTCCCTTGCTATATCGGTTTTCGATGCATGCTGTCCAGGGCAAGAGGAGGAAGTGAGGAGCGAGAGGATGACTTCTACATGTATTTTCGGAGCATATATATGTTTTCCTACAAAGGCTAAAACGCGCCTTTTCGAGCGTTACTCCCTTTTCATTTTCGGCGCCTCTGTCTCTCATATTCATTATTCAATGTTAGAGAAAGTATGTAGGAGAAGTAAAGTAATTGATCATGTTGATTGTTCTAGCTAAGGGGGAATGCCCCGTATTTATACTAATGAAAGGTAGGACAAAAGGAAATACAATGAGTCATAGACGTATGAGTAATAGAATGACTAATAGCAAAGTGAGTCATGCGCCGATGACAAATACTATAATGAGAATCTTCCAGAACTATGAAACGTGCTGAGCGTCCTATTTCAAGAAATGTGTCACATCGAGCTAGTCAAAGGCATGAGAGGGAGAACATCAAAACTACGTTATCATTATTAACGAGCCCCCATGTAGTTAACAGCAGCAAAGGAAAGAAGGTTAACATGGGGGTTGGGCGTGGCCCAGCGGTATAGAGCTCACACTCTGTACCGAACTCGTGAGCGTTCAACCCCCCTTCCGGACGTAGAAAAAGACGTAGCAACCGAGGCCTAGAGCGGTGTTGTGAACATTTTGTTTTGTAAATTATTGATGTCGAGAGGGCTTTTTTTTTTTATTATTATAATATTCGAGGTATGACCGGGTACTTCAAAATAAGACCCGATCCACCGCTCCTATAGGGTATAGTAATTTTGCAGCTAGCACTGCGTCTTTCAGAACTGCCTTTGTTCACAATTGTCGGCGATAGTCACAAACCCATACGAACAATCCAGTATGTCTTCACCAAGCCGAATTAACCATTGTTGCTACTCAGCATTGTTCCTATCCAGCTGGCCAAACCAACCAGCAACCGGCATTTGCGAAATCTTATTCGTCTTGAGTTTTTATATAATAGGAGATAATAGGAGATAAAGTAGCCACGCTATAACTCCAAAGTTGGGCATAAAATGCGTAAAGTCAGGAGATGTTCAAGAATGAGAAAGGAGGAAAAGATCTGTAGCACTAGCATTAGGAAACGAGAATAGTAAAACCTCCTATAGTGTTAGGTATCAAGAGCATCAATAAGAAGAGCCCCTACAACACAAGCACCACGAAACGCCCCTCTTAAAACCATAATCATCAATTGAACCCTAACTACTCTATCACAAAAACCCCTCCGCAAACCCACCAACCCCCTAAGCGCCCCTCCTCCCACCCATAACCATCCATCCCCCACCCACGCCTTCAAAAACACCACCCTCCCCCTCTCCCGATCCCACCCCAGCCTCACCACCTGTCTATACGCCACCCGCACCTTCTCCATCTCCCTTTGCATCACCGCCCTCTGCTCCTCCACCCCCGCCCTCTCCCGCAACCTTCCCGCCAACACCCCCTGCTCCTCATACCCGCCCTTGCACGCGCCTACAACAGCCTCAACAATCCCATCCACAGCCTCAAATAACTCCCGCTTTGCCTTATGATACGACGCATACACCTGTACGGCCATGGCGTCTTCGTTGCTGAGGGGGGTAGATCCGCCGCCACCGGCGGTGTATTGAGATGGTAGGATGGACGCGGCGAGGATGTCGGTGGTGGTGGTGGGAGCATCGTGCAGGTGGCAGGTGCGGAGGATGGCGGCGGCGGCGGCGTGGGAGGCGGGGGTGTGGTGCGTGGAGGTGTGGCGGGAGGTGCGGGTGGGGGTGTAAGCGGCGTAGAGGGCGGGGTCGAGTGTGAGGAGGGAGCGGCGGTAGGTGTAAAGGATGTGGGTTGTGAGCGCGAGGGAGAGGACGGCGGGGGTCACGGGGGAGGTGTGCATTTTTGCTGTGGCGGGGGGTGGGGGGGGGGGGGTGGGGGGTGGTGTTTTTTTATTTGGTTTTTTTCTTCGGTTGTGGATGGTTGTGGGGTGTGTTTTGGTAGTGGGTTTGGGTTTGCGCGGGATTGGAAGATTTTTTGGGGTTGTGGTAGAGTTTTTTATGGATTTTGCAGCTAGCTGAGCGGGCTTGGCTTTGGGAGTATGTTCGTATTGACAACCTCAACTCCAAAACGCCCTACTTGTTCACCTGAAATCCAAGTCTATGTGCGTTCCTTGAATTAGCTGGCTGTGATCGACCCTCTCCCGAAAAAAAGTCAGAGGAAACCTGATATGACAATTTTATTTTCTTTGTTTAATTCATTAATTAACTCCTATAAAATTAGCGTTAAACAACAAATAAGAAAAGCTCTTACAACGTTAGTATTAAAACATAAGGCGAGAATCGAAGAACTCCTACACCATCAGCATCAAGAAAACATCACAAACAAAAAAGTCCCCCATAACCCCAACCCCCCCTCCTACGCAAACATCTCCACCCACCTCCCCCCCGTCGCCTCCAAAAACACCACCCTCCCCCTCCTCTCATCCCACCCCAACCTTCCCACCCCCCGGTACGCCACCACCATCGCGTCCATCTCCCCCTGCATCACGTCCCGCTGCCCATCCACCGCCCCCGCCACACACTCAAGCAACTCCTTCTTCGCCCGCCGATACGCGCCATACACCTGTACACTCATGGCGTCCTCGCCGCTCAAGGGAACGTAGCCAGCACCGGACCCACGCGCGGCGCCGCGTAGGCGGGAGGCGTAGTCGGGTGGGAGGATGTCGCGGGCGAGAATGTCGAAGTCGTCGGCGAGGACGTCTTGGATGTGGCAGGTGCGTAGGAGGGCGGCGGCGGCGGCGTGGTCGCCGGGGGTGTAGGGCGAGGTGGGGGTGTAGGGGGCGTAGAGGGTGGGGTCGCGCATGGTGAGGGAGCGCCGGTAGGAGTGGAGGATGTGTGTGGTGAGGGCGATGAAGAGGACGTTGTCGCTGACGGCGGAGGTGCGCATTGTTGCTGGTGGTGGTGGGGTGATGGGTGTATCTGCGGTGGTTCTTCCGATTGTTAGCGCTGTAGTGCTGGTAGGGGAATGTTTTGGGGTGTTTATGCGATTGTGGCGGATTGGATCTAGGGTGTTAGGGAGTTCAGGTGTTTGCAGCTGTGGGGATGTGGGTAGAGGTGTGTTTATTGACCACCTCGACTCTGAAAGGCTTACTTCTCCAATTGAAATCCAGGTCGATGCGTGTTCATTAAATTAGCTTGCTGTCTGCTATCTTCCCCCACGAAACGAAGCTGAGTATAGAATAGGAATTGAAGCCCAACTCCCGCTGGTCTTCTATCCGTCGTGAGAGGCGAGCACAGTGACAGCTCACACAATTCCACAAGTGTTCCACCACACGCCTTTACCGTTATGTGTAGCCTGAAAATCCCGAGTCCCACAGGGCCTGTGATCGAGTGATAGCCTGTGAATCAAGCTCTGTTTGTCATACCAAGCCGTTGCCCTAGAACACCTTACCTGATTCATTTCGCACACCTTTCCCGATGGATTTTCCGAGCATTTAACCTTAGTTGCTACATCATCCATTGCAATATAAAAGAAATCGAGTAAGGTGCTCTGGGAAGGACATCGGGGAAGCTGCGGGGAAAGGCGCCAGGAAGAGCATCTGCTCGCTCTACAAGCTCTGGAAGTCAATAATTCTATAAGTTTGTTACTCAATCATAAACAGTAATTGAAACCGAAATTGGATGGGTTTACATGTGCGTGGCTGCTTTATGAATTTACACTCAGTGAATGCCTTTACCAATGCCTTTAATTTCCCGATGTCTTTCCCACTGTCTTTACCGAGAGCTTTCCCGATATCTTTCCCGATAGCTTTCCCGATACTTTTGCTGATTACTTTCCTGATGCTTTGCCTGATTTACTTTCTGGCACCATACTTGATGCATGCTCACAAGTGCCTTTGCCGACGCCTCTTCCCTTTGCAACGATTAATATATCAATTAAGTGCAGGTAAATGTATTGGGAATGTTGTCGAGAAAGGCATCTAGAAATGCGTCGTGAAAGGTGTCGGGGAACGCGCCGGCAAAGGTTTCAGGAAAGCATCGAAGGAAAGGTGCCAAGAAAGGCACTGGGAAAGGTATCCGGAAATAGGCTAGGGAAGGCATCGGGAATGGCGGCAGAGCTGTTACTGCCATTGGCTTTAACAACATGGATGGATATGAAATAACGGGCTCGCAGATGTCAAACAGCGCGTGGGATGGGCCGGACTGCGCCGCCATTTTCATTAAACGCGATGACTCCCACGTACGCTACACGGTTAAGGAAGAGGATACCGGTGGGGATGTGTCCTACTTTGGTCGGGTATTGTTCTACATGCACCATCTGGTTCCGGCGCAGGCACAGGATAAGAGTATGAGTCCGGAGGAGGACAAGTTGGAGGACTCGGAACGCGGCACACAGGGTGACTCGGTGCAGATGTTGGCGTACGTCCAGTGGCATATCGTCGGCAGAATCCGTAAACGCAAGCTGGCGCACAAGGTGAAGGATTCCATCAAGGAGTTTATTGAGGTTAGCGATATACAAGAGTTGGTAGGGTTCATACAGTCGCACGGTCGGCTGTTCTATGTCTCAAAGACGTCTTGCTTCTGGCCGAAGAAGAACTTTGCCTGGAATGAAGTTATTGATAATGGAGAGTTTCTCCCCGAGAAGGAGGACTGAGAGAGATAGATAGATAGATAGATAAATAGAAATGGTTTGATGATGGTCGTGAGTTGTACGTAGTGAAGAGGCGACGTTGGGTTCTTATGTAGTTTCCAGAAGTGTGGTGGTGTAGTTGTACTAGTAGTCTTGTCATGACTTTTCGGCCTAACCGAGTTTGGAACATGACACCGGCAACAGCCGGGACACACTTAACCTCACCTCTTTACTCTCGTACTATACTGGAAATGCTAACACACCGGATTGTCCTTTTTCTATACACTTTTATTAAGTCAATCCTTTTGTACATAGCATCTATCTGCGCCGGTGTAGTGCTCGCCGGCGATGAAGCACATTTATTTATACATACATAGTGCATTTATCTCACACTTTTATCGACTTCCATTATTTAACCCATTTCTCGTGCACTTGTCAGTATATAGATTTATAGCTGGAAACGTGGGATACTATGGAATACACTTTTCTAGATACTTAATGATACATACTCTTTATATGCAATTATCCTGCTATTACGAACTCGCCTGTGCTTGTGGCTTATGAGTGCAGGGCTGACCAGAATACCAGATTCGACACGAATTAAATATTGCAATACCTTATCATTCATTACACAGATTATCAGGAGGCGATAATCACTGGTGAGGGGATAAGTTAAAGTGCATCCTAAGTGATATAGCAAAGCATAATCTTTTGTGTTTGGTTGTGCTTTCGGTGGTATCCCATTTTCTGGTGCCAGGATAAATTAAAGTATGTTGTAAATTGTATATAAACGTTCAAAAGATTTGTGTTAGGTATTGTGCTCTCGGTGGTATCCCATTTGCTGGTTCCGGGATAAATTAAAGTGTAATTATAAATCATGTATAAAAGTTTAAAAAATTTGTGTTAGGTATTGTGCTTTCCGCGGTGTGCCCCGTCTCTGTGCATAGGTAAGTATAAGTGTATTATAATGGACAGAGCAATGTGTAATGAATTGTGTCCGGTTATGGGATTCTAATTACACTGTATGTCTGTTCTCACGTACTACTAATAAGTGTCTGTTAAGTGAAAAACTGACTGCTATCATTTTAGGTGATGGTGATATCGGAAATGGATATATTAATGTGTTGTGTATTGCGTGAGGTAAAGGATTTGTAAATGTAATACACACACTCCGTTAATAAATGCTACTCGGGAGGCGTGGACATAGTGTTGGGAAGCATCACACCACTGCTTATGGTAATGCGTTGAGTAAAGTTTCAGGAAATGCATGCTCAGGGTCAAGAGCTGGAATGTGCAGAGAAAGGTATGAATGAAAGGAACACTAAATGCGTTAGTGAAAGATAACAGGAAAGGTCATCGCAAATGTATGTGGAATTGCGTATTGTAATGGATGACGCAACCTGCACCACAAACCAGTGGGCGGGCGGCGGGATTATGAGTATGTTAACATGTCTGGTAATAGAGATTGTCGTATGGGTGGGGAAAGTGCATTTGTATGGTACATGTTTTTGTATTAGGACAATGGATTACAGAACGAGGACAACCGCTAGTACAAAGGTATGTATATATTAATGGCACTCACGATTTAAGCGAGCAACTGGTGTCGAAATGTTTAGATAAACGCGTTAGGAAATGTGTAAAATATTGGTATTCGCGGTTTGAGCCGAATTATGTGTGTCGTGTTGCACCTCGGGTAAATACGGCAAAAGAGCAAAAGAATAAATATAATGGTGAAGAAACTGGACGGCACGATGGACAGGTTCGCAGATGGTATACGGGTAAAGAAATGTGTAACACAAGGTGTTAAGCAAAGGGATTCACTGGGAAGCACTTTAACATACACGTTAACGCATGTCTAACACCCCATATCACAAACGGAAATGTGTTAGGAAATGCACTTCGAAGTAAAGACATAAAAAATGTGCACTATATAATGTCAAGAAAAGGGATTCATGAATGGAAATGTGCTAGGAAATGTAATCCGAAGTAAATACGTGAGGTATTGTGTAGTAAAAGATGTTCGGAAAAGGAATCCACCGGTGGATCCCTTTAACATATGCATTGACGCCTATCAGACGTCGCATCACCTAAACCGAAATGTGTTAGGAAACGGGATTCAGCGCAAATGGGTGAGGAACAGTGTAAAATAGAGTGACAAAAAAAGAGATTCACGGGCGCAGCACGTTAACATATACCTTAACGCGCATCACAGGAGACATAAGCGACGCAAGTCTTTGGAAATGCATCCATGGAAATGCATCACGGTATCCCTTTTCCATAAACGTCCCTGTGATTCATTTCCATAGCTGGTAGAGGTAAAGAAGATAACAAAACTGTTTCGTAGGAATCACAGAAATGATTATTGAAGAGAGCGTGCTCGACCAAAAAACCAAAATCACCCTATAAAAGTCCGCAAAACTAGCCTCTATGTGCTATCATATTCCAATCAATCCCTACTCTGTTCCTTAAAGAACCCCCTGTAAAGATAAGCCATGGCAGCCCCTCCTCCCCCGGACCCCGTGGTGTCCCACACCATCACCGGCGCCGCCCTCTCCCAAAACGTCACCTCCAACAAACAAGTCCGCGCCACCATCAAAGCGCACAAAACCCTCCTCAAAAGCCCGCAGGCCCGCTCAATCCCCTGGTGCCAGCTCCTCGATATCGAGAAATAGAAAATCCACAGCCACCGGGAGTACTACATCGTCGCCGAAGAAGCATAATATTGTGATGCAATCGACATTATCGATGTACTGACGTCCTGGGATTTGAATGAGGAGCATTACTATGCAGTGAAGAGGTGGCGTCAGCTGAGGGATCAGTATAATATTAATTGGGATAGGGAGGGAAGGCCGCTTATGGATGCACGTCCTAAGATAATTGATCTGGGGATAGTGGGAGTGAGGCTGAGGAGGATGAAGCTGATTGGGAGGGGAGCGGAGATATCACGGAGCCTGAGCGGTGGCCTCAGAGCGTTCCTGAGTCGGAGGAGAATCAACCTGTCGTCTATAGACCTTACTCCCGGCTGGGACGCGGAGTGCCACGTAGGATACGCCCTATGACACCGATTGACGAATAGTTGGTTGGAAGACAGCGGGAGCTGAATGTGAGGTTAATTATCAGTGCCATGGTGAGATGACCGGTCTCTGGGTCCGATGAAAAATATATAATGACAATATTGATGGATAGGAATACATAGAGATGGAGAAGAGCATAAAGAATTGTTGTAGAAGGTTGATAGAATAGTTTTACCCAAAAGGCTGAGCTTAAAATGATAACAAATATAGGTGTTCTTAAATTTGTCTCTAGAATCTATTATATATGATCATTGACTTTGGTGGCTACTATACTATAAACATGTGATATGATTACCTCAATTTAGAATATTAATAATAACAACGGAATTGAAAAGAAGTAAATCAATGCTCCTATTCGCGCCAGGGGACAAATGCGGGGGTGCCGGTGTTTGGGTTGTGTATTTTCCTAAATGAGGATTTGATCCATATTCGTGGGCAAGACGTAATTAGCAGTGGGACATAGGCTAAAAATCGTAGAGCGACTGCGTTTTTGATCTTACCACCTGGCTGCTTAATCCTGCTGCGCGACCATGATCTATCACTCGTTTACTACTTGACAGCTTGGCATTAACAACTTCCGTGTGATCAGTCGAGCCACATGTTCTAGCATAGATTTTTGAATAGGTGTTAGAACACATTGTATTAGTTACGTGGCGGGATTCGGTTCGGTATAGGTGTTAATTCCGTAGAGCATATAAAATTACACTGCGGCACCCATGTCTTTGGTGAAGGATAGGACGCCAATTATTTTAATGCGGGCTCGTTGGGGACGGTAGTTATCATTACTTACATTAACTCCGGCGATATGAGACAGGAATTTCTGTAGCAAGGTTTGATTGGTTCGGTAAAATCTAGGTCGTTAGGTAAGAGCTGGGGGAGTCGGGACCGCCAGAGGTGCATCAAATGAGGCAATGGGCCCGACCACATTGGTGTTGAAACAACCATAGCTTATGAAATAACGGGGTTTTGCATGCCTGTTGATTTGAATTAGCAAGGTCAGTGGGTGACTGGAATTAACTATAGAAAAGATGCTTACCCACCCGAAAACTTTATCTCTGCAGGACTCAGTAGGCATTGATCTACCAAGCAAAATATTCCGATTCGTTGGTATTCTAAGACTTTCATAGCTAACCTATAGTATAGAGGAACCTGTACCCTGTGCCCAACCACTGCGAAGACAACAGTGAAATCTCGAATAATGGAATACGACTCAATCACGGTACGCCCGCCTGCCTGTAACTGGGCTCAAGGCGCCTGCTTCTGTTCGTCCACCGATAACAATGCGGACAATACTGGCGTACCAGCACCAAAATCATCCCCAACACGGTCAAGCAGTAGAGAAGATGAAGAGAGCAAAGACGCGACTTACCATCCGCCGCGGAAGAGAGTGAGAGGAACATACAGGGACGCCAATTCTTGTACACCACCGAATGAAACTCAGGAATGCAGACCTCTTTGGGCAAGCTCGCGGATTAATAGAAACACCGCGATAGGTGACCTCCGAGTAGGAGACCAAGCTCTCGAAAACGCAGGTAGGCCCACCCCCAGTATACAAGACTCCCCGCAGATGAGAACAAACTCTACACCACGCGCTGCGACTCCAATCCTCTGGCTTGCAGAGAGGCGGAAACCGATGCCGTTCTCCACGCCCACCAATTCAGCCGCAACGGACGAGAATGTGGAAGCTAGGGCTGTAAAGGAGGAACGTCTCAGTATTGAACGAGAGTTGAGTATGGAATCACTCCAGGGTATGTTGCCCGCCCCATCAACCACACCGAAGAACAGTGTGAAGGTCCAAGAGGAACCTGTCCGAAGAAAACGTGAGAATTACGCGGAAATGACAGAGTCCATGCCGCCCGCCCCGCCTAGCACCCGGGGTACGCCGCGGGGGGAACCCGAAGTCAAGAAGGAAGATATCGATATTAAGCGTGCGGGAGGCGCGCACTCACCTGGTGCTCGGGCAGCTGAGGCTGAACTACTCGTCGATGGTCGCCATACGGCGGAGGAGATCTCTGTGGCGGAGGCGATTCTGATGCTGGCCGTTGCACTGCAGGCGTGTGGAGGCGAGCAATATCGAGGGGAGCAGATATCTAAAACTAAAAGTATGAGAGATTAGCTAGTATGGGGGAACGGTTACCGAAGAGATTTAGGACAGCTTGTGTCTGGGGATCATGGTGTTTGGTGGAAGTGGTATGTATGGTCGGCGGAGGAGGCGAGAGACATTGTTCGTAGCCTTGCGTATCTAGATTTTGTTAGTGAAACTTACTAAAACATTACGTTTATCGTCGGTGGATTCGGCTTTGCTGGTATCAGTGACGGGCGCTTTTCCTATTTGACGTTGTTTGGAAGCGAATACATAGCCCTAACCCTAACCCTGGTAACACAGTACCAATAACGTTAAGTGAGCATCTATGGCGATTCGAACTCCCGACCACTTGAACGACAAAAACCTAATTACCTCATGAGGCAACCCCAAGGAAACGCAACAGGGATAACAAGGCCATTTTATTTTGGGTGATGGTTATTGGATTGGGTGAGTTTTATAGGGACCCTGTCTCGTGCCTAGACTTTCTATGACTCTGATTGGCCAATAATCAGGTGTGCTCATTGGTCAATCATCGGGTATGCACTTCCATCATAGATAGTCTGGTTTATAAGGGATACTAATTATGTGGGTGAGATTTGGGTAGGGATATGGGTGATTTGGGTTGTTTGTTGCGGTTCCGCTGTGTCAACATGTGAATACATAAATGTAATTCCGGGGGTTCTTTAAAAACCACAATTTAAAAACACATAGTTTGGACTAAGATAATATTTTCCGGGTTGAAATTAGTAGTAAGAGAGTATTTAGATGGAGTTTCTGTCTTTTCCCGGTGAATTATTTTGTATTTTTGGTAAATATGCGATTGAGATCTGAATTCGAGAAAAGGCACCAAAAGGCATCCGGGCAGACAATTTCAACTCTGACATGAGAAGTGAGAAAGGGCATGGTATTCCAGAAACATATTTTGATACACACTTTCTGATCACTGAAATGCCTACATTTTTTAAGACATAGGCTGGAGAGGGGTTCAATAATTTACTGTTGGCATTGTCATATGGGGGTAGTTTAGTTCCAGACTAACTAAGAAGAAGCTGCGAGAGGTACGAACATTGGTGCCAAGGGGTTTGGCTGGGTACGAGACAGTTAGAGACCCTCAATTGTCTGACAAATAGCTCTCAAAACGTGATTTCAAGTTTGTTTCCTCGGACACCGATCGAAATGCAGAGTTCATATGTGTTTTGCAGCAGATTGAAGCACAATAACCCGCGCACTATTAGTCACTGGAACAAGATCTGTCATAGAACGTGATGAAGTAGTTGAATTTATAAATCCATTTTATAAATCTTGTATATTATTAAGACGCAAAAACAAGGATAATTTCAGAAGGCATCCAAACACCACCGTCCATACGCCGCGGACCGCTCAACTAAACTGAACCCTCAATCCTAACTAAAGAACGCCTAAGAATAACGGAAATAGCGTTTCCTACCCCATGTTTCCTACATGGTAACGTAATTCGGTATATCTGCCTCAGGCAGTCCGATAGATTTCATAGCAGTCGGCACACCGTTTGTGCCTCCTAATAGTATCGCCCTTGAAAATCTTAACAGTGCAGAGGTGGCTGGCGGAGCAGCGCTTGATCAAGATGTCAAACTCGCAGCCGCACACGGTGTACCATTTGAGAACGTATTCGCACATGATGGAGGATTTGTTTGTTGAGTTGTGAAAATTGTTGCGTGTTTCTAGGAGTAACTGGAGGCGAGTATACAAAGTGCAGAGTATTGTGCGGTGCTCAGCTCAGGGAGAGGTGCGCGGATAAGAGAATTTAGCAAGCATAAAATAGGGAAGGAGGGGGGGCAGAGGGCATATATAAGCGCTACTGGTAGGTAGGACTTGGCTCATTGGGCCTGCATTCTATGAGAGCCGACGGCGGGGGACAAGAGGATAGATGTCTGATGACCTATCATTTCAATGCTAATTGTGCTTTAGGCTTAGTAGGATCGTCCCAGCACTGCGTACCTGCAACCATAGGTTTCTTCTCCGGGCAGGATTTCCAACAGTTGTAACCGGTTGTTGTTCCCAGTAAAAATAAAGTGAACTGAATAAAATGGCCGACAACTGAACCGACTAAATAAGAACCGGTTTATATTGCGGAACCATTGTAGGGTTTTGGTGCGGAGTCTACCAGGCACTCTACGTGACAAAAGGTGTCCAAGGTTAGGGTTTCTCATAGGGTGTTCGTACTGTGTATGAAGAGTTCCAACTGCATAAGAAACCGGTTTTGCGGACGGTAGAAACTTGACTAAATAGGAAGAAGGTATGAACTGCTTCCTTAAACTGCTTTAGAAAAGCGGTTTGAACTGAGGAACCGAAGAGCTATGAGACGCACTGTCTCCGGGTGTTCAGCGGCGGTGATTAAGAGAAAGGCCGATATCGAGGGGAAGACAGGTGACGTAGGAAAGAAGCGTCCCTTTTACACCAAGCAATTGAGGTGTTAAACACTCTCCTCGCTTCACCCAGCACTTCATGAAAAGAAAAGAGGTTAGCCTCGACTCATCCCCGCCCACCCGCCCCACCCCCCAAAAAAAAGAATTGAAAATTGAAAATGAAAATGAAAAAGAAAAGAAGTATACAACAGGATACAGTAGTAAGTAGTAACAATTAGATCGCCCCAAGACCCACGTGAAGTCCTTATTGAACCTGACCTTGAAACGAATATTTCAATCACAGAAGCTCACTCGCAAGCTAAGAGGCTTTCCCGGGTTTGTGTTTAAAAGACTGAATTAATGAGGGGGTAAAATGCCTTCACTGAGACGTTCATATTCAGCAAGGGTAGTTTTAGTTATACACTCTATTGGAAGGGTGTGGGGGAGGGTATCGATATATCGTTTTCTCCTATCGCATTCTTAAAATATGCTAAAAGCTGAGCTAATATAACACCTAACCCCCAATATTGAACACCTAACCGTATGCCTCGTTGGGCTAGCGGCTTAATTAAGTGAACGTGCTGATATGAATTAGGCCCATCGGACACTCCGCCATGAAATACAAATAGACCACGTTGCAATTCTAAGTCTAGGACTATATAAGTAATTAGACCTGACCTCCTCGACCACTACTCAATCATCGTTCCCTTCGTTCTACGATTTGTCTTTATTGTGATCCAAGAAAACATAGCACTACACAATTAACTAGACGGTCGGCACGGACACTATATTTTGGGGGTAACGGCTTTTCATAAGATACGGACATATGTAGCTCGTTACTGTAGACTGGAGATACGTTCGGATCAAAGCTCTCGATCCTTTCTCTGAGACTCACCCTGTATAGTACAGTTGAAGCATACGATAACTCCAGGCAAACAATATCTTGACACATTAGCAGGCAGTTTAGCAAGGGTGAGAGCGCAAACCAATGCTTTTATGTGATTTTTCTGTCTATCAATATTTCGAGGTGGAAAATAAATTGCTTAATTCTCACATATATATTTCTGATATTCTAGAACACCTTGATCATTGGGGTTGGGAATATATTACGTTTATTGATAGTAGAAATGAACCGTGAGATTTGAGTGAGCGGATATGATCGAACATGTTCAGCTATGAGATACGAGCCGATGTGTTCTCGACCTAGAGCATTGGGTACGTGTCCTGAAACGTACACCACGCTGGTCCTTTATCAATATAGTTCAGGTAAGTGCGGTTGGGGCACTTTCTGAATGATTTCCGGTGATTCAGCTCCTGATTTGATTGAATGAATTGTCATTTGCGGCGGCGTGAGCCCCCTGGGATAGTATTCCGAGTAGAAGTATGGGACGGACACACACGTCGGCATATATGAAGATGCAAATAGTATTTGGTTGGGGCCTTTATTCTATATCCTGATTGCCAAATTATATAATTATTAACTGATCGCTGCCTATCATCGGAACACCGGCGGATCCAGGCACCAACATCATAGGTGCAACCTAGGCTGGTCCCGAACACGTCCATTTCCATGCTTCCAGGGTTGCTGCAAATAACGGGCGGGTACCAGACTAGGTTCAACACCAACTGTTGACATGGTTAGGAACATGGAGACTAATTTTATCTTTCAGGGGTAAAGAAAGTTAAGAACAAGCAGGATTTATCACCTGATATATATGTTTATTGGTCAGTAGGTCTGTGCGGCACCAATGCAATAGGATTATTAACTATTGGGATGTACTATGTGGCCGAATCACAATTTAGCAACATGTTGTCGATGTGGCTGCTGTGTATAGAGCTTAGCGCCTCTCTTATTAGTATCCTAACTTCCCATGAAAGATAACGGCGAAGAATGTGTGAAGTCATTTGAATTGTATAACGGCGAAGAATGTGCAGCAACAGTGTGATAGATTATGAAGCCCCAAGAACACATAGATCAGACTTCACATCGCGATCTAAATATGGATATTGTTTTTCCCTGTGCATAAATGTGCATAGATATTCCGAGAGCTTCGGAAAGTGCGGACGCCCCATAGTTCGTATTTAGTGATCAGGGGCGCGCAATTGAACTAAGGTTTGCTCATAGCTCTGTTTGGGGAAATAGCCAGTGCTAAGCGATAATTCTGTAGCGTTTAAACTGATGATATTGTAAACCGGATTCCCTTGACTTGATGGTTTTCTTTTATACCCTCAAGTCTTCGCAGAATCCTGCCCTATTTATAGATGTTGGAACCTATGCCAAGGCCCGCTTTCTAATACTAACGGATACAACGATAATAGAATAAGATAATGCTCCCGAAGATAACCCAGATAGAAAAGCGCCCCCGCATAGTTCCGTCCTCCATTCTAATTCCGACACGTAACCATGAACCTTCCAATTGCCAGTCATCGGGCTGTACCATACTATTATCCTATACCTACTTCCCTAAGTAGAACAACCTGGGGCCGTAAGCCCCGCTTCCTATTCTATTCCGGGTAAGACACCCAATAGTAAGCGTGCCGTCATAATAGTATGGGACTAGCGTGGTAACACCGCGTGCCCCCACACTACCCGATATCTTTCTATGCTTGTCCTTTCGTTACCCGACCATCCTCGCATTACAATGC